GAGGGGGGGAGACAGAGAGAGAGAGAGAGTTAAGTTTGAAACCTCTGACTTCTTGTTTTGTAACCTCATCAAATACAGGCCTGACAAGTGATACTGACCCTCACCTCTCAGCTGTTGGTGTTCCTGTACAAGTGTCCTCCATCCATCCTTACCTACAAGAACAAAACTTCAACCCAATCATGGTTTCACTGAAGACAACAACTCCACAGCAAAGAATCGGCCGTCTCGAGAACACGGCACTTACCAACGGGGAAAGAACACCGACCTCACCAAAGGTTGTGGCAACAGACCCTACCCCTGGCAGAATTCAACGGCTTAACGAAGAAACATCTCCGAAAGACAGGCCAAGAGCTACCAAGAGAAGTGAACGCAAATCAGCCTCCCGATCGACATCCATGGAAAGAGCCACGCATCCTAAATCTGTTGCTAGCTCCAGACAGAGAGAGGATGTAAGAATTGTGGTTCATTAACTCTCCTTTATCTGCCTAGTATTACCCTAGTATAACATATAGTTTTTGCTGAGTTTCCTCTTCCTCTTCTACAAAGTGAACTCTGACCTGAACCAATGTTGTGTCTGTTGCCATGGTAACTAGTGTTGGGTTAGTGTTGCAATTTTATAGCAGGAGGGATTTCGACTCCTGTCTGACCATATATATATGAATGTGTTTGAGTCAGAATTAACAGAGCAGACCATATGCGAAGGTAAACCCTATGCATTTGCTTTGAAAATTTTACCTTTCTAGTTTGTTTTTTTTCTAATAAGATTGTTTGTAACTTGTGTGGCAGGGAGTTCCCAGAAGATCGGTGAGTTTGGATGAGTCAACTCCGTCTGAGCCCCACACCCTCTGCTCCAGCCTCCCAGACTCAGTCAGCTGTCCAGAACTCGATGAAATGATCAGCGGAAAAAGCACAGCAAAAAAAGAGCCGGAGAAGGAGGAAGCATGTGGACAACAGCGGTCAGCAAGCAAACGCAAAGAGGAAATGGGAGCAAAAGCTGGGTTAGTTGGAAGCATGGAGACAATTGAAGAAGACACAGCACACATCCTTGTGAAGAAGAAACCACCACCGGGGAACCAAAGTGGGAAGGAAAGTCTGGATGTGGAGGCCCTGAGCTTGGGTGGAAACAAGGTACAAAAATTATTCGGTTGTCATCCCTGGGACTTACATGTAATTTTTGGGAGGGAAAAGGGGTTAAATGTGTACAGTTCACATGTAGAAATCAAAACACTATAATCCCCAAAAAAGTTTCACCAGGTTGCTCAAGATATAGGGGTTTTCTTATACACATTGTATACTGTCTCTTACTTTGCTTACCTTTCAAGACAATATTGCTTGTTAGAAGAAAAACCCTATATGAAACCCTATCAATAGTATCATGTAGTGTCATGATTTTGTGGAGAGGGCATCACAAAAAGTACATACAACAACTACATGTACAAACACAGTGTTCAGTATACATGCCCCAAATACTACTAGGATTCCAAGTAAGATAAGAAGAGAAATTAAACATTGAGTTTTATCTTTGAACAACTCCAGGTGGCCACTACCATAGTACAGATGATAAGGAAACAGCTGGTAGTGAGGGGACATTTAGACCTGCCGTATCTCACCTTCTCTGACCTGTGCCTCCGACTCTACAACACTGGCAGCAACTGGAAAGTTCTGGCTGGCAAACTGGGTGAGTTTGATTGGATTAGATATTTGTGGATACTAACATTAGATACCGAACGTTTGGGATTGTGTTCTCACTGCAAAGCCAGGGACATAGGAAAGACATTGCTGGTTGTGTAAAAGAAAACTCCAATATCCTGTGTTTTACCAACTGCAACATAAGGAAAAATGTTTTCTCTAATTTACAGTTGAAGAGGTACATGTACCAAGGAGCTTGTTTTAAACCTCCTTAGTTCTACCAGTTACCATGGTGACAGACGGTCTGGTTCAGGTCATTGACCTGGTCAGAGGTCAGTGTTTGGAACAGAAGAAGAAGAATAAACAGAGCAAAAACAATATATGTTTTCCTTCAGTAAACATACATGTAAAAACTAACCTCATGAAGTTATTTTGACAGGACTTACGGTTGAGGATGTTGAGTTGATTGACAGCTGCAGCGCCCAGCACGGTCTGCTCGCGGCCGAGATCGTAATCCGACACTGGCAGAGAACAGCTGACCAAGACGGCGCGGCTTCCTGCAACCTGCGGAACCTACGGGGCATTCTCACGGACATGGGGAGGAGAGATCTGGTCGACATGTTAAAGAAATAAATGTCTTTAAAAAAAACATGGATTTCCTTGAAAAAAGTATGCATATACTGTACTGTATATGCTGGTCCTCAGTAGCATGACTTCCTGCAAACTCAGTGACATGGGCAGGAGAGATCTGGTAGACATGTTACTATTGTAAAAGAACTAAATCCTTTGGTTCCTTGAAAAAACTGCTGCATATAGTCCCTTTAGGTTTTTTTTAGCCTAGCCTGCTCAACACTCACTCAGACACTGGCAGAGAACAGCTGACCAGGACGGGACGGCGCCCTGCAACCTGCGGTACCTACGGGGCATTCTCACAGACATGGGGAGGAGAGATCTGCTGGACATGTTAAAGAAATAAAAACATTGCATATTATACATGCAGCTCTTATTTCCTTTATCCTAGCCTGACTACATCACGCTTCTAGCAGCCCTGAATCTACTGCTCCTTTAGAAGCTTGATAGTCAACACCCTGAAGTAAGGAGGAAACATCTTATAATCATAATCCTGTCAATATAATATGCATATGTGTGCTACTCAAAATCGATCATTTATTGTCAGAATGGCAAGTGCCTCTGTTAACATAGTGTTGGAGGCTGTGATGATTGGTATCCATCCTGAGCTCCTATTGGATTGATTTCCGTAGTCATTGAAAATCCTGTCAGAGAGCTCCTATTGAAAATTTTGGGAATGGTTCTCTTGAGTTAGAGGTGTAAACATGTACATATTGCCACATTTAGAGCTCTCAGGGAAGAGGCCCAATCAACCCATGACAGAATGGGTTTGTGAAATAGATTAATGTTTATTGGTAACTACATCCTTTGCATATATTGAACTTTTCATGCATCCTATTGCCTGATGGGAGTTGCTATGCACTATGAGTAATGATGGGGGAAAACACCATCAATTGTAATATGTAATATTGTGCAATTCTCAGACCACCTTGCCAAAAAGCTAACAACTGCCAAGCTAAATGTAGCACATTTTAAACCATACATTATCATATACTTGAAAGCTGAATCAAAATAGAAATCATATAATGCTGTAATTAATGCCTTAATTTTATCCCTATTTTTAGAGACGTATTTAAGGAAAAGTATCATTCACATTTATAGGAATATTCCTGGTATAGGAGGAGAGGTAATTTGCATTATCTTATATATTTTTTACAAGTTTACTGTGTATATAAAGAGGAAACAATATAAGCTGGGTAACAGGTGTATAATGGTGTTAAATGGTGAATAATATCTATGCAAGTCAGACCACCAGACAGCAACTCAAAACAATGATATCACTCAGAATAAAGTTTATTCATAACATGTTCAGTACTGTTCTGATTTTTCATGAAGCTTGATTTTGTTTCCATTTAAATTTCTTCTTTTTCCAAGACCAATAGCATACACAGTGTATAAAACTGTACCATATTAAATATTCTTGGTAAAATTGTAGATTAGACAAATCATACCTCATACTTGAGACCTTATCTGGGTATTTTACCTTATGCACTATTTCCTAGGTGGCGCACAAAGCTTATTCGCAAGCATTTAGGACCTTATATTACATAACCTTCGCTCTTCGCCATTTGACAGAATGATAGGTCAAAAAGGTCAGACATAGGAAATGGGGTGAAGTTAAAGGTCACAGAATCTGCCTGGGATCCATCAGGACGTAGTGGTCAGCATATATGGGAGGAAAATTTGCGAACTCGAGGACTGCATGAGTGATCATGACCCTACAACCTGCAAAGTTTCTATCCTTAAAGTCCCGCAAAATGTATGTCATACAATCTATTTCGTTGTTTCACTTTCAGTACACAATGAAGTTTCAAAATATTTCCTGGCAGTCTCCGATTTCCTGTGTTACTGTAATTGTTTGTAACAGGTACATTTATAGTCACCTTTCTTGCGTAAATTTTATATGTTGAATGAAACACAACTTCTCTATTCTACTGAAGTTAGTGGCTCAGTATTCTATTGCTGTACAAATGTATATACAGTATGCCCGATTTGAACTGATATGTTGTTACATCTGCGCTGATTTTCGTAATCTTGTACCTCTTCCCTTTTCCTCAAGTTGGTTTCTGAACGTATCTAATTTTTTCGAAGAGGCAGAATGTCCATCTCTATGCTAGTAGGGTCTCTCACTCCACCTCCTCCTGTAGCTGCCAGTGCCTCTTGACTGGGTATTTGTTGAGCTTGCCTTGGAGCCTCTTTTTGCTCATACTCACTCAGCTTCTCCACGAGTTTGTTGTTTTCACTAATGTCAGCTGTTGCGTTGGGAAACTCTTTATAGATTTCTTTGCTCTTCTGCAGATGCTCACCTGCTTGTTTGAGCATGTCACTGTTGTTAGGATGATGTCTGTTCCGTATCAGTTGTGTAGTTTCATCTGTCACCTCTATGTCTTCATGGTCGAAATGTAATTCTTCCTGGTGTTCATATGCCTTTATGAAGACAGAGGCAAGGAGCTGATTGGCTTTTGCTTTGTGTAATGGCTTGCATGACACAATGCTTAATGCTTTCTTTGCCCAACATGCTGCACTTTGCAAGCGATCATCTTCTGGAAGCTCATCTTTGAAGCCTGCCGCATACATGTCAATGATGAACTGAGCTCGCATGTTGTAGACTTCTGGCAAGAGTTCTATTCCATCAATGATGGGCCCTTGCTGGTCGACCCTGGTGCCTTGCTTCTCTGCATACTCTATCATCTTGTCGGCATTGGCATTGTGGCCCCGAATGAAGCCTTGTCTGTCTTTCGGAGTAGAGCTTGCCAGCTTAGTCAGTCTCTTGTAGCAGTCAACAATCGACCGGTAGCAGAACATCGCATTGAAATTGTCTTGCTTAGGGAATTTCTTAAGGATACCATACTCAAAGTAACAGTTCCTGTCTTCGATGAGTTTATTGTATCCTTTGATGACTTCTTTGAGGTCTTTCTTTTGTTCTTGACTTGACTTGACTTTATTGGGATCTTCTTTACTCGGCCAGGTTTCCTTGCGAAGGTACAGTATACCTGCTCTTTTGGACAGCATTTCGTTGAGCAGGTGCACATCTGTATTGCTCGCAAACTCCCGGCTAAGCTCATGAGAGAAATGCAACTCTTTCGAGGCTGTGTCAAAGTACTTCTTTCTATCATCACCATGTAGGTAAAACAAGATTCGTCCTGATGTGTAAAACACGCTTACAACAAGCTCAATCAGGTACGCCGCTTGGACTTTATCATCAGGTAAAGCTGCTCCATGCGTGATGAGACGACGGTACTGTTCTTTACTCAGTGTTTGGAATCTCTCTACCATCGAAGCAAGCGTGACTAGTACTGTGACGCTCTGTGGCACCTTCAACTTCAGAACATCAATGTTCGAAGACGTTATGAGCTGGCGTGTTACAGTCTGACCGTACACATCTTGTTGAAATCGTGTTTGTCCCTCTTCCATTAGCATGCCACACACCTTTTTGATGTCTTTTGAGGGACCCCTTAGATCCTCACAGAGGTGATAACAGAGTCGTTTGGCCTTTGTGGCATGCTGCTTTGCACCCTTTGGGTAGCGCTGCTGACAGTAGAGATAGCAGATGACTTCATGCAACCGTATAAGAGCTGTGAGCAGAGGATTATTTGATTTGTCAACTGACAAAATAGTCTCTAATGAAAGTGCAGGATGATGTTCTAGGAGAAAAAGAAGATGTGGAAGGAGTTGAGAGACAAAAGCACCTACTCGAGTTTCTCGAGTGTCCTTTATGAGGAGTGCAAGAAAAGCCTTGACGAGAGCGTGAATCATCTGAGTTTGGTCCGCATCAGTCACCATGTCCAAAATTGCCCTTCGCGTCAGCTGGTGGATTGTCATCATCCTCATCTTTGTCGTCTTGTCTTCTGTCACCTCTCCGAGAGAAAGTTTCCTGACAGCTTTTACGAATTCATCTATGTTTGCACCTCTACCCCGTAGATGCCAATACGCTTCAGCCAAGAAGGCTGTCGGTATGTTGTTTGGCATAAGAAAGGCCATGAGCTGGAAAACTTGTCGTGATACTTCGTTCATTCTGTGGTTCAACAAAAGTTGGACCGCAGCAAATATGTTTTCCTCTGGCTCGCTGAGGTCTTTGTTCCCTCTTCCCATGGCATTTCTCTGTTGATGGAGGTGATCTAAGTACTCCTGAACTGACGTTCCTGAGTCAAGAATGTGGCTTTTTGCCAGGGATAAACCAAGCGGGAGGCATGCAAACTGATTTGCAAGGTCCTTCAGAAGGGATTCCTCTGTTTGCATAAAGACATTGTCTTCACGTCCTAATCTCAAGAAGGAAACAGCATCAGAAGGTCCTTCTTGATCTGGACTCGAATGTGATGAGAAGCCGTTCATTTTAAGACAGGGGATGTGAGAAGCATCTGGATGCTGACCCATGGTTTCATCCATTGTTGTAATCAAGACCGTTAGTTCTGGCCATGGGTTCAAAAGCTGACGCGGGATCACATTGATGTCCTGAACATCATCGAAAACCAACAGACACTCGCTTTTGGAAGCTTTAAGTGCCTCGCAGATCTTTGAGATGTCAGTTTCGCCCTGCTTTATGTTAACAGGTCTTCCAGACTCTTTTAACTCTTCAACAAATGCTAACAACTTTTCTCTCACCGTCTTTAAAGAAAGACCTGTTTGTTCCTTTTTGATAGCTCCTGAAAAATCGTTTGACGTGTACCCAATGAACCAGGTAACATAGGACTTGGTTTTAGCTTGAACATAGTTCATAACAGCGTAGCTTTTCCCAATACCGAACTGCCCATGAACAATACAAATCTTACTGTCCTTCATTCTTTCAGTCAATTTCTTGATATCTCCACCCTCAAAGCATGTGGGCATGTGTTCAGCCATATTTGTCACTGAAAAAAAAAAAAAACATACTGAAAATGTTTACTGAAAAGGAGGTTAGAAATCGAACAATGTTATTATGTTACAGAATCTATATTCTTCTCATCATTTTGTGTGATTTTTGTATGAAGCCTTATGCATTAAACTAATTGTTTGATAGAAAAAAAAATTACACATAACATTATAAGCCATCTTCTAATCTTGCCTGTTCAGATTTGTAAGCATCCAACGGCCACGATAAAAACCATGCTTTTTTGAGATAACGATATCTAAATTATTCAAATTAACATATTGTAGACTCAAGATAGTATGTACTTATAGCAGTATCTAGAAGTACATTGATGTATTGTGTACCTTCTTTCTTTTTGTTTTTCCTCCTGCAGTACACAAGGAGGACTCCTACTGCGACCAGCACCACTAAGACTAAGACAACTACTATGGCAATCCACCAAAGTCTGGTTGGAGTATCAGATTTGCCTACATTAGGAAGGAAGATAGGAAAGTAAAGAAATGTTTAAGGGGAGGAATGTGAACATAAAACATAAATTTTCTTCAAGATTTAATCTGTCAATCTTATATAGCAATGTAACACCCTGGCATTTGGAAGTTAAATCCCAGTTACACTGAATTCTAACAAATCTTTGTAGAATCTTTGTGTTGGCTACTCCACACCTGTTTTTCTTTGGAGTTTTGTCTTTTGCTACTATGGTCATGTGTCTCTGACGTCACGTTCTAAGAGTAGATGGTTCCATTACGTGAACAACTTGTTGATGGAGTCAACCGAATATTTGGGGTAAGTCCCAGTAGTTAGTGTTAGAAGTTAAAGCTACATGTAATAGTCTTTACTTCATAATGACTTGGAGCTAATCAGAGCTATTGCATATATTCTATGGGAATACCCAACCACCAGCTTTAACAATTTGAATTACCAGTGCAGCGAAATGTTCTTACGATGGTAAAACGTGTAGAAATAGTGGGGATCCACTCCAATACGTGCAAGGTCTCCTCCTGTCACTGCTTGCTTTAAGGTAGCATTGATGGTTTCCATCTCCTTCTGTACACCTTTGAACAGCATAGTGACAATCACACTCCCCTTCCTGTAAAAGAATTAACAAATACAGTGTTGTTGATCATTGTAACAAAGACTTAAGCACAATAAACCAGGGATGTACCCCTACTTTTTGACAAGTGTGATGGGTTTTTTAAAATGCTTGAGGTGTGCCTCTCTTCAATTCAAACTAGAGACCTTCACTTAATGTTCTTGATAACCCAAGAGGACATATTCCTGATGAAGCTAGGTTTTTTTTGCCATGGTCATGTGAAGAAAAAGGGGCACAATGCTAGGGCTAACCAAGGACCCAGAACCTTTGGTTTCTATATATAAGTCAACATTACCCTCACTAGAAGACCATTATCCTTCAACTTAGTCTTGCATTTGCAACTAACTCAAATGAGAAAATACATTATAACGCATTATGATCAAAATATTTTTGTTTTAATGTTCAAATCAAGTAAAAAAAGCGTACAATGCACAAATTAAAAAGGGTCAAAGATATATACATCACAATTAATGTCATACATGTTTAACAATTACAGAAAAACTGATGTAGCTTGAAAAATCTCTTGACGTACTGAATTTCTGTGACTTCCACTGTCAGATCAGGGTGGCTTGGTTGTAACAGGGCAATCAGCTGTGGAAAATGAAGGCATACAAATCAAAATCACGCAATTGTTTTTCCAAATCAAGGCATTAAACTGGAAAGCCAAAATTTCTGGTCAACAAAATTAATCCTGAACAGTGCTAATCCTTGAAACTTTTCAAAAATGTTGTCCTAAATATACATAATGTTACATAAAAAAAGGAGGTTCAATAATTCTATTTTATATGTATGTATGTATGTATGTATGTATGTATGATCCACGCAAAGTTATGTCCAAAGTTATACACATACAGGGTATTGTTTAGAAATCAAAATTAATGTTCCAAACATTCTGACCCAACTGAAATTTCACTTGCTTTGGCTCTTTAAAAAACAGTGTGTTTAAGAGATGTTTAAATGTCAATGCACTGCACTATCAGAAATCTCTTAAGATTGTCTTTTTACACATCAAAACTAGTAGGTGTTGTATTTTACAACAAAATAACAATAGAAGGAAGACTTTTAGTGATATATTGTCACTCACCGTTTTGTTCATTCTGTTGACAAGGTCTCTATTGGTCTGGTGATTTGGATCCGATGAGGTGAAAGGTACATTTAATAACCTTACGGAGGCGTAAAACTGACCAATGGCTGAAACACACAAAATTTATAATATATGATTAATCGTACATTAAGTTATCGAGCATCAATCCACATGTAGTGCTGTAAAATCACAACAACTAAACTCCTTCCCCAAGTCACATTACATCACTAGTACTGCAACCTTAAACCGAGTAGTTCTGTGGTAGCTATGGCAACAGACTCACCTTCTGTAGTAACCTTGACAACAGAAGCCTGACCACACCCACTGCTGCCCAGCTGGTTTTCAGCGTACACACAGACTTGGTAAGTTGTGTTGTGGTTCAGTCCTTCTACACTGAACTGCACGTCTTCCCCTGAACAAGGAGAGATTTCAAACTTAAATATGGGGTTTCACAACATTTCAAGGCTTGTCCCAAATATTGTGTACTCTATATATTTCCTACGCCTGACCTTTATAACTCCTGCCATTCTACTTGTTAATCCTCAGCACCATTATGCTGACAACCTGTACTCTCAAGTTCACCCCATTTTGTATGATTTAAATTGTAAGGATCAATGTTCAATGACCTAAGAACTGTGTATATTTTGTACATGTGTGTTTATTGAATAATAACAGAGTTAATCATCATCATCATCCACTGTGTTCTGCGTCTACAGTCATGTGGAAATGTCCTGTAGCCGCATTCAGTCTTTCTTCATCTCTTTCAGAGTATACAATTATAACATATAGTGTCTGAAAAACCTGGTTTTGGGTGCATGCATCTGACTGTCATTAGCATCACATCCTCAAGCACTTATGATATAACATCTTTTCAATTACACTATACAATGAATACTTACTTTATCAGTGCTATATATATATTATGTACTACTATCATATCACAATACCTCTATCAATGTCCTCTTTACAGATGGAGACATTTTTGCCAACTTGAAGTTGTTTCAGGCACAACTTCTGAGTCAAGCCACCAGGGTCACCAGCAGTACAGGAGATATTGAAGCTGTACAGCCGGCCTCCATGGACCTGGATATTTCTTGGAGGATCTGGGGGGTCTATGCAAAATAGATACACAGAAACATTAAGAACTGAAAATAAACTGAAGCAGACTGTCTTTAATTGCATTTTATTTACCGAGGAACCAAGTACTTATTTGTTACTTTATTATTTCAAGGTATCAAAAGAGCCACCTTAAAAATCATGAAAAACCTTGAAAAAAAAACACAACAACCCGGAATCATTCTTTTCTGGCATCATTATAATGTATATCAAATGCAATGAAACAACTCAGGCATTACTCACATGTGACATAGAGCTCGTATCGGGTTTTTCTTTCATCCCCCTCGAGTTGTTGACATTCGTAATAGCTTCCATTTGTAGCTTTGTCAGTTCTCCTAACACTCCCTATCTTGAGACTTGTACCGTCTGGTCCTTCTAGAGTGATGTCTGTCCGGTTTCGGTATGCTGAAAGAAGATCTGTGGAATCTGAGGCAGCAAGAAAGCAGAGATCAGCAATTTATATTTCGATTTGGCTTCATCAGACTCCCCCCTCCCCAATTGCTTATGGCTCCTGGCCAAATTCTGAGACTTTTGACCTCCTGTATTCTGCCTGTCAATCTTCCCCCTTCCATGTGCTGTCAACCTACATCAGGGCTCAAAATACTGCATGTGCACCTAAGTGCACCCCAAATTGGAGCTGTGCACCCAATTTTTTTCTGTGAGTGCACCTAATTTTTTAGGTTGGGTGAACCAGTGCACCTATTCCCAAAAATGAATTTGAGCCCTGTACATGTACTCTGTCTGGATAAATATATTATACACACAAATGCCAATCAAAACAAGAAGTAATAAAAGACATGAAAGCATTTGCAAGAGAACGCAAAAAATCGTCCCTGGCCACAAATTTGGTACATGTAAGATCGATTATTCCCCATGACAGGGATCATCAGGTGCTTGTATGTATGAAGAAACTGTTCACCTCTCTGAATTAATGCTGGCCAGTGCCTGACCAGCCAATCACGTCACCACCTTATGATTAAAAGGCATTGCGATTGGCTGATTACTTTTAAAATTCTCTTCAACAAGAGGATGGGGGTATCTGACTGGTAGGATATATGATTAAGAAAAATTTGCTGAAATATTTCCTCACTTTGAAATCTTTCGATAATAAGTCTTAAATCTCCGCCTTGCAGGTCTTGGACCCAGTAGAACTTTTTGTTGGAGTCATAGTCAAGGTCACACTCAAAGACCACTGAGTCTCCCTCTGCCACTTCCTTCCTGATGGTCTCCAGAGCATTACCTGTGGGAAAGACAATGTCTTAAATTATGCCTGTAGAGTTACTAGTAGTTAGACATGCACAGACACATGTCACACACACGTAAACTCACACACACACATACACACAGACACACATACACACACAAACATAGCGCACACTCACTCACACATACACACACACACACGCACACATACACACACACAGACACACATACACACACAGTCACAGATGCACACACAAACACACACACTTTCACCTGAATGATATAATCACTTTCAAAATGATTCTCTAAAGAGTCTAAGTAAAATCAAACTAGAAAGTAACATAAATGTAAAGCATGTTTTTTAACCTTCACACTGCCCAGCTAAATATCAAACTACTACTTTGTTCTTGCTCAAAGACACTCATATAACGTTATGTGGCGACCAATCTTGAACTCAGTTCTGCATGGCACTTCTTCTTCTTCTTCTTCTTCGTTACTGCCCAGCACTACAGAGTAGTATTATTGGCAGTCGTTACGCATTGTTAGTAACATTTGTGCCCGGTACATAAAAAACAAAGGGAAAAACAAGGATAACTGAGAAAGGAACATAAGACAACTGATTTTGTGTGTGCTAAAGACAGGACAAGTGCATTAGTGCGTTAGTAATATTTACATATATACAAGACACTTGCAACATTATGTAACCCAACACCAGTTACCATGGTGACAGACGTTTGGTCCTGGACCTTATTATTTGTTTGGAACGAAAGAAGAAGAAATTGAGCAAAAACAATATGTTTTAATTTCTTCCGTAAACATAAGAGATTTACCTGCGAGCAGGATGACGTCACTCACCAGCACCGCCATGGCCCAAATAAGGACCTGGGAGTGTCGCATTTTTCCCGCCAAAATTGTTACCCCTTTGTACTCCTTTTCTAATACGTATATAGTCTGTAAAAAGACAACAAATATTACATTTAGGACGCCAAAATGCTTCAATTGATTCTTACGATGTTTGTGAAGCCGACAAAATAGTCGCCGGACGGTAAAAATATCTGTAAACGGCAACAATAAAGGCAAGGTCGACCATTGTCCTTGGTAAAAGTGAAAGAGGAACTGACGTAACTTTAGGCGGCACCCACTAAAATGCGTTTTTTTCACCAGTACGTGTCCTAAAACATGGCGTTGAGGTCTCTAAGTTCAAAACCGATCCTTACCTGTAAACTCGTGTACTTGTAAAAGCCTAACGATCGCTTTATCCGACAAGAATTGACAAGGAAAGACGTCACTGTTGGTAGCAACGTCGTCCAGCGAAACTTGTTGAGGTTGTTCACAGCCTGAGTCATGGTCAAAGGTCATATAGCCCTAATTTGGTCATGGCGTGCTGTGATTGGTCAGAGTCCAACAGGTTGCCCTGCTCTGATTGGTTGACTGATTTTACTTCCTAGAAGAAGTTTCGATATGACGTCACCACGTCTCTCAAGACATTCGCACACCTGCAACACTGCTTCTTTGAGAAGTTTGGCTTCTTAGGTCAGGAATTTCAGTCTTGAAGGAGGTTCAGGTATGTAACTGTGAAAACAATGTCTTTATGGACCATATAAAACACCAGAAATGAGGCTATTGGTGGCAAAACATGATGTCAAAGTCAAAGATAATATATGCATGCAAGTATAAAGGTGTCATTTTCTACTTTCACTTTTAAAAATGCACACGGAAAGCTTAATATTTGAGAGAGAGTTGCTGTTATTACTAGTGATTTGGTGTCGACATAAACTATCATTAGGTGTGCATGTTATAGAAATAACATTATACCTATGCTGAGTTATCATTATTATCATAATCATTTTTATTGGCATGTTGATTTTTGTTTGTATGTGATTGTGTATATACTGTTTGTTTTGTTTATTTAGAACCTTAACTAAGGGCTCCACTGCAGTGTCAATCTCTGAGATGGGCAACTCTGAGTAAAAAAAAATGACAGAAAAAAGAACAGATAAAAATATGTTTCTCCTTTTCATGTCTTTTTCTCTCAGAAGGACAAACAATGGGGAATCAAATGCAGCTACTAAACTCCTGAAACTTCACCCCATTTCCTTCAAAAAATGAAGTTACCCAGGATGTATTGCAAACCTTCTGCAGGTATTTGTTTGTTTTTTGTTTGTTTATTTATTTGATCCCTTAAAGGCTGTGAAATTGTATTGGTGAAGTGAAAAAGGTTGTCCGAAGGGCACAACATCTGGCAGGAAGGCCAAGAATCGAACCCTTGGACCTCTCAATCTCATATATCTCTAAGCCATTTGTTCATTCGTTGACACCAGATGAATATGAACACGGAGAAAGAATAAATAACACTTTTTATCCCTTTTGCTATGCAGTTTTGTTCCTTGTCCTTCTACGAGTCGAGGTACAAAGCCAGACTGTTCAGGACACAATCCCAGTGTTGGAGGGTAACTCCACCAGCGTACCCTGCGAACTTGACCTTGGTTCTTGCCGAGACCCTGACAAGTGCGTGTTATGGATCCACAAGGGACCCGGTGATGACAGGTTCAAGGTTGGCAAATGTTCGAGCGAGTGTGGAAGTTGTAATCACTGTCCACACACACAGCCAGGTTGGTACACTTAGCATATGTTACAATAGCCTACTGTCCATCCAGTTGTGTGTGTAGTCCAGTGGTTAGTGACCCTGCCTCTGGACCAAGTGGTTGGGAGTTTAGGATATTGGGACTTTCTAATTCACAACCAGAAATTCTCTCACTTTGCTTATTACGTTTCGATGTCTATCTTTAACACCTTCCTCTAAGAGCTTCCGACTTGGGAGTTTCAGGTGGAAGTTTGTATCCCAGCTGTTGTCAATTACCTAGTCTCACACAAGAAACTGCATTTAAGTTTTATATTTTCCTTCCCCACCATATCAAAACTGGTAGCCTGACTGACTCTGTGTGCTACATCATGACTGACATAGTTCTTGTAATTTTTACAGAACAATGTACAGCCATTTATTTTGAAGACACCCAAAGGTCATGTATGGCCATCTATCAATGTCAATTCTATGAAGATACCACTCAGCCGTCATCATACAGGGTCAAACTGGATGTGCACTGTAAGTGTGTGTTTCTCTCTCCCTCTTTCTCTCTCTCAGTCAGTCTCCTTCTCTCACTCTTTCTCTCATTCTGTCTCTCTTACTCTCTCTTTCTCTCTCTCCCATATATACAAGTAATACAGGGTCAAACTGGATGTGCAGTGTCTCTCTCTCTCTCTCTCTCTCTCTCTCTCTCACTCAATCTCATTCTCTCTTTCTTTCATTCTGTCTCTCTTACCTATATATACAAGTAATGCAGGGTTCAACTGGATGTGCACTGTGTCTTTCTCTCTTTCTCTCACTCAGTCTCATTCTCTCTCACTTTCTCTCATTCTCTCTTACTCTCTCCTCCTCTCTCTCATTCTCTCTCTCCCCCTATATATACAAGTAGTCTTGTGTGTCTGTTTGTCCAGACAAAGTATGTGTAGGTTGACTGCAGGCGGGTTGGTGGGTGAAGATTGACAGGCAGATTATAAGCAGTTCAAGAGGTCAAACACAGGAGTTCGAGGTCAGGGGGAATTTAAAAAGCAGAGGATTGCTTGAGCCTAAAATCTCTGGTTTCTTGATGTTAAATCTGGTTTGTATTTCAGACCCGCCTGGCAAATTGACTATAAGCGATTCTCGCCCCATCGCGATCCAAGGTCGTTCATTTGAACTGTCATGTCAGATGAATGACCTTGGAAACCCCAAGGCAGACATCGCTTGGCAGCCCGACACAGACGGGGTCATCACACAAGGTCAAGGGTCAAGTACGATACGGTTTGAGAGTGTGGATCATCGAACTATGCCGCGGGAACTAAAATGTTACCCAAAACAAGATGGCGGTCTCGTGAGTGAGGATGTCCTACAGAACTTGAGTGACTCAGCAATTTTGGAAATTTGTGAGTATAATTTTTATAGGGCTTATTCACCACAGATGGTCACGTGACTCTTCCCCCGGCAGCGAGCATTGTCCGCCATTAGGGGGTGCCTATCGCTATGGTACGCTATGCAAACTCTTGGCGATAGTTGCGCATTTGGGGCCACAATCTACGTTTTGAACACTCTTCTTGTTAGTAACATTGTCCTTGGGGTTGTTCTGGCTCCATGTCCACGTCTCATGTTCTCAAGATCGGCTTTTATCTTTTTTTGCTGATCAGAAATCGGTGTGTTTTACCCTGGCGTAGGGGCCTGTAGGTCGCCCCCTGTAGATGTCAACGTGGATAGCCATGGACACGTTAAATCTGTTGAAGCTACCTGTCCCTTTACTCTGTGGTAAATGTCCATGTAGAACAGGGCACTGGCAACTTGTAACACTCACCTTGTCCAGCCACAGTCGAGGCAGTGCGGACTGAGGATGGCGGCCGGCGGCCGATGGCCCCGCATTTGTTTGTTATTATCCAGACACAGTCCGGGGCTGTTCCAAAATAGCGACCTTTTGCGTATCCCGACTACAACGTACTTGTCACCACGCAACTGCATGTCCCACAACACTCTCTACACATCCTGATACAACGCTTCCAGACTCTTAGTGGGTTTGAACCGATGTTGTGTGTAAAAACTTCGGCCCAGTACCAAATACGAAGCTAAGTCGCGTCAATGGACTCCGCTGGCGGTAGACGCCGTCTCGATCAGACTGATCAAAACTCAACAAAAACGGGTCAATCCCAACAGATTTTATTTTGTTCCAGTAACGAGAGGTATGAGTGGTGGTAAACTCTTTGTGTAATAGGACAAAGGACAGTTTACCTAACGTTTGTCGGCCATTTCAATGCTTGGAAACTCGCTGTAGAGGTGGACCCCAAAATGGCGTCGCACGGGACATGAGGGGTCGTGACGTCATGATGACGTGTGGTGAATAAGCTCTATACCTATTTCCTTAATATGTATTCAGATTTATCACACAAGTAGGGAATCTTTGAAAGTGCAAAAAAAAAAGATTTGCAGAGAAAAACTAAATCAGTGTTTTTCCTGGTTTAGTAACCTAGAGTTTTAATCAACTCTTCATTGACATGTAGTTGTATACCTTCTATTGTGTGGTACCTTCTATTGTATACAGCTGCTGGCCTTGGTGCTGAATGCATTCCTTCCAATGAAAAGAAAAGTATAGAGTATACACTCAAACTTTTTCAATAACCACCTCTATCTACATAAGGACCACCTGGCTAACAATGTGATGACTTTTTGATGATCTCCTAGATACTTTTTCAACTGCAAAGACCACAGATATGGCAGCAATAGTGGGGGCAGGCATTCAACCAGAAACCTCACCAAAGGACCGTGAGGTTTTCACTTTGGCAGTTATCATGAGTTGTGCATTTGGAGGTTTGATGTTCCTGTGTGTGGTGATTATAGCAGCCTGGGTTTACAACAAGAGGAAGGCATCGCAGAGAACATCTCAACTTCAAGGTAAAAACTGGCTTCTTCTATAGTATATGTATTTGCATTCACGTGACTGTATGTAGCTGCATGCTTTTTGCTTTAAGAGTCTATCTACCATACAAAAGAGTAAAGGTGATTGGTAAAAAATATTTGTTTTATGTTTCTAGAAACTGGAACAAGCCTAACTGGAGATGATAATGCACCACAACAAGAGGTAAATTCCAAATGCTTCATTTTTCGACAAAATCATGATAATAAAGATAATACTGTATGAACATGATTACAATTACAACAACATTTAGTTTGTGTGGAACTTTGTGTTGAGATTTCAGAAAACTATTCAAAATAAAGTTTTGATCACAGATTTTTTTCTCTTCAACAGACTTCTTTACCCATCCTGTTGCCAGAGTACAGTAGCCAGTCTATTGACACAGGTGGGTTTAGTACTATTATTGTATCTGGCTTGTGAATATAACACTATGGTAGTACAGTATAATGCAATTGTATGTGCATTGTATGATGTGATTTTTAAGACATAGTGTGAACTATATCTACTTCTGAAATGTTTGAAATCACTGATTTCTGTTTTGTAACATCACCAAATGCAGGCTTTACAAGTGAGACTGACCCAACCCCTTCAGCAGTTGGTGTTGGCCTCCCTGTACAAGTCTCTTCCATACACCCAAACCTACAAGAACCAAACTTCAACCCAAGAGTCCCAATCATGGTTTCACTGAAGACAACCACTCCTCAACACGCAGTCAGCCAGAACGCAGCTCTTGGAAACAGAGGAAAAAAACAGACCTCACCAAAAGTTGCAGCCACCCCTGATAGAATTCTACATCTTAATGAAGAAACATCTCCAAAAGATGAGGTAAAAGCTATCAAAAGATGCGGGTGCGAACCAGCCTCCAGTTTGACATACGTAGGCAGAGCCACGCGTCCCAAATCTGTTGCAAATGCCAGAAAGAGAGAGGACGTAAGAAGTTCCGTCAGTTTGGATGAGTCAACCCCCTCAGAACCCCACACTCTCTGCTCCAGCCTCCCAGACTCAGTCAGCTGTCCAGAGCTTGACGAAATGATCAGCGGGAAAAGTACCACGTAATCGACTAGATGCAAGTCAGACTTATAGAAATACTTCTGCTAATAAAGAAAGATATTAAACATAATTCACATTATCTTATAATTTTTTATGGGTTATTGTGTACGGTGGTGTATAAAGGAAATAATAGAGTAACAGAAACATGTACAAAGTGTATATAGGAAACTGGTGTATAAGGTATAAGGCCACACCAATTTAATTTCTTGGTTAACGGATTCGCCCGCTTCATTTTTTTCTGATTTGCAAATAAAAATAAAAATTCAAAATAAACTGCAAAATGCTCATATTTTGCCCTGAACAGTTGAAAACAGTCCTTTTCATCCTAGTTGTTACAGTTATTCCATCTTTCAATGCAATGGTATCATTAAAAGTTCAAAATTCACTGTTTAAATTTTGAACCAGCCTGGTATGTTGACTTCATGGCTCCTATCATGCCATTTTGGGCCATAATACGATGCCTAGGCCTGTTTTTATTTTTATTTTTTTATCGCCCGCCCGCTCCATTATTTTTGTAGAAAAATCCGTTAACCAAGAAGTTAAATTGGTGTGGCCTAATGGTGAATAAATCTATGCAAGTCAGACCACAAGACAGCAGCTCAAAATAAAGATATCACCCAGAATAAAGTTTATTCAAAACTTGTTCAAAAATTGTGTACAGTACTGTTCTGATCACTCATTACCTCAACTTGTCCTTTTACTTGCATCATTTTCCAAGATGTCACATCTTTTGGCCCAAAGACATTGCCACACACAATTGTTGTAATTAGAAGCAAACTATTTACCATAGTTCTGTTGGACTTTAAAAGGGAATGTAAAGTGTATTTGTTAATGGATGTAAATATGTACAAAAGCCACACTTAAAGTTCATGAGAACATTTCCCTCCAATTTCTGACAGAGTTTTAGATCTAGTCGACATTTGATAGTTGAGTCTCTATAATAATAACCCCAAGTTATGGTTACATGGCTACAAAGTAAACTAGTATATAACTATGAGTCTGTATCTTCCCTCTCTTCCTGCTGACTCTGTTGTTTTGCTCTTTCTTTTTCCTCTTCTTGTTGTCTGACCATACGGAGGTAGTCTCGCACGACGATCTTCTTTGGGATCACATCTAGAGGCAAATTTGGAGAATGGAAAGTGTTTTTTTTAGATTAGATGGAAATTGTTCCACACCCATGACTAGATACATTCAAAATTACCCCGGGTGCCAGATTAGCATTGGCCAACTCACCCCTAGCAGTACTGTAATTTAGATAGGCGGGCAAAGTGCTTTTGGCTACCAAAGGGAAATGGCTAATGCCCAATTGTAATTGTAATGGTCCAATTCTATTACTAGCCCAGGGTAATTAAAAATCTTTCTAATTGCAGGACCAATTTCCTTGTGTATCTCCATTGCCAGGTTGTCTATTTTCACCAACATAAGAACGTAAGCTATATAGTATAAACCATATAATAATGTTATACATGTACACTGTATGTATGTAGCACTTCAGAAGTCAGAATACCTTTTATTTTGTTATGTTCAACATAAAAATCACATATATTTTACCTGCTAGAAACTGCAGATTGTCAGCATCATTGACAACCTCAGCCAGGTCTCCGTAAGCCAGCGTGTCGGTCGTCTCTGGGTCCTGCTTGAAAGCCTCTGTAGCCAAGTGTTGGATAAACAACTCCTGCAAGACACAGTTGGAAGATTAAGACATTTTAGGAGAAGTCTGTCAAGTCCTTGCATGTACGATTTTGGGTAAACAGTTATATTTTTCGCTCATAATTTTGGCAGAGTGAATTTTGTGAGTGAATTTTAGCAGTCAATTTTGGGCGCCAAGGCCAGCTTTTTTAACAGCGCGGTTGTTCCAACTAAAAAAACGTAAATCTTTAAATATTCCCGACATTTTCAATTTTATTTTTATTATCGCAGTTGTAGCGAAGCACAATTACTGCAAATAATATTAGAGATGAACTTGGTCACCTAGGCCTAGGCATCTTCAAAGTATCAAATATGTTGCCCCCCTCCCCATAATTTTGATCTGACAAGGTGCACTAAAGAATTCAGTAACCAGAAGGTCACAGAACTTACCGTTGCCTTGGCAACCAGATAGACGGACTCCTGTCCGATATTTGTGATTTCTGCCGAGCTCCGCATGATGGTTTTTATTCTCGCCATGGGCAAAACCACGCCTTTTGCAGGCTTTGTTCCACTTTTTTCCGCCATTTTTTTCCAAGGGTCAAAACAAAACATGACCTATGACCTTAAAAAATTCTTCTTGAAAATTCTCTTGATTGCACATAAAAATGTTAATTAAGGATAAAACAGTATTTTGACCAATTAAATTTTTTCTAAATCCATTTATGCCACCGTAAAGTTTCTTTAAAATATTTTTAAAAGTAGGTTGACTTTTGACCTTTGAACCTTTCCCGCCAAATTTATTTAGTTTCGTTTACGGTACTTCCGGGTTTGTAGATCAAAACGTTTGGGCTATTTCGACCTGTTTGCGAAGCTTTTCTGCATCCAGTTCTTTACAAACTTCATTACCTATCGATACAAATTCGTTGAATCTCTCTAGATTGTGAAAAATAGCTGAATTTGGGGTAAGATTGGGGGCGATTTGGGTACCGTCGATACTACGTAGTTTCGATCTGACGTCATATTTCGGTGGTTCCCCGTTCTGCATGCATGTAGCGTGTAAAATTTCCCCATGACTAACGGGACTTCACGATCATGTGACGGGGATTTCCATGTTTTTCAGACGCTAAACGGGCTCAGTACCCATTTAGAGCCGTTGCGAGGGAGTGAAAAGTCGTGTTCACTAGTCTACCAGAACTATTTTATCCGTCCATCGTCTCCAGATTTTGCCGTCCTCTATCTTGAAATTGCGGAGACTCTCTACGTTAGCAGCCGTCGCTGTTCTTCAAGATTAGAATTAGCTTAGTTCCCAAGATATCGTCCTGTTTCAAGTGCGGTAGATAGGGAAAATTATGACTAGGGGAGCGGTGGCCAAGTGTACTTCAAGTTCAAGTCGTGTGGCCCTAGTACTAGTCCTGGGCCTTCTACTCGGCTTCGTACAAACATGCGGTGCTACCGGTAAGTGGTGACTTTTTTCGCCCAAAGATTTTCTCCAGAATACCCCAGAGTTTTCGGTTGGGGTTTAAGGGATAACAGTTAGATTTGTTTCGGGACAGAAATAAGACTCTAGTCTAGCCTTCAGAGGCAGATAGATCGAGCGGAGGAACGGTGAGGAGACAAAGCGTTCACGAATGGATTCCCTACTACTACTAGTACTTCCCATGAAAGCAGAATTGTAACAATGATAGACTGGATGGCAGACTGCACTCAGGCCAATGCTCTTGATGAAGCCAACATGCCCCCAAGGAAAATTTTTATACTATAGAAAAATTTCATGTAGCTATGTCCCACCAAGTTGTAGTACATATAATAGTTTAATAATTTTCTTGCCCCTTTAGGCTAATAAATTACAACACTGTCAGCTATTTGTTAAGGCATCATAGCTATCAGAGTTTGGACTTCCCCTTTTTTAAGCATCATTTCACCCAAATTCCCCTTTTTGGATATGTATAGTTTCAAGTCTAAGGATTGGTACTGTGTAAGAAAGGGGAATTTGATGATGTAATTTGACTATGGGGGAATTCCATACAAAGAGGTTGCATATACAATTGTACTATTGGTAAGTATTGGTGTACCATTACAAATTTCTTGATGTGTGTTGATGATTACTAGTAATTATCACCGCAAAGAATACTAGTACATCATCAGCAAACTACTAGTATATAAGAATATAAAGAACGCATTATCTTACAAGTGTTGGTAACAGATTCTGAACTATGATTATTGTTTGTTTATATACTATCGTAGACTGGAACTGATTGCCACCAAGCACAGGGGCATCATCACTAGAAAGCTTTAAACAACTCCTGCAATTAAATGTGCAAAGATTGAGTGTAACAAGTCGTTCAGTGTGATATAGCTAGCTGCCGCCGTGCCGCGTGCCTGCGAAGCTGGTGTGTTACACTGAAGGGCAGCTATACCGGCTATGCTGATACAGATACAGATATAAGTAGATGTATTTATCATTATGGTTTCCAGGTACAGAGGTGTTTGGTGATGAGGGACAGTATGTGGACCTGTCCTGTGATCCAGCCTACGATGACTCCAGGACCCTCTTCTGGCAAATTGTGCAGAGTGGCACAGGAACAGCCATCATCATACTCATCAAAGAGCCAGGTGTGTATATAAATTTGTATATCCTTCTAATTGTTATGCATTTTCAGGGCTCAAAGTCCTTTTTGAGCATTATACAATGTATATTCAATACAAAAGACAGCCCCAGTTTACCTGCACTAATGTGCATGCTAGTATGAATTCTAAGGTGGCATTTCAAGCCTTGATTTTTATGTTTCTTTGTGTTATCTCTTAGTACAATCACACATAGTATTACATGTTATTTGTAGTCAGTACACAAATGCACACACACTTATGATATACATGTAGTAGTTTATTAGAAAAAGAGAGAGAAAGAAATTGCACTCTGGCAGAATCATCAATTCTACTGATAGAGATCCCAATCAAAGTGTCTGCTGACATGGCTGTGGAAAACAATACAAATACATTTGGTTTTTACATTATGACTTAACGTTACTATCATTATTAAATGTATACAGGGAAAGAAATAGAGATCCTTGAGGATCGGTATGCTGGCCGACTGTCCCTCCACAATGGCAACAACCTCAGGATCTTCAACCTGAACAGAGACGATGATTCTGTCGACTCGACCGACCCGGACTTTGTCGGTAGCTACAGGTGCAGCCAGGGAGCAGGACTGGTGGGAGAACAACTCATTCTGCGAGTCAGACGTGAGTTTGAGAGATATGTGCAAATCAGTGTTTCCGCCAGAGGGCCGTCCAGCCGTCGTATGACGGCCTCGTGTCGTTTTGGACGGCCTGAACTTGGACAGAGGCAGCCCTCTTAAAAAATGCCGAGACTCGGAAAAATCAGAGAAATTGACAGTCTTTGTTTTGTTGCTGTAGACGGGGACGCCGTCCAAGGCAGGAAAGACACACGTTGTTTGTTTTGCTATTGTTATCATGCTGACGAACAATTGATGTCGGTGCCTTTCGCATACGTTAATCTCATTAAAACCCTTTTTTAAAGTCTCCATCCGGTAAAATGTACCCACAAACATTTACAATTACAACATTTACAAGTAGAAATGTATTTAACTGTATCATCAACTTTCATGTTATGTGTTATACAAGGTTAACAGTGTGTATGATTCACAAATCTTGGCTATAGTATAAGGTCTCATGTGACTTTTAATTATTACAGGTACACCAGAGCCCCCTACCGACCTTGCTGTAACTGCAGTGCGGCTGTACTCAGTGGAAGTTGAGGTCACTGGAGGTCACAATGGTCTGGAGCCACAGTCACTGTGTGTGTGGTACAGGGAACAGGGGACAGAGGAATGGAAGAAGGGAAAGGGGGAGAACTCCTGTAAACATGGAGTAGATGAAGGTATAGTTCTTTTCTTAAATTACATTTGATATCTTGTAACGTTATATTAGACATTAGTTTATGACAGCAAATAATTTTTCCAAAAGTCAGCATTTAGAGCCAAAAAAAATCTAATACAAATTAGAAAGGCAGCATTTGCAATGTGAATGCAAAATGTTCAGTAATACAATGTACCTTCACATGGTCTAGCCTAACAAACTACTGCTCTGTTTATTCTTACTCATTCATATACATATGGTGACCAGCCCCTCCAACTCTGTCCTGCCACTTACTACATAATGTAATCCAAAACCACAAGGTGTCTGCTGCAGCACCAGTTACCATGGTGACAGACATCTGATCTAGGTCATTTGAATGTTGTGCTATCATAATTCAGCACCAAGGACAGAACCAACACAGTGCCATGCCCTGCTACTTTCCCTCTATTCAACTTTGCCATAAGCACCCAGCAAACTGCAAGCACTTACTGGTGTGTCTGTGTGTGTGCTTTTCCATATTTGTGGTGAACATAACTTAGAAGGCCTGGAGCAGAGAAACACTACAGAGGTGTGATATACGAAGCATGATTGTGAAGCAAAATGTAACGTTAAGGACCATAAACCCGTAATGTGTCCATGTTCTATCACTGTCTATGCAGATATGATAGCTGAACTCCCACATTAACATAACGGTATGTGATGTATAAATTTACCAGAGGACCAGCTCTATTTGCTGTCTCATTGAGTAATTTAGAAATTACACTGATTCTGAAGTCTTTAACTTTTCTCTACACAGGGGAGGAGGTCACTGTAAGGTCTACGTTACCTACTGCAAACACCCCCTACCAGATCTGTGTGGTAGCGCAGAATCGCGTGAACAGCAGCCGATGTGAGAATGCCTACATCCAAGCTACAACTGACAGTAAGTACATGTACTGTAATTCTTAGGTAAAACATATTTTAGTTTTTGCAATATCATTTTTAAGTCCACTAAATCAACAAGGAGGGGCATTTGGATTAAATATTCAAATTGTCACATTAATGAATTAAACTGCAAAATTTAAGCAGTTCAGTATGTAATGTACCCGATTGAATTCTATCATACAATCTCCTCCACTCCTTACTTAGCATGAACTTAATACATGATTGTAGCTGTAAATTTCTAAGAAAGTTTTTATGTTTTTTCTATTATCCAAAAAGGCTCTCATTCTGGAAATTTTTGTTCTTAATTCTTAGTTATGGTTAGATAAATCCCTGATTAGATAGATAGCTGTCTGATAAAAAAAATTTTGCCCCTTTGAAGAAAAAACCCAAGAGTGTGGCCAGCAGTCCACCACATCTCTTACAAACCCTGCAGACTCAGACAAACCACAAGTGTGCAGGCTTGTTAAGAACTATGTGCTCACTACAACTGACAGTGAGTACAGCCAGATTTTAAAAGTTTTTCTGCCCTTTTTTTAGTCATAATTATTCTTCAGGTCAGCAGTAGTCAACAATAGTTAGTTTTTGTGCACTTTTTGTAGAATCTGTATCAGTATAGCCGGTATAACCGCCCTTCGGTGTAACACACCAGCTTCGCAGGCACGCGGCGCGGCGGCAGCTGGTTACATTACACCAATCGACTTGTTACACCTAACCCTTGAAGGCTTGAACATTTACCTCTAAACACTTAGAATCTAATGATAATGCCCCTACTGTACTTGGTGACAGCGAGTTCCACTCTGTGATACATGACATATTTCTAGGAATCTAGACACATGATAGTATAATGAAACATGGAGGTGGTGTAGTGTCTAGAAGTCCCACTTTTAGGTGATGAGGCTGGAGCCTGGACCTTTTAGTACTTCCTATTATACATAAATACCACCTGCATTGCTCTTTATTTTTTTTTCAGGTGTTGCCTCCTTCAATGCGACCATTCGGCTGCCCAGTGAACCCTACAAGTCTCCTGACCCAAACAACAGGGAGAACCAAGAACTGGTCAGCCGCATTGTCAACTCTGTAAGTATTCAGACAGTGTGTTAGCAAGTACATTGTATTATCAAATGGCAGTAACTTATGACATTGTTATGTTATGTTATGTTATGTTATGTTATGTTATGTTATGTTATGTTATGTTATGTTATGTTATATATTATTATATTATGTTAGACAGTACTAGAATGTTTGATTCACTTGTAACTTTTGACTCGTCGTCTTAAACTGTTACAACAATCACAATCTTTGTATCCACCTTTGCTTCAAATTTCTAGATCAACACTGCCCTAAAGCCTACCCACCCTGACCTGGAGGTTGAAGTCATTCAGTTTAGGTGAGTTTTGTTACTTGAGTTACATACTACTTTCTCTGCTTAGCACTCAGCATTTGGACTAGTCCTCTGCTGTAGTGATTGCACTACTGTATAAATGTATTGGCCAAAAGGCTTTTGAACCAGGGATTGGTACCACCCTATGCACCTGACTTTAACTTTTACTTAAGGTTCTCTCTATATATATAGTTGAACTTGAACAAAATGTTTACTAAGCATGAAAGTTTATCTGTGTTGGTAGTAATCATTTAAAATGTTGAGCTTTTTTCAAACACAAGAAGATGGTGACAGTGGCCGTTAAAAATTTGATCTCTGTGTAATCCTTGTGTTGGAATTAAGTTCAATATCTTACTAAAAATGCCTCTGTTGGTGTAGGGAGGGCAGTGTTCTGGCTGACTTGAAGATGTCTGTGGGACAGAGAGAGGTTCAGCATGTGAAGGATGACTTTGTGTCGGACGTAAGATCTGAAAGACTGACAGGCATCGATGTGGACAAGAACTTTGTCTTAATAGACAATGAAAGTAAGCTCTCATTATCACTTATAGTAGATCAAAAACTAGAAAATTATGAAAGTCAATGCATGCAATGTATATGGGCTATGTTTTTGTAAGGCATGTACTTACTTGACTTCTATTCAGCAATGGCCAAAATGCACTTTTGCAACACATTTTACCATGCAGTTCTGAATCAGTATTTTAGTGAGCAAAGTTGAATTCATTAACACGTAATTTTACGGGGTCATGAAACAGATTTCTGAACAGTCCAGATCAATTACAAATACCGGTGATACATTGTTTCATTTTGCTTTTCTTATCCTGTTTTTCAGTTCCTCCAGTTGCACAGGATGACACAAGTAAGTACACTGTATCAATGAATCACATTTCCAATTCTATTTTATGTGTAACTGCATACTGTGTGCTGTGCATCAATGTTGAAGTTAAAAGATTTCTTGGTACTTCTTGCCAGTTTTGTAACTTGTTTACAATATACATGTCTGTCCTTATTGAAGTAGAAATCTGCACACAAGTTAACAGTCAGTGACAGCCTTATTCAGAGTATAATATAGTACTATTGTTAAATGGTACATTTCACATACAGGTCCCCAAGGCAACTCAGACCTCCTTGCCAAAGTGCTTCTACCGATTGCATCACTTGCGGTGATTACCATCATTGCTGGGGTGGCTGCTTACTTGCTGTGTCAGAGGACTGCCTACTTTGAAGGTACATTTGTGCAATGTTTTTTTTAACGCAGTAGTTAAGGTAATGTTAAAGCCTATTACCAGTTATGCTGTGGGCCTTGAACCTGATTCAAACAATGAATACAAGAAATGTATGACTTTGGGTAAACTGATAATAGAAAAAAGCATCTCGGTTGGAAAGAGCACACTTCAGGATTCATGTTGAGAAGAATTTTTCTTTCTTTAATCCTTACTCATGCAGGTGCTAAAGACACCATGGAGATGGCAATTGCTATGGCTTTGCAGGCATTGCAAGAACTAACAAAGGATGACGCCAAGCTGTCCATTCTACTCCCAACTCCACCTGCAACAGAGAAGCCCATCTCCAACGTCAGGCTACCAGATGTCGGCTTTCACGAGAGTGCTGACTGTAAGAGCATTGTAGCTAAGGCAAAGGAATCCCCTTCCTTAGTAGTAAGTGGTCCCACGGGTAGTGGTAAAACACAGGGGGTTCTGGCATATGCTCAGGAGTTTGCAAAGAAAAACATGAATTCGGTCATGTGGTTCTTTGGTCGATCAGAGAATGAGGAAAAGGGCCTTACGAAGGAAACTGTTTTAGAGCAAGGTAGGGATCTAGCCAACAAGCTTGGGGAGGGCAACCTTACACCAGAAGAGTTGCCTAACAAAGTCATGGAGTCTCTGCAAAATCGCCAGGGCAAAAGCCTGATGATTTTTGATGACGTCACTGCTACAAGTGGCATCCCTGCTGCCTATCTGGCAATGAACGAGAAAGTCGCTGTGTTCATCGTTACACGAAGCGCCAACCTTGACCTAAACCTTCCCGAGCACAAGATGGAGGGCTTTGCTGATGAAGATGTGCTGGAGTACTTCAAGAGTCACAAGAAGTCTGTAGAAATCTTCAAGGAAACATCTGACGAAGACCTCCTGAGGCTTGGCATCCATTTTGGCAACCTCCCACATGGACTGACCCTGGCAAGAAGCTACCTGCTGTCATCAAGGACTTTGGTGAAAGGCTACCTTCGCCAGCTAGAGGAGAGGTCCAAGGGTGTTCCTAGTGAGCTTAAAGAGCACGAGAAGGCAGTGTATGGCGCCATCCTGACATCCACGGAGGACAGAATGTCAAGATCATCCCAAGATATGCTGAAGTTCCCTGCCATTCTGTCCCAGGACCGAATTCCTGTCTTTATCCTCAGCAAGGCTCTTGAGATAGCTTCTGGCGAGACCCCAAACAAAGATGAATTCATCAGAGAGGTGGAAGAGCTGTCCCTCGCTCGCGTTGAAGGGAGGCAGGAAGAATGGATCGACGGACGGATGATCAGCGTTCATCAGCAAACACAGGCAGCCATCTTGTCTAGCCTAGACGAGCAGCAACTGGACACGATGACCAAGAGCCTTGTCCAAACCTTCCTCGAGTACTTCCACAAAGATACCAGGAAGATCCAAGATGGCTACATCAACGGTCTGCTTCTTCCACACGTCGAGGCTGTACTCAAGCTTCCCAACATCAGTAAGCTTCCTGAGGAATTCCTCTCAGGTCTGGCTCGACTGTACGAAACCGTCGGCTACATGTACTGCCAAAAGCGTCTGCCAGAAGTTGCAGCCCCAGCACTAGAGAAGTCCAAGGAAATGATCGGTGCACTTGTCCCATTGGATACAGACGCTGACAACATCTACCAGTTGCTTGTGAGGGAGGGAGAAAAGCTGTACGACAAGGAAGATGTCTACAGCAAGAGCTTGAAGAAAAGGGTTTTGACGACAGGAGATGTGAAGGTTCTAAAATCCAAGGTCCCAACACTGAGTGATGAGTTCAGCACGGCAGCTAAGATGGGAAAACCCCTAACTGAAGACCAATACGAAAAGCTAGTGGAGCTACATTTGGCCTACAACTCTGAGCAGAGCAAGCAATCGTTCCTGGTTGAGCTGGTAGCTACCGTCCTCTACACCTCTGCCCGCAGAATCTTCTACTTCCAGGGTGAAGAGAGGGTACGGTACAGGCCGACTGCTGAACAGGACTTGAATCTGTCTTTGGCGCTCAGCCGCAAGCTCGCAGAAGACCAAGGGTTGCAGATCTTAAACAAGATGCTGTCCCGACGAGCGGGCACACTGTACATTCTGAAAGAAACGGACGGCAAGTCACCCGAGCAACAGAAGAGCGACTTTCTTCAGGCCATTGCAGGGTATCAAGAACTCATCAATGATGAAAACGACTACTTTGAGAACGGCGTCCTGAAGAAGATCGGAGATGATGACTTCCACTGGATGTTCTGCTACAGAGCCATCGTCGATTCCTACCGACGTCTTATCCGCCTGGCCACAACCGACCAAGAGAGGGCTGACTTCATCCGTCAGCACAACGAAAGCGCAAAGAAGATGGTAGAGTTTGGAGAGAAGCAACTAAAGACAGACGACAAGGGGAATGTCATCGAAGAGCCCGAGATGCTGCCAGAAGTCTACAACATGGCTGGAGACTTCCTTGTAGAGATGCTGGAGAAGGGTTTGGTGATGGACCAGGGAGCCACAGCTGCAGAAGATGGAAACCCTTTGGAAGAGGCAGAGAAGTGCTACCACAAGGCGCTAGACGTAAAGTCTATCAAGTCACACCACGAGGCAGTGTCCCGGCTTGGCTTAGCAAAGGTTTACACCTTGATGTACGAGGCAGAAAAGTCCAAAGCTGCCCAAAACGGGACTTCAGCAACAAACGGGGACACCAGGATACCCATAGAAGGTACAGAAGAGAAGATCCCATTGGTCGAAAAGCAGCCAACCCTTGACGAGATCCACCATTTGACCAATGCGAAGGGGGATATGAACAAGTGTCTGGAAATCTACGAGGAGAAACTGAGGAACAGGATGAAGGACATCAAAGAAGCAAAGAAGTGGAACGACCGCATTGTGCGTCACATTGACAGTCTGCTTACTGAGACAAAAGAACAAGAGACGACTGTTGTTTGAAGCCAATACTGGACTCTCCTCAAGCAAATTGAAGCAAGGGTGCTCCCCCCCTCCCCAAAATTCTAGCACCTCTCCCAAAATGTTCAAATTCAGGGTTTTCTCTTAGTATTTTAATGAAAATTCCCTCATTTTTTCATCAACCGATTATGGAGCACCTCTCCACTAAGACTTTCTGGGGAGACCCCTGGAATATCATCAACATGAGAAACCAAGGACAAAAATATGCATTTTTTTGTGTGCATGTTTCAAGAACAAGCTGTCATACTGCAAAATATCTGCAGCTGACTAGTTGCATGTTTTTTTTTAACTGTAAGAGCATATGATCAGAATCCCTTGTGGATACCACAGTGACTACTTTGTTAATGATAAGAGTCCAGTCACAATGTACTTTTGAAAGCTGAGTTTTTGTAATAGTTGTACATATTTCCTGCCAAATTTGATAAGGCCTTTCAAATGTTGGCAGTTGTTAGTTCTTTCACAAACTGCTTAAGACTCTACCACATCAAATCGTATTATTGTATACAACGAATTTGACTGCACAGTAATATGCTGTGTAGTTTTTGGCAGCTTTAAAACTTGAACCATTTAAACTAATGGTTCTTATTAACAATGTAGAGACAATTAGTGAAACATTGGAAATGCTTTTAGTCCCTTACAAGGCTTTTAGTAAATGTCATGTTTTGTGAAAAAGATATTATAGTCATTATGAACTTGAAGTGTTTGTGTGTTAAACAAGGCATTCAAAGTTGTAAATTTAATTTGATAATGTAGTTTTTTGAAAGATCAAGAACAGACGAAATTTCAAGATAGAAATTGTATCAATACCAGAAATTAGTTATATCTCTGATAAAATTTTCTTAGATTAGGTTTGAAATGTGTACAAAGTCTTTCAATATTATTCCAGTGTGTGTATCTGTAAGACATTAAGATTTTTGCTGCTGTTTTGATTGTTTTCAATAATTCTAATATCATAATTATATTGATGAAAACAGTGTCTAACTCTAAGCACATTTTTAATGGCTGGTTATATCAAAGCCATGGCACTCTACAAGTATTTTGTGCTTTAATGCTTTTAGATAAATTTTGTGCCATATGATCCATCCATCTTTTGACCAAAGGAGGTCTTTAAACAACAAAATGGTGCTTAATTTAATTGCTTAATGTTATTGTATGGAAACTGCTGTTTTTCAGATTGATGTGTTTTTGAACTCTTAACGTAAGTTAACTCGTACGTAAGTTACACACTGTCATGCTTTTAAAAAGCATAGGACAGCATATGCACAATGTCTGCCACCCATTGAGTAATACATGTACTAAGGTAACAATAATTGTGTTAAATTATAAGATAGTATTAGATCTGAGTGAAAGGGTGGTAGACAAAACTGTAGAAACTTTGGTGAAGGTTAGACATCTAGGTAATAAGATATGCCAAAAACAGTTACTCAAGCAACAGGATATGATTTTGGAAATGGTCAGTCATTTCAGGTAGCATAGGAGCAAAGGAGTAACTGTTTTTTGGCATTGAAGTATAGAGACATGTTTCAGTGTTACGTGTTTAATGTTAGTAACATTTGCAGTTCTCATAAGACTTGAAGTTGTTGCTGCTTCTTATATAATAGATTTTTACTTGCATACAGCAATCTGTTACAGATTACACTTAAAATAAACAAGATCTTATGCATGTAGAATATGATGTTGCCACTCTTTTTCTTTTACATTAAATGCTAAGCCTCATACATGTATATTGATGAAATTTGTGTTTCCCAGTACCAAGAGGGATAGACACAATACAGAGCATCATTTATATACATGTACATTTATCATTACAATGGCCATAATTTACAAAAATAGATATTCTGGGACATTTGTAATGCCTGGAACTCATATTACAAAAGTCATCAAAACTACTTACTGTTTTTACGAATGAATCTGCAATAGTATATTTTGTCAGCATTCAAAGTTATGCTGTCACTGACTTACAAATTCACCATCAATTACTTCTGAATTGCTAATTGTTTGAATCTTATTCCCCCCCCCAAAAAAAAAACTTTTCACCTGGTTGTAAATTATAAATGTATATTAAGCTAATTATAATAACAGAAATTTATAAACTATTCTGCTTTTACAGGATACAGGGTTTTACAATACTGTTGACATTAAAACAATTCAACAACAAAATTTATGTACATTTTTGTAAAAGGTGTTAATAACAATATGTTTTCATTGGGTAAACATAATTACACATTATTTTGTAAAATTGTGAGCTTGTCAAATCTACTTGTCTATCATTTCCATTCAATATAGTGTTCATATATCCAGTGTATCTGTGTCCAGTACTGCCAGGTGATAGCGGCTACCACTAGGGCACAGGCATATGGAAAATGACAGAATGTTATCATATAGATTATACATTTGTACAGTTGTAAGATAGTTTATCATTTCCATTCAATATAGTGTTCATATATCCAGTGTATCTGTGTCCAGTACTGCCAGGTGATAGCGGCTACCACCAGGGCACAGGACACGTGTAGAGGAGTCAGGGTACTCTGGACTGTAAGGCTGTGGCTTGTTGTTGTGAGTTGTCGGATTGTTTCCACTGTTTCCATGGTGAGGCTGTATGAAGGGTCGTGTGGGGACATCTTGTTGGCAATCTGCAAAAGGAGACACAAAGTTTCATTACATAGAGGGAAACTAATTTACATAATATATTTGTTTAAAATATTTTGGATTAGGTAAAGAAAATCAGTAGAGATGAGACTTCAAAAGTGGAATTAGAAAGCTTTGTTTTGAAGAATATTGACCTTCCCCTACATGTACATGTAAGCCTCTACTAGGCTTTAGAAGTGACTCCAGGAAAGACTAGAAATTGACCAAATAGACAGATAACATGTCAGGGGAGTTGGTCCACTAAAGGTTGTGGCTCCTGACTATTTGGCCAATTTCTACTCCTTCCAGTCACTTCCAAAGCCTCGTAGAGGCTAGACTTTCCTTGTAATTGCAAACACTACTTTTAGAAAGGACTCAATGACATTTAAAATTCTTATCTTGAAACCTTTAAAATGACTTTACCTCCTCACAGAATGGTCTCATGATGTCCTTAAAGTTTTCCATGTTTGTCGCGTGGATCATCATCTTCACTGCCTCTCCCTTCCTGATCTTCACCACGCCTCGGAACACTTTGATGTTGTTATAGCAACGGGCCAGGGTTCCGATGGCCATCACCTAGGAAACACACAAACAAACAAACCAATATAATTGATGCTACATAATATAAACCAACACCACTGGGTGTCTGCTGGAGCACCAGTTACCATGGTGACAGACATCTGGTGTTTAGAGAAGAAGAGGAAGAATGAATGACGAAGAGGATGAATGAGTGAATGAATGAATGAATGAATGAATGAATGAATGAATGAATGAATGAATGAATGAGTTATAGAGTTCAAGCTTGTTCCAACACAACTAGTAGTGCATTATTCCGTAAAATTATGGTGAGTTCTTTCTTTGTGTTGGAACAAGCTTGAACTCTATAACTAAGCTTTGAGGCATAAACAAGTTTCTACCTGAGGAATGGCGCAGAAGTTGAAGACACTCTGGTTGCGTAGCCTGGACATGTACTTGAGCACATCAGGAACATGTAGCAGAGCATTCGACACCAGCTCATTCAGGCACCACAGGGCATTCTGGGACATGTCCGGCTGTCTGAAGTCTGACAGCTTCTTTGCATGTTTACTCCAAACCTGTGAAAGTAGAAAAATTCATTTGTCAATAGAAAGATAATATTTACAAGGCAAATTCATAATGTTTATCTTCACCAGCCAGGCTAACAAACTACTGCTGTTTATTCTTACTCAGACACATTCATACATACAGTGACCAGCCCCTCTAACTTTGTCCTGCAACTTGCAACATAATGAACAAAATGTAACCCAACACCACAGTGTCTGCTACAGCACCAGTTACCATGGTGACAAGCATTTGGTCCAGGTCATCGACCTTATGTGTTTGATGAGCAAAAAGAATATGTTTTACTTCATAGTATGCGAATGTTACTTAACACCACAGGGTGTCTGCTACAGCACCAGTTACCATGGTAACATCATCATCACCATGGTAACAGACTAAAGTAAACAAGATTAAATCACCTGTTTAGGCCAGAACTCCCTGCCGTCCACCTGGTCCTCCAGATAGTCGCGGATGATGTTAGTTTTCTGCAGGAACAGGCCCATGGAGTTGGCGAGTTCTGTGTCCTCCCCGACTATCGCGTCCTCGAACTCTGACCCGGAAAACAGTCGGGACAGCCCAATACCCACCAGGCCGGCTACGTAGTGACAGTACTGGACAGAATAAAACAAAAAAAAAAAACGATAACACAAATAAACAGTTTGCCAGTTCTGTGTCCTCTCTGACTATCGGGTCCTCAAACTCTGACCCTATGAACAGTCGGGACAGCCTGATTCCCACTCCTGCTACCTAGTGACAGTACTGGACAAAATAACAAGAAAATACAACAGGTGTCAATTCAAGAGCCTTAACAAAATACATGCGTGATATAATATGTGTGCATGTCAGTGTCTGTATGTATGTGCGTGTGTGTGTTTGTGTGTGTCTGTGCGTGCGCGTGCATGCGTGTGTTGTCAACAATAACTCTGATCAGGGCGTTAATTGTTAAAGTATTAGGGTGGTCCCTATTTACAAATCCTAAGATTCAATTCAATCCAACGATCTAAAGTAATAAGAATCATAATTGATAAATTCTGACTATTTGGATGCTTGAACTCCTAGGAAAATGCAGTTGGACAAGATTCAGAAAAGCTAAACAGATACCTTGTTCCATTCCTCCAGTGTGTCCACGTCTTCTCTCTGTACAAACTCTGCCATGCCAGCTCCCATCCTTCTGCAAATGTCAGAGATTACCTCCTGGTACAGAGGCTTCAGCTTACGGAACTCCTGCGAGATCTGGGAATAAAAATTTCATAAAGATTTTGAGAAAAAAAGGAGGAAACAAAAGATAGTAGTAGAATTTACTAGAAAGGTAACATTTGCAAAGCAGATGCATAATGTTTACCTTAGTTTACATTGGGATGATCTAGCTCAACAAACTATTTTTACTCAAACATGTCACATATGTTGTATGTGGTGACCAGCCCCTTCAACCCCATCCTGCAACTTGCTACATAATGTAACCCAATACCAGATGGAGACTGTCTGCTAGAGCACCTGTTACCATGGTGACAGCTGTCTGGCCCAGGGCATTGACCTTTTTTTGTTTGGAGAAGAAAAAGAAGAAGGGGGAATACAATATGTTTTCCTTCTTTTCTTCTTTAACAAATGAGCACTACTTGAAGTTGTGACAACACAATGTATTGACCAAACATTTTTTTCTTACAACTGTTTTCATTGGGTTAAAATATCATAACTCACAGTTGGGAAATCTTCCAGGACTTTCTTGTCTTTCTCATTACTCTCCATGAACCTCCATCCGGGGTCCTGTAGGTAGGTGTAGAAGTTATGTAGCATGTCCAGTTTGGTGGCCAGCGGAATGGTCATGTCATCTTCTACTGTGTCCAGGGCTCTCAGGACAAGGTAGAATATACACACAGCATCTCTGTAAAATATCAGATACAGAATTACATACATATATATCAACTGGAAGTTGTGCAGCATGTCCAGTTTGGTGGCCAGCGGAATGGTCATGTCATCTTCAACCGTGTCCAGCGCTCGGAGGACCAGGTAGAATATACACACTGCATCTCTAGGAAATATCAGATACAGAATTACACATATATCAACTGGAAGTTATGCAGCATGTCCAGTTTTGTGGCCAGCGGAATGGTCATGTCATCTTCAACTGTGTCCAGGGCTCTCAGGACCAGGTAGAATATACACACCGCATCTCTGGTAAAACATCAGAAGTACACATGTATCAAATTGAAGATGTACTGTGCACAGAGTTGCTAACTTAATACTAGTATAAATGTATGTAGCTAGGCTTACATTGTCATCATGGACATCTGATCTGTAAAATGCTCATAATTCTTCTAATCTTAAGAAAAAGGCCCTCCCCCTGGAAAAAAAACACTGCGATAGTTGCTCATAGAAAAAACAAATGCGGCCATGCCAGAAGTCTGTGCATGAGGCTAGTTAGAATATTAAGACCCACAGGAAAGAGGCAAATGGCAGGCTGCCATCAAGCCTTAGCATTGGTGTGCAAGCATGTCTAACTGTTTAGAAGACAAGAAACAACAGACACTTAACCGGATAGTGAATGAGAGTGTGCATGTATGTAAATAGTGTCAAACTTAGGACTGGTCTAGGCACTGAGCTGGACAGAGACTGGACACACCTGAGATCACCGTCGAGAGCCTGAGTGACGGCAGCGAAACTGCGGCTGGTCTGGTTCAGGTACTGGTAACAGGTGCGCATACTGGGGCACATTTGGTCCTACAGAAAATAATTTATATATCATATATCATATACAACATATACAGGAGCCCCATCTAGCAGTTTTCCTCCAAACTGCAGGTGTACCCTTAATTCCATGAATGTGCTTAACTGTGTTACTTAGAAAAAATGATGTGAATGTAATACTAGTACTAGTATCACCCTTCTTGGAAGATGCTATTGCAATTTTAAAGTAAACTCAAAAGGCAAAATTCAAACTCTTATGTAACGTTAGTATCAATTACTTCCGGACGTTTCGAGTGACACTCCCCCAAAAATTGTTTTAAGATCTTTTAAATGTCACTCTCTAAAGCAAAACGTATTAACGTTATAAAGCAGAACGCTTTGGGTACCATAATGAAGAATTTTATCACTAAAATCTGCTCCAATTGACGAAAGAAAAGAAACTTTAATGGTGGCAACACACACATAACATATAAAATATATGTAATAGTGAATAGAGTACCATTTTAGCACCAAGGCCAAAGCAATTACTCACGTAATGGCATTTCGTCTGGACAGTTCCGCAGCCTCCTAGCTTGAATTTAAGCAGAGAATAAACCTCTTCTGGATGCCCAGCAATGACAGAACGCATAAGATCCATGTTTATGAGCTTTAAGTGAACGTAAAGGTTGAAGAAAGCTCAAGAATCAAGGCTTTTCTTGGGCGAAATCTTGTAGAAAATGCATCTGACCTACATTAGCAAAGGCAGAAGACCTGGTTTCTGGTCCTGTGTTGTGATTGGTCAAAAATCCCACCTGAGGAAGTCCTGACCAATCAGAGGAGCCGATAGGAATAAGGTGACTTCTCGTACTCTTGTTCCCAAGTTCTTACACTGAATAAAGTCAAGAATTAAGTATTTTTGTGTGTTTATCACTATTTTTTAAGGATTTCTAAAATCAATTATGAATGTTTTTTTAAATTAAGAATGCAATATACATCGAAAAATGTATGGAATGTTGGAAGAATAAACAGAGTGTTCTGAGAACGAGACTTTACAGATTTGACTAATAGTGTGTGGGGACGTACTGTACTTTTACAAATTCAGTAAGCTACAGTTACTAAATGCATTTAAGTGCAGTTTTATTAATATTTAGATGCTTATTCTAGAAATTTACTAAATTTTCTTACTTGCAATTTATATTTCTGTAATGTTTAATTGTTCAGCTTACATGGTCAAAAATTCCCCTACAGATTAATGGTTGCTTCCAAATTGATACGTCACACTGCCGCCATCTTGGCAGTTGCGCAAGGCGGAGAAATCTGCCTTCGGACAATTTTTCCCGCGTTATTTCTATTTTTGGCGCTTTCATGCTAAAAACCATTATCTCACCTTGTGCAATATCTACCAAAGCACCTGCAAGTTGCTTCACAACCACCTTTCGAGAGGACTAAGAGCGCTTCGAACGTTTTTTTCGAGGTTTGTTACCATCCACCCTCCCCTTTCGCACCGGCTACAAGTGCGAACACAGCAAATTTTGTACATACTTTTGATTATACCAATTTGTATAAATCGACAGCGTTTGTAGATATTTTGTATAGATTTTAAAGTGTATATATTGAAGATAAACTCTACGGAAAACGATGGAAGGATCAGGGATAGCTGTTCTAGAGCCAAATTCGGTTACTGGGCCTGTACCGGCTCCGGTACCAACTACAAACGCTTGGGGGAAAGCTTCGAGTTCTAGTCCATGGAAGACTTGTCAAGCGCCGGCCCCTTGTTCACTTGAGGATGTCATGAGCGAAGAACTGGCCAAGGAACTACAAGAGGAAGAGAAGGAGACTTTCCAGAAGCTAACTGCTGGCAGGTTCGTAACTAAAAATATACCCATAACCATAATTTAGGCTTTGTTGTTTACCTGTATGTGTACATACTAGTAATGTTTACTAAAAGTATTTATGAATATAGAAAGAAGTAGCCATGGCAACTTGATTGTATATCAGACGATTCTCGTATAATATCTGATATAGAATATATTGCTTTTTAAGTGCTTCGGGAAGTAAATTACTAGCAGTCACTGTTTTTGCTTCTTACTAATTTTAGAACATGACTTATAATTTGGTAGGCAAATTGAAGTAATTAATCTATTAGTAGTAAGTTTTGTATGTCTTTTACATCACATAATATATAGTAGTAATAAGGCAATGTGAATAAGTGCAAATCATAACATTTTTATATTTTCCAGTGGACCAGACTTCCTGGCTGCCCAAACAGATGACCTTGACGTCAGTGATGACCTTCTGCTGGCCCAGATGTTACAGCGGGAGTTTGACCTTGAACATGACCAGATGCTGCGCATGGAGGAGAAGAAGGTCAACGGAGACAGCAGAGGTCAGCACCAACGATTTAAGTTTTTTCGTGGTACTTTTATGTTTGCGTGGTCACTTCTGTACCATGAACTTGTCAACCGTCAACAAATACTTCATTGACTTTCTTTTTCCAGCACTGTGAACATGAAGTTCCATTTTCCTCAGTCAGTGACCTTTTGATACCACAAACATAAAGTGAATTACAGAATAACAGTATGTGTGTTCTTTTTCTTACAGTGACCATCTCGTTTGAGAACTACCGAATGGTTCACCCGGCAGAGACAGAGGACAGCAGTGGCAGTGATGAGGACCTGGACACACCAGAGGATGCCTGGGAACAGGGTAACGAGTAGTTTAATTAATTCTTCCTTAAGTTAATGACCTCAGTGTAGTGAGGTTTTTTTGTTGTTGTCATTGATAGTGAGTTTCCATAGTCATTTCTACAATTGCTATGTGTGTCATTTTTCTTCTTTGGCTGTCACTATGAGTATGGTAACTGGTGCTACAGCAGACACCCTGTGGTGCTGGATTACATTATGTAGCAAGTTGCAGGACAGAGTTTGGGAGGGGCTGGTAACCATATTTGAATGTGTTTGATTCAGAATAAACAAAGCAGTAGCTTGTTGGGCTAGACCATATGAAGGTAAACATTCTGCATTTGCTTTCCAAATGTTACTATCTTTCTAGTTATATATTCTTTAAGTGGAATGTATATCTGTATCAAGTAATGCTATTTTGTATTCATAGATAGCTGTTATTTACATTGTTCATATTTGTACTATTGTAATTTGTAGACACCCCAGCGACTGTGCCCAAGCGAGGGTACACAGGCCGGGGACAGAACATGGTCACCAAACATGACGCCAAGATCTGTGGGCAGAAAAACTCTGCTAGGATGATGCAGGTTTGCTCATACTTATCATAGAAACGTTAAAATCTATTATAATATTCATAATGGCAAAATGATTAAGTTTTAACTTTCAATCCAACACAAAGAATAAGCAATTTTAGTTACCAAAGTTGTACTCCACTTAAATGTCTACACTACACATTGTTGTACTACACCAAAACTGCATTGTTGTACTACGCTACACATGTACAATAAAGGTCTTCATTTATTCATTCATTGTTGCACTGTACTTAAGACTAAAACACTACACAATTGTCTACTAGACTGAAGTTCCCAACACTACACATTGTTGCACAGTACTACACTAAAATGTCTAACATTAGTGTTGTAGTAGCTTGTACTACTAAGATTTCTAACACCACACAATGTTGTCCAGTTCCCCCCAGACTTCCACAGTGGAGACAGTGTAGGCATGGTTCTACCCAACCATGTGTACAACACACTGAAAGTCCACTCCTACAAGGAAGACCATCGCAGCCACAGGGTTCATGATAAGAAGGAGATCTCAACAGCTGTAAGTCTTCTCGTGCTCTGTTCCTGAGGTTTATACATGTAGCTTAAGAAAGACCCAATATTTTTTTATATATGAAGATTTACCACCTTTGTGGAAGGATTGAAGATGTCAAACCTGAGACCAGACTGCAACGTTGTATTTTCTGGTCTCAGGTTTGTATAATAAAACAGTTTTCATATACACAGATTCATAATCCTTGTTCAACACCAAGGACAGGCCTGTTTTCATGTGTTGATGGTGTTCAGCACCAAGGACAGTTCTGTTCTTAAGTGTGGATAGTGTTCATGTCCCTCCTTGGCATTGAACAGTATCTACACATAACAATTCGCTTTTAAACTTGAACTTCACATAACCAGTTAACTACTTTCAACACGCCACTTTTGTACAAAAAGTACAAGCTCCATAAGACCGGACGGTAAGATTTGATATGTTTTTTTGGCATATCTTATTACTTGGATGTCTAACATTCACTGGTGTTCTGTGAATATTGTATACCAGAATTTTCTAACCTTCATCCATGTATTTTTTTTGTTTTTTCTAGGAACAAGCCATTGACCCCAAAACCCGTCTGCTGCTGTACAAGTTGGTGAATGCTGAGATCCTGGAGTGCATCAACGGCAGCATCAGTACTGGGAAGGAGGCCTGTGTGTTTCATGCCTTCGGTGGCAAGTAAGTCACTTTATTTCTTTATGAAGGAAAACTTGCCTTTCCCAAGCATATAACAGTGAGGCCATTCTACTCTCCAAGCAGAGGTAGGGTTTTGGGGATTTTTAGCGTGTTTTTAGGCTTTTTTATCAGGGTTTCTTTTTTGCGGAAAAAAAAAATTCAGTGCAAAAAAGAAACCCTGATAAAAAGGCCTAAAAACACGCTAAAAATCCCCAAAACCCTACCTCTGCTTGGAGAGTAAGGCCATTCAGAGATTTGAACCCAGAACTTTCAGATTCTGAGTCATTATAACCAAAACCACAAGACCACCTTGCCACCTTCAGATGAACTGTCCTTGGTTTGTCGATGAAGGTTAGACATCCAGGTAATGCATTACACAACGAAACAGTTACTCAAGCAACTAGATAGATTTAAAAAATTTTGACTAACATTTTCCCTGTGTGTTTTTTTGTGTCTTCCAGAATGGGTGACCTCCTGGTTCCCAACGAATGTGCCATCAAGGTGTTCAAGACGACGCTGAACGAGTTTCGCACACGAGATCGCTACATCAAGGAGGACTTCCGCTTCAAGGATCGCTTCAGTAAACTCAACCCCCGCAAAATCATCAAGTTGTGGGCAGAGAAGGAGATGCACAACCTCAACAGGTTAGTTGAAAGAGTTTTGTCTTCACTTATTTGGATATCAATCAATAGTTTTTTTTTGCTCTGTTTCTTTATCTTCTCCAAATGAAGGTCAGTGTCCTGAACCAGATGTCTGTCACCATGGTAACTGGTGTTGGGTTACATCATGTTGCAATTTTATAGTAGGAGGGATTTAGACTCCTGTCACCATGTATGTGAATGTATTTGAATAAGAATCAACAGAGCAGACCATATGCGAAGGTAAACATTACGCATTTGCTTTGCAAATGTTACCTTTCTAGTTGAGTAATTGTTTTTTTGGCGTATATACATATTTTCTTCAATTTTTTTGACAGAATGCGTCGTGCAGGCATCCCGTGCCCGGAAGTTGTCCTGCTGAGGAAGCACATCCTGGTGATGTCATTCATCGGTCAGAACCAGCAGCCGGCCAAGAAACTCAAGGACATCCAACTGTCAGCTGACCAGTGGCAGCAGGCCTACGCTCAGTGTCTGGATGTAAGTTTTAAATGTGTTACAGTACTACTAATAGGTAAATCAGAGAGTATACGTGTGTGTGTGTGTGTTTGTGCATATGTTCATCGGTCAGAACCAGCAGCCGGCCAAGAAACTCAAGGACATCCAACTGTCAGCTGACCAATGGCAGCAGGCCTACGCTCAGTGCCTGGATGTAAGTTTGTGTTGTACTTGTACAGCGTAGGTAAATTAAAGAGAATAGTGTTTATGTGGGTGTGATTTTGTGTGATTTTGTGTGTGAGTGATTGCGTGTGTGTGTGTGTGTTTGTGTGAATGTGTGTGTGTGTGCGTGGTGTTTGTGTGTGTGTTAGTGAGTGTGTCAGTGAGTGTGTGTGTGAATGTGTGTTGTTTGTGTTTGCGTTTGTGTGTGTGTGTGTGTGTGTTTTTGTGTGTGTTTGTGTGTGTGCATGTACATGGTGCACATGTGTGCATCTGTATACATTATGTTTGATGTGTACAAAAATGTACATAATTGCAGAGGGATGGATAGATGAAGTGCACGAAATGGTCATGGAAATAAGGCTTAGTGTTTCAATAGAAATTAAAGACAACTATCACAAATTCAGGCCTGGAACAATTAGAATAAGTGATAAGTATATGATTGATAATTGAAAGTTATCAAATTAATATCCTGTGTTTCTCCACAGTTGATGTGCAGAATGTACCGTGACTGCCACCTCATCCATGCAGACCTGAGTGAGTACAACATGCTGTGGCACAATGGACAGATCTGGTTCATCGACGTGAGCCAATCCGTGGAGCCGCAGCATCCACACGCACTCGAGTTCCTGTACAGGGACTGTCGCAATGTCTACCAGGTAGTTATTTGTGACTTCTGACTCTAGATGGAAGTATTGTTTTGGGTGGTTGAGTTTGTGTGTGTACAGGGACTGTCCAAAGGCCAATTTGTACCAGGTCAGAAACAAATTTTGAAAGCGCATCTCAATAGTATATTTGAAAGTGCAGTTTTTTTTTACCTCAGTGAACTTGATACAATCATCTGTAGTGTGCTGCAGGTCTTAAATTCTCTTTTAAGTCTTTTTTTCAATAAAAAGACCTAGCAATCGACTATAGTTATGAAGTAAGATTAAACTGTTATTCCCCCAAAAAATTGGACTTACTTTGAATTTGTATTTTGTACTATGCATGTTTATAGATTTTGTTGTATTTAAACTGTGTGTAAACTGTATCTTGCTTTTATATTATGTCTGACCCTTACCTCCTTCCTTTAGATCTCAATGAAATAAAAGAGAAAAGCGGTCTGCAGGCTGATTTAAACTTCTCATGAATACACAAAGGTTCAAACAAACTGAGCCTTGCACTCTCTTGGCCTTAACCCGACCGTACACTCAGCGAGTTTTCTCTTTTGTGCATTGTTCAGTTCTTCACCAGTAAGGGAGTACCCAACGTACTGCGGCCGCATGAACTGTTCAACAAAGTGTCAGACATGGACATAAAGGCTGGGGAGGACAAGGACTGTTTGGCACAGGTAGGAGGCAATTTTATAACTCTGATACAAGCAATCGCAATAGCACGTATGCCAATGAAGGTTAGACATCCAGGTAATAAGGAACGCCAAGCAACAGGATATGATTTTGGAAACGGACAGACGTTTCAGGTAGTATCCACTAGCTTTCATCAGTGACACTGGTGAGATCTCAAAATCATCAGCTTTATATAACCATGAACAAGTACATTTGAAATTATATGCAGATAAAGTGAAGACAAGTTTTTTGATAGTCCAATAGGAAACAAAAGTTACACAAAATTCACAACAGGAGGTAAAGTATTATCTGTCTTTGGGGCAATCCCACAAACTTACTACAGTCTCACTGTATTGAGTTTCAAAAAGTTTTGTCAAATACATTAGGAGGCAACAATACACAATGTCATTTACACAACAAAATTTGCACCAACAGGTTTCTGGAGCAAGTCATTGTAGATAAAAAGCTACATTTGTATGTATAGGTCCTGATTCTTGATTTAAATCAAGCAGTTTGTAATAATCTATTTTGAAATTTTCTCTCTACTTCTAGATCCAGACCTATGAGAAAAAGGAAGAGTACCTCAGCCAGGGGATGTCTCGTGAAAACTTCGCCTTCGACTACTTCTTCGAGCGCTCAAAGCTCCAACAAGAAGCACAAAAGGCAAAAGAAGACGGAAACTCAGAGGATGACAATGATGAAACATAGCAACGCATGATGACATTATTGACTAGAAAACTGTCAGTAGAACTGTCAAAATAGACTCATGTTGCAGAATGTTTTATCAAATATAATGTAATTCAGGTCTTCTTTCATATGTGTAGAAACCTGTAGTTTGCTGTATGATTTATTATTATTATTTGGACAGAATTGCAACAAGAATTGTATTATTTGATATCTTGTGTGCAAGTATACATATAGTGACAAATAGATGGAGGAAAGTATATGGAGTTTAAGTTAAGTATGATCCTATGTTTATGTCTACATGCGGCCTCATAATGAAAATGTAAGCACTGTATTTAAAGCACTGCCTTTTCTTTACCGAAAGAAGGCATTGATTGTGCAAAGTCAAAAGTTTCTACATGTAAGTAGTTCCAAAATCAGTGTAGCACAATATACCAAATCACCATAAGCCAAGAAAATGTACAAAGTTTTGGCAGACCATGAATACATGCTGTATACAAAAGTGTGAATCAATTTTATATCAGTCTTCATGCATACGTTAATTGGAAAGTAAAATCTTAATTTATGTTTCCACATTTTAGTTGGGAAAGCCAATTGTGACAAAGAAGTAATTTTCCCAACATCTGCTTAGAGATACATGTGTAAGATTGTGTTCTTTAGTTTGATTTAGCTTTGCTCTGCAACTATCAACAGACAATGCCTTGTACAGAGCTGTACTTACTAAAGAAAAAAGAACAGACGAAAAACTGATTGAACAAAGTTCTTTATTACGTTTGTGAAGATTAATCATCCAGGATAATACTAATAAGAAAAGTTTGAATCTTTACTTCTGGATAAAATAAGAAAATAATGTCAGACGTTTCAGACGCCGTCCGGCATCTTTCATCAGTGAAATATTCAAAATTGCGGTAGAACTCGGAACGGCACCGTTAATTCTAAAAGTATTTATGTTCTAAATAAACAAATAATAAGTTAGCAACAAGCGTTCTATAGGTTCTATATACAATACACATGGTAAAGTATTAACTAATGTAATGATAAAGATAAGTGAGTCCCTAGATATGCTGTAAAGTAGAATCCCATGTACTTGAAAGTTCAACTCTAAGTCCTCCCTTCCTGTTGAGTGATGGTTTATAAAGTCTTTCATAAATCGCCTCCTTGACTCCACGCTCAAACCAGCGCGCCTCCCGGTCCAAGATGTCCGTTGATTCAAGATGAAAAGAATGTGCTTTATGTTTGTCCAGATGGTGCCATATGGCCGAAGAAAATCCACTGTTACTGGCCCTGCAGTGTTGCTTATATCTTTCCTTGAGCGGCTGACTGGTCTCCCCGATGTACGTTTCTTTGCATTGATAATCTTCACATTTTAGTCTGTAAATGACATCCGATTTCACACAGTTTTTAAGTTTTTAACTGTGTGAAATCGGATGTCATTTACAGACTAAAATGTGAAGATTATCAATGCAAAGAAACGTACATCGGGGAGACCAGTCAGCCGCTCAAGGAAAGATATAAGCAACACTGCAGGGCCAGTAACAGTGGATTTTCTTCGGCCATATGGCACCATCTGGACAAACATAAAGGACATTCTTTTCATCTTGAATCAACGGACATCTTGGACCGGGAGGCGCGCTGGTTTGAGCGTGGAGTTAAGGAGGCGATTTATGAAAGACTTTATAAACCATCACTCAACAGGAAGGGAGGACTTAGAGTTGAACTTTCAAGTACATGGGATTCTACTTTACAGCATATCTAGGGACTCACTTATCTTTATCATTACATTAGTTAATACTTTACCATGTGTATTGTATATTGAATCTATAGAACGCTTGTTGCTAACTTATTATTTGTTTATTTAGAACATAAATACTTTTAGAATTAACGGTGCCGTTCCGAGTTCTACCGCAATTTTGAATATTTCACTGATGAAAGATGCCGGACGGCGTCTGAAACGTCTGACATTATTTTCTTATTTTATCCAGAAGTAAAGATTCAAACTTTTCTTAAAAGTTCTTTATTGTGTTTGCATTTTTTTAGTTCAATGGAAGAAAATTTACATGTCCTCATTGCAAAAAGCTTCTCTGGAAAGTACAGAAAAGAGTCAGCATCGTAAAATTTCCACAAAATGGCCCCAAACTAATAAGAAATTGTAGTACAATCCCTTAAGTTCTAGTGTGTACATCAGAATGCTACAAAACTAATGGAAGACTTACCCGGAAGAATTGACTTAAGACCAGCTTACTATTACTGTATGTGCATTTTGCTATTGTATTTTTGAAAAGCATGGAAATACTTTACGTAATAATTGTCACCCAAATACTTTCACAGACATTAAACATATATCAAATCTTTTATTAAATTCAATACAATCTTTATCAAATTCTTAAACACATTTCCTATTATTGTAAGCCAGAACTTTTTTTTCAAATTTATATGTTTTTATCAGCAGCAATTTTTCTTCGAAAAGAGTAGAAAAGGCATGAAGAATTACAAACACCAGTGAATGAGTTTCTATTGAAATGTGGTACTTTTAAAGAAATGCAAGCAGCATAAAGTAGAGTGGATTCATTCCTTGAGCTACATGTAACCAACATCTGGAGCTACAATGTTCCTGTTAGATCTTTTATTCAACCAGTCACAACCAGTTTCACCTTGTCGGCTACTCAAAGTAATACCAAGGCTTTTTTGAAGCCAACTGCAACAGGCAAAATAAAAGTTCTACATGGGAACTTTGTGGCTCTAAATGAGGGAAGACTGTGGTGTGAAAGATGTTGGTTGGCTTGAGGAATGAATCCACTCTACTTTATACTTGTCAGAAATGCAAGCAGGTTTATTGGGTTAACACTAAGTGACCAGTGATATGGTTCTAAGGGTGGGTACGGCGCGGCGACTTCTGTCTCTAGTCGAGTTTGGGCTCTCCAGCGACGATGTCCCTCTCGATACCGCACTCATCCTGACCACGCAGGATCTTGAAGAAACCTGCAAGAAGGAAAATAAGAAAAAATCAGAGCAACGTCAGACTTCTGAAATTGTTTTGAGGGTTTTTTGAAGGCCGGAGGGAGAATGGACCTTCGGGAGGTCTGGGACTGAATACATCATGATATAAGTCTATCTGGTCCTGTCCTTGGTACTAAAATGTCTATCTGGTCCTGTCCTTGGTACTAAAATGTCTATCTGGTCCTGTCCTTGGTATTAAAATGTCTATCTGTTGCTGTCCTTGGTACTAAAATGTCTATCTGGTCCTGTCCTTGGTATTAAAATGTCTATCTGGTGCTGTCTTTGGTACTAAAATGTCTATCTGGTCCTGTCCTTGGTGCTAAAATGTCTACCTGGTGCTGTCCTTGGTACTAAAATGTCTACCTGGTGTTGTCCTTGGTACTAAAATGTCTACCTGGTGCTGTCCTTGGTACTAAAATGTCTACCTGGTGCTGTCTTTGGTATTAAAATGTCTATCTGGTGCTGTCTTTGATACTAGAAGGTCTATCTGGTCCTGTCCTTGGTACTAGAAGGTATATCTGGTCCTGTCCTTGGTACTAAAATGTCTATCTGGTGCTACCCTTGGTACTAAAATGTCTATCTAGTGCTGTCCTTGGTACTAGAAGGTCTATCTGGTCCTGTCCTTGGTACTAGAAGGTCTATCTGGTCCTGTCCTTGGTGCTAGAAGGTCTACCTGGTCCTGTCCTTGGTACTAGAAGGTCTATGACCGTCTATCTGGTCCTGTCTTTGGTACTAAAAGTCTAAGAGATTACAGGAAAATGCATCTACAACAGCAACACCTGTGCTGTGCAATATGAACCAGTCAGAATTGCCCTGAGGAAGGTGACAGACGGTCACCGAAACGTCCGCTGAATATAAGACTTGGTTGTGTGAAAAGAGTCTCTTTACTCTTGTGTATTTTTGTATCTATTTTTATGTTGTACCATGTAATAACTAAACTAACTACTACAACTGTTATCAGTATCATATGTGCTGCACATGTAACATGATACATACTAGTGGTGCCACCAGATTCTAAGGTAAAAGTTCAAAGTTCATGACATAATCCTTACCCATATCGCCCCAGTCAGAGTTCCAGCTGTTGGCGATCAGCCAATAGGGAGTCCCGCTCTCCGTGCCCCAGCCAATCATCTTCACCGCATGGCCGCCGAGCTCCGCGCCAGACTCGTGCTGGTACACACCTGGAGGAACATCAGCCAATGGGAGCAGTCAACACATCTGATATTGTGTTACATATGTCTGTCGCAAATTCTCATTGGTCGACAAATTTACATTTCATAAATCAGCCAATGAGATCTCTTACATTACACATTCCACTCAATATGTGTTCTACATTCTGATTGGTCAATAGTAGGTTACCACTTGACAAATTGCCAATGGGATCAGTTAACACAGATTTGCAACAGTGTTCCACAAATTCTGATTGGTCAACAGGAAAGCTATAGAATTGGATGCTTTTCAGAACACTTTTTACTGAAAAGCACTAAATGGGGGTTTCAAGAACACTTTTTAATAAAATGCACTTAATAGGGGTTTCTAGAACACTTTTTACTCAAAAGCACTTAATAGGGGTTTCTAGAACACTTTTTAATGAAAAGCACTTGATGGGGGTTTCTAAAAACCTAGGTTCTTTACCTATCACCAGTAAGTGGACTTGTAGTGAGTGTGTGTTTGAGTGGTTGAGTGAGTGTGCATGAGTACGTGTGTGTGTGTGTGTGTGTGAATAAGTAAGTGTGTGAGTGTGCAAGTGAGTGTGTGTGTGAGTGAGAGAGTGATTTACGTACCAGACTTGTAGTGAGGGAAGTCAGCGTACACAGTAAAGGCAGCCTCCACTGGTCCGTTAGTCATGATTTCCATCTGGATCTGCTGCACCTTGGCGCTCACAGAGTAGGCAGACTTGGCTGTAACACGTAAAACAATTTTAATATGCTGTTCATATATTCAAATATATTAATTACCTAGTACGTATACATTGTACCAGTTTTGCACAGATTGTTGCAAGAGACCAAACTACAAGGTTTGATCCACTTACACTGAGATGGACCCCTATTTTCTTTCTTTATAAATGTGTTGGGGTCTATATCTTTAACATACATAAGGTATTGCTCTCCTCAACCACAGGATGTCAAAAACATGCCTTTAGTTACAGTTAGTTATTCCCAACAAAATTCTAGCTACATGTACATTATTAATAATTAGTGTTTTTCACTCACAAAAAGTTGACCTACATCATAATCACGTGCAACAAAATCAGGTGCCTTCAAAATCAAAACTTCACATGCAATGTGTAAATAAAAGCTTGATATTAAATACATTTATAACCACACAGTGACCCACCGAAGTGCTTGTCCTTCTCGTAGGTGACGTTGTAGCCAGATTCGCAGGACTTCTTGCACCTCGGGGTGGGCTCAATCTTACCACAGGCGGGACGGGAACCGTTAATGTGGTGCTCACAGGGGGCGATCTCGTACGGCTGGCAACCCTGGTGGGAGGGAAGAAATGAGTGAGTGAAGGAATGAATGAATGAGTGATTGAATGAGTGAATGAATGTATGAGTGAATACATGAATGAGTGAATGAATGAGTGAAAGAATGAGTGATGAATGAGTGAATGAATGAATGAGTGAATGAATGACTGAATAAATGAATGAATGAATGAGTGAATGTATAAATGAATGAATTTATCATTGTGTCTTGCGACAGTGTCACCTAGCCCATATGGGGTTATAAAACATCAGTACAGTACAGCCAAGCCTGCTTTACCTGCTTGGAGCCATAGGGCCCACCTGTGACCAGGCCGTCCCTCTTCCAGAACTCCCAGGCTGCCTCAGGGAAACCACCATGGCATCTGGTAAATGTATAAAATTATTGTTCAGTATAATTATGTAATAATCATTGAATTACGGTGTGGTCACATGGTATGATTTTGACCCAGTAGAATTTTCGAGCAGGCTGTAATAGAACAAACCACCTACAAGTAAAAGGATTTAAGAGTCCAAGAAAATCACATTTTTTAATTTTTTGCCTTAACAGTTTATAATTTTTATTAGTCAGAATCAGCTGGTCGGAATCATTTGTATCCAAAAGCCATGAACGAAATCAGTTTATTTTGCAACAAAAATCACTTCAAAACTGTTGTTAAGACGGTAACTCGGTAAAAATTCATTCAATTTTGAAACCATCAGAATCATGTCCCTACAATTTGAAACAAAAAATTGATTGAAAGTGATCAGATTTCAGAATGTTTAAAATTATCAATTTCAAATTTCTTTCATTTTTTTGTTTTAGTCTGTTTAGTTAACTTGATTTTTAATCTTTTCAATTTGATTTCTTTTCTTTTCTTGTTGCTTGTTGTCTCACCCGTTGCCACAGTTTTTGCAGCATGAGTTGAGGTCTTCAGCAGAAATGTGAGCCATGGTGCTGCCCTTGGAGGCTACACAGATTCGGTCACTCATAGCCTCAACAGCTGCAAGGGCCTAAAAAAACAAATCCCCACCATGTTAGTACTAATGTAATCTAGGCCACACCAATTTAATTTGTTGGTTCTCAGATTTTTTCAGAAAAAATATGAAGCGACAGGGCAAAAAAATAGACCTAGGCATCCTCTGATAGCCGGGGCCAAATGCTAGGAAAGGAGCCATGAGGTCAACATACCAGGTTGGTGTTGAATTCAAACAATGAATTTTAAACTTGTTGTCAAACCGATGCATTGATAGATGGGAAAACTGTAACAACAAGGAAGAAAAGGACTTTTCTCAACTGTTGGGGGCAAAATTGAGCATTTTGGAGTTGATTCAGAACCAGAATCTTTTTCTCTTTGCAAATCAGAAAAAAAAAAGAGACAGGCAAATCTGAGAACCAACTACATGTAATTACATTCATTTGGTGTGGCCTTAGCGTACAACATCTGTAACTATGGACTTACCCCATGCCACATGTTTCACAACAAGCCATGAGGTTTTCTGACGAAAGGTGGACTTGGACTTTTCCGTTTGATGCGACGCACACACGGTCACTCATAGCCTCAGCACCGGCTTCAGCCTAGGGGGGGAGATTGGCAAAGCAGGGGGAGGGGGTAGCAAAGAGGGGGTAGATAGGAGGGGAAGAGAACAGGGGAGTAGAGGGGAAGGGGTTGAGGGGTAGGGGGAGTAGAGGCAAATTGATTTGATTCATTTGATTGGTTGATTATATATTATACAAATCAAATTTTCTCATACAGATTAAAATCTAAATCATTCTACCTGTTTCTAGGGATGATAAATGCTTGCATACATGTAATCTCTCCCAAATTTTTGTTGAAAATGCCCACTTCAGGTGACATGTACATGTATTTCCTGTCTAAAGAAATAAAACTAACAAATATGTGATTTTCAAGAATTTTTTTAGCTAATGCCCACACAAGACTAGCATTGTTAATGATTTAATTTCTTGAAAAATCATGCTTGACACAATTTCATTGATTTTCCTTGGCTTAGATCTGTTGACAGAGTAGGGTACAGCATTATACAGAAAAGCTGCCACAAAAGCTGCAAAGAACTGCAGATTTACCCAGCAGGATCCGCAGGAGCCCTGGTCGCGAACCTCCTTGATGGTGGGGCAGTTAGCCCACTGGGTACGAGAGTCAAACGTGTCCGGAATGTCCTGGGAACAAGAACAGCACAAAAATCATTCTCTTGTTTCCAATGTAGAAAATGGCAGACTACATGTATGTAGCATGACTATGAATGAAAGAAGTTGGATGATAAAAAAGATTTGATAGTGAAATAAGTTGACTTCCAAGTTCTTAATGCATACTATCAAAATGAAGCTATTTTCTTCGTGCAAGTTGACTTAATTATATATTACATGGTAGGCTACTTTAATTTTGTCTCTGAAACATTAACTGACAAAATGGAATTGTAAATATGTTCATTGACATCTATACAATATTATACCATGTGTTGATTGTAAAATCAACATTATGAAAGTGGATTTCACTTAAATTACAAATTTTAAAAGCTATATTCTGCATTTCATAAAATCATCATTAATGTAAAGATTATACTTCTCCCTGCTACCTTAACCTATAGCCAATACAGAATCGATAGCAAATATCTACTTCAGTGTTTCTTAGACATACTAAGTGTTACCTGAGCGTTGAGTTCGTGCAGTTTGAGTGGGAGTTTGTGGTTGTTAGGGTCCCTGATCACACCACACAGCCCCTTCACGTAGGACACTGTCGCTCCCTCAAAGTTCCACCCCGCCTGGAATACAAAATGGTACAGTCCACTTGGTACAATGTTCACCCAACAACCAGTATACTAGCACTTGATGTTTAAGTAACTATGATGTTTCATTCTATACCCTTTTCTTTTTTATACTACAAAATGCATCATACTATATGTTCAATAGTCATTGCCATACATTGTTACATTAAATTTTGTACATGTACAACTGTCATGCAATAAAGTTCTTCCAAGCAGCTTTGGAGCCAAATGAATGTACCTTTTGTGATCTGTTTGCAGAAGTCAGACTTATACTTTGGGGGTTCTGACACAATGCAGTCAGAGTGTTCAAGTAAGTTTGGTCAGCCACCTGTTTGCAGGTCCCTCTCAATCGTACATTAGCAGGCCAAGGTTAATTCTGCCTGAAATTTCTTATTACCTTCCATTTGACTACTTTAGTAGGACGAAGGTTAATTTCTGTGCAAGATTTCTTACCTTCCATCAGCCATGTGACTAAGTTAGCAAGTCTAAGGTTAATTTTGTGTGAGATTTCTAATACCTTCCATGTTGTGACTACCTTTTGATTTTTCAGTGAGATTTCTTACCTTCAATGTGGTGTTAATGGAATTGTCTAGCTTAGCAGGTTACAGGTTAATTTCTGTGTGAGATCTCTAACCTTCCATACCTTAGCACGGCAAAAGGTTAAGTTCAGTGTGACTACCTTAGTAGACCGGAGGTTAATTTCTGTCTTAGATTTCTTACCTTCCAGGTGGTTTCGATGGAGTTGACATAATCGATGATCTCCTGAGTCAGCGGCTGGTGGATCGGGAACTCCTTAGCGGAGACCGCCGCGAACACGGACAAGACAACCCAGGCAAACATTGTGGATCTGACAACAAACAGGAGAGGAGAAAAATAGTCAAGACAGAAAGTGTAGAAAATGATCTCAAGCCAGTTAAGCTTATACATAGCAGAGACTCTTCCACTGGTGTGACAGAGAAGATATGTACTAGTCCATTGTACTAGGGGAAATTCCCCTATATAGCTAGCTCTTTTTGACAAGCACAATGAAAAGTAGCGTGCATGTTGGGTCAGAGACAAAGCCAGGATTCAAACCCAGGCCTTCGTTGTCCAATTTTAACTTAAAGGATACATTATTCCTACAATACCCTCCAACCTTCTTACCATCTAATGATCTGAAAAACGTAAAAAGAGCAGCCCAAGAGGCAAGACCAAAAAATATGCAAACAACTGAAAATGGCAAATCCAAAAAGCAGACCTACATACATGTATGTGGGAACGCTCAGAGAACAAAGAACTGAAGTGTAATGTCACCTGCCTTGGGCTACCTGTAAACCTTGTGACTGTCACCTGATCTTCACAATAGCCGTAAATAACTGATGTAATCACAATGTAGTTGTTGCAACACCTCATCAAAAAATCAACCGTGTATACTTGCTAAAGCTAACTGTGGTTCACAGATATGAAAAATTAGTACTTCAAGAAAACTCTTAGACTATTGTTTTAGTGATCATTATCCTTTACTTGATAAATCTATGTATTGCTGTTATAGAAGCTCCAGTGTTAGATAAGGTTTCTGCCCTTTGGAACGTAATTATCATGTGACTCTACTGTACATAATCTAATATTTGCACCCACTGAAATTACTCCAAGATAGTAACTAATAGTGTTACCCTGGCCAGGCAAAACAAGTATAGCAGCCTAGAACAATTGATTATGATGAATTTATTCTTACAACATGAAGAGTGGTATTTTTTTCTTTCTCCCATTCAAAAAGACTAAGCTGTAAAAACAGTGTTATGAGTCTGCTAAAGAGACTACATGTTAATTCTTATGTGCACTTTAGCCTGCATATTAATTACATCAACAGGTTAATTGACATTCTATAAATCTATGTGTTTGCAGATTTTACTACATGTTCTAGCAAACAAGACTTCTAACTAGTAACTGACTTATTTCTAGCCCTGCTAAGCTCACACCCTCCCCTGATGGAACTTTGGCCCCTGTATTGTAAAGCCTGTCCCTGATTAAACATGAAAGCTGCACCTCGTGAGAACCTTGTGCTTTACCTGGGCACACCTGATCTAGATGTTTACCCAAAGGTGCGTTGCCTAAGGACATGTAGAAAAGGCCTTTCCTATTGTTCTCTTACTACTAGTCTTAGAATATTATACTATTTTATAGGCTGTGACGACCAAAGAACAAAAACTTGGAAGACCACATTGCAAAGACTATACTATACTATCTAAATCTAATATAAGTTTCTTGCAAAAAAATAGGTTGTGGAAGTATATATATAACGTTATATATTTTAGTGCTCTACCTGGGTAAACCAAATTTATAAAGGTGCATCGCCTAAGGGTAGACACAGAAAAGGTCTTTCCCATTGTTCTCTTAGAATATGTTGCAGGTTGTGACTCACAAACAACAAAAGCTTGAAAGACTACTAGATATTATTCTAATTTTCTTGCAAAAAATTAACTGTGAAAAAGCTGACAATCATTTTCTCAGCTAGTGCTACTGTTTATATAAGACTTCTTTAGGTAATAGAGGTAGCATTCTAAGTAGAATTGGGAAATTAGGATCTTATACTTTAGAACTTAGCAGTGGGATTCGAACCCGTGACTTTGAGTCATCAGTGCCAGGCACCACAACGGTAGAGAAATTTGATCCCAATTCCCATGCTCAGCTCTCTGTTCAATCAGAATACAAACTCTTGCCTCTGCGTTTAGCTAACACAAAGCTAAAACACGATCCTAAGTGAACACAAAATCACAGTCACTTCCTAAAAACTTTTGAACATAATTTTGAAGCAACCACCTTGATTGCAAAACACACAAGAGCAGCGACCAAAGACTAGAGCAAAAATGCACCAAATTTTGTCATTTTCTTCCATGTCAGTCCCATTTTTACCCATTTCTTGTTAGCTAGCGACCTAAAATACACATCCCCGGTCTAAAATAATTTACAAATCCTTATAAAACCGACATTAAAGCCATAAACTTGTAGAGCTACAGAAAAACGCACCTGATTCCAACACGTTGAAGCAAGGAAGAAAGAATCATGTGATGTCCAACCCGGAAGTCATGTGATGCTGCTAGTTGACCTCGGTTGACCCCACTAACTAGCTTAGTTAACGATTTTTTTCTCACCTGTATTTCTCACCTGTAGCCGGTCAATAGGTACCCTGTGTGGGTAATGAGACCGCACTTCGGGTAGTTTCGGCGGTAGCAGTTCATCTCATGTGTTCAGTACGTAAAGGTGTAGTTGTACATATCCTGGTGATTCTTCCACTCGTGTGCAATATGGTTCTTGAACTCATTTACTGATTTGCTGGACACTGCTTCCTGGGAAAGAGAGTTCCACACTCTTGTGACTCTTGAAGAGAAGAAACACTTCCTCGTCCCGTGTGATTTTTGTACTTGATACTTGAAGGAGTGGCCCCGTGTGGTAGTTGAAAGACTGGGTTCAAACATGGTCCCTCTACAGATACTGCAGCTGTTTCCAACTCTTAACTTGTCATACCCGTGTGTGATTTTGTAAAGCTGGATCACGTCTGTCCTTTGTCTTCTGAAGTGGAGTGTCGGTAACTGGAGGGCCTGGAGCCTCTGGGGATAAGACAAGTGGGACACTGACTCCACAAGCTTCGTAGCTCTTCTCTGTACTCTTTCGACACTGTCCCTGTCTCTCTTGGTTCTAGGACACCAGATCACCGTTGCATACTCCAAATGTGGCCGGACTAGGCTCTTGTAAAGAGGTAGAAAAGCCTCCTTGTCCAGGTACTTGAAGGTGTGCCTGATTGCACCCAGAACTCTGTTGGCCTTATTTACTTGAATCTGGACATGTGTGCTGAACTTGAGGTCACTGTCAATCGTCACCCCCAAGTCTTTCTCCTCATGTGTCACCTTCAGCGTGTGGAGTGTTCCATCTTCCTTTGTCATAGTATACTCGTGTGTGGGGTTTCTTCTTCCCAGGTGCATTACTTTGCACTTGTCAGGGTGAAACTTCATCTGCATCCTAGATGACCATCGCTGCAAAGTATTCAAGTCAGCCTGTAGGCATGTAGAGTGTAGATTGCTCGTGTGGATTTCTTGGGTCGCATGTGTTATGGTCTGACTCGTGTGGAGTTCTTCTTCTTGAGTCGCATGTGTTCTGGCCTGGCTTTCACACCCGTGTGCAATGGCATAGATCTTTGTGTCGTCCGCAAACAAGGAAACAAAGTTATGTAGCTCATCGGGTATGTCACTGACAAACATCGAGAAAAGAAGCGGTCCCAACACTGACCCTTGCGGTACGCCACTCGTCACCGCTTTCCAGCTGGATGCTTGGCCATTTACTACGACTCTCTGTCTCCTGTGAGTCAAGAAGTTTCTAATCCACAGTAGCAAGTTCTCTGCTATGCCGAAGGATTCTACTTTGTTGATCAACCTCTCATGTGGAACCGTGTCGAACGCTTTAGCGTAATCCAAGAAGATAATATCCACCGGTTCACCGTGGCTCAAAGCCTCCATCCACACATCCAGTGCCTCTAGTAGGTTTGTGACTGTGGATTTACCCTTGGAGAATCCATGTTGTTGTTCGCATGTGAGGTTGTTGAATCTCATGTGTTCTAGTATAGCATCTGATATGAATCTTTCTAGCATCTTGCAGATTATGGATGTCAATGACACCGGTCTGTAGTTAGCCGGATCTGTTCTGCATCCTTTCTTGTAAATTGGAGTCACGCATGCCTCTCTCCACTGGTCTGGAAGCTTTCCACTTTTAATACTTGAGTTGAATATAATAGTTAGAGGTTTGGCTAGCTCGTGTGCTGCTTCCTTCAAGACTCGTGGATGTATCCCATCATTCCCAGGTGACTTATCTATTCGAAGTAGCTCCAGTTGCTTTAGTACCATTTCCTCTGTAACTACTATTGTCTTCAGTAGATCACTCTGTAGGGGTTTCAGTATAAACCTTGGCACATTACTGCAATCCTCGTGTGTGAAAGTTCTGACGTACTGTGTGTTTAACACTTCGGCTTTCTTCCCGTCCTCAGTAGTCAACTTTCCTTCCTCATCTTTAAGGTCTCCCACGTTTACTCTAGTCTTTCTGCGGCTGTTGACATATCTCCAAAAGGATTTGTTGTTTGACTTCACCTCTCTGGCAATCCTTCTTTCAAATGTCCTTCTCGCTTGTCTGGCCGCATGTGTAGCTGCATTTCTTGCTGTCTTATACTTCTTCCAATCCTCTTTGCTTTTTGTGTTGAGATATCTTATCCACGTGTGAAATTTCTTCCTTGTCTTTCTGTACGTCGCATTATTCATCCATGGTGGTTTCACCCTCTGTTTCTTGCTGTTTGTTTTTCTCTTGGGAACGTGATTATTCACTGACTCGAGTATTCTGGATTGTAGTTCATCGAACGCTTCTTGTGTGCTCTTGTTTTCAAGTACTTCCTCCCAATTGAGGTTGAGGTCATTTCTGATTTCTTCAAAACTTGCTTTCTCATAGTTCAGTGATGGACTCCTTTCCCTCTCATCATGTGAATTGAAGTTAAAACTGAATTGTATTCTAACATGGTCGCTCGCTCCCAGTGGATCGTGGTGCTCAAGACCTTCCACCATTTCTGCTTCGTTGCTGAAAACCAAATCATCCACTGTTGGAGTTTGATCACTCCTGTATCTTGTTGGTTCTTTCACATGTTGGTATACGTATGTATCTCTCAAGCACTCTATAAACTTGTTTGCTGCGTTAGTTGAGCCTTCTGATCCTAGCACATGTGGTGAGGGGATCCATCTTATTATTGGGTGATTGAAGTCTCCTGCAAAGAGCACATGTGTTGCTTGGCCGTTAGTTGCCCATTTTAAGTTCTCATGTAGGGCTTCATCACGTGTGCATGCTAGAGTTGGCGTCCCTGATCTGTATATCACCCCAATCCTTAGAATATCATTCCCTTGGCTCTGCATCTCCACCCATGTGCTATCGTGAAATGTCTCTGCCTGTGGTATGATTTGTTTGGCTTTCAGTGATGTCTTGACATATATGCATGTCCCTCTTGTGTTTTCTGCCGTTAAGTCACTTGTGAACAAGTCATATCCACTAATTTGCATGACTGAAGAGTCGGGTATTTCTCCGTGTTTTGGTTTTATTTCTGTAAGCAGCATTACGTCGTAGTTTTCTTGGTTGACCCGTATACATAGCTCATCATACTTGCTCATAAGTGAGTTGTCCGTGTTTGTGTACATTATCTTCAGCTTGTTGTGTAGTAGATTCTTTACTTCACCTCTACTATCTTTCCTCTCCTTATCATCCACTTTCGCTCTGGGTCTTGCTCTCGTTGGTCCTTCAGCTTTGCTCTCAAGTTTTTTGACTCTTCTAGCTGCTTTTTTGTCAAATCTGGGCGTATATATACTAGCTTATAAACCTCGTGTGTGCTATCTCTTAAGTCCTTAGCCATTGCTAGTATCTGTTTCTTCTCGCCTATGTTTGTCAGTGATACTTTCAGTAGTCTGGTATTCCCACTAGTTGGTTTCCCCATTCTTGTAGAACTTGTCGCTTTAACCATGAGTTTGAATTGGTCTTTTACAAGTGTTTGGAAACTTTCAGCATCGCCCTCTGTCGACCCTGTTTCTGGTAGGTTGTGAACTATCAAGTTTAGCTTTCTGGCTTCTTGATCCTCTATTTCACTAAGCTTCAAGTTCACCTCATCGGAAGCTGCCTTGGTTGCTCTAGTCAACACCTCATCTAGTAATTGTTCTGGTACCGCATGTTGAGTCTCTGATGATGCCTGGTAGTTACTCTGCAGTTCTTCTAGTTGGTTAATTCTTTCCTCATGTGTATTTTCGGTGGCTTCTAGTTTTGCAATTCTTGACCCATGTGAAATACTAGTACACTTCACTTTTAGCTTAAAATTTTTCTTTCTAAAAATTTCAAGTTTCCAAATACGTTTTAGAATTTATATTAGCTGATAGATGTAAAGATATGCACTGAATTTTATGTTTTTTTGAAAACAAATTATTTTAAAATGACCTATAACCTTTGACACGACCCCTCGCAGGTAGAAAAAAACGCGCACACACAAAAACATGAAACGCGTAAAAAGTGAGGATATTCAGTCCGCTGTGCTGCAGTATTTAAAGAAAAGACAATATTCGGTAAGTCTGGGATATTTTCTTAGTCTTAGAGAGGTAAACAGTGTGAAAATGTGGCGGAAACTAACCCTAAATGGAGCATAATTTGTAGACGAAAATGGGGGAGGGGGGCGCTCTGTTTCGTTTGCGTGATAGCGTGAGAATAAAGAATCATATAATAACATCTAGCAAACAACTATGGTATGTAAGTCTGCTATCAAATATTTTATTATCTTAAAGAAATGCAAATTCTGAATATCCAACAGCGATAGAAATAATATGTCCCAAAATACATGGGTGAAAATAAATATGTTTCATCATATCACTTTATTACGTGTGTAAGATGTGTATAGAAGCTAGTTAGTTGCCCAGACCGTTTAATTTGGCATACAAGACATACATGTATTATTGTTGAAGTGCCCAAGTTGACAATGGTCAAACTAGTCCAACATTTTCTACTTAAGATAACCATATCCGACACCTCTGCCATTTCCAGGACAGTGACATGACGTTTAAGAAGAACCAGAAGACTTCAAGTGCTAGCTGAGTCAGTGTGTTTCAGAGATGGTCAAACTAGTCCAACATTTTCTACTTAAGATAACCATATCCGACACCTCTGCCATTTCCAGGACAGTGACACGACGTTTAAGAAGGACCAGAAGCTGAGTCAGTCTGTGTCAGAGATGGCGGTACAGGGAGCTGTCATGTCAGAGTCTGGAGTCAGTACATCTTTCACCTTCAGTAGCTGGTGGGTATAATGATTCTTTATTATAAAATACAAAAACAAATTGCAGAAATATACAATACAATTATGTTATGCTTGTTCTGCTTAATAATAGCACTCAGTATTTGGAAAATAGTATGGGGCTAAACAACTCCTTGCATTTTTTTCAGTGATCCAGACCCCACCCTATATGAAGACCAGTACAGTGGGTAAGAACTTGAACTATTGTATTGTATCTAATTTTACCTAAATGTAGTCTAGTAGTGCTATACCTTCCTTTTCTATCTACCTAGTCTCTGTTTTGGTTATTCAAGCATTAGATGCGTCCATATTCATGCTGAGACTCCAATGTTTCAGACTCAAAGTACTGATAGATGACGCTCCACAAGCACACCAGGTAACTATTTTCTTATGATTCAACTCTCATCAGTTATGACAATTGTAATACTTTGATAACTACTTAAAGTAAATTCATGCTAAAGCTAACCAACATCTAGCACACCACAGTTGTCCCTCAGAAGACATCTGGAGCTTCATAGTTCCTGTAGATGTATGATAACAATATATGAATATAACAGAGAACATACAACTTCTGTCTATTCATCTTTAAATGTATTTTTTTCACAGTCAGAGTTGACAGTGCTCCTGTATCCCATGTTTGTGCACTTGCACTTGGACTTGGTCTGCAATGGACACAGGGATGCAGGTAGGTTTTGTTTAACCATAGTCTGTCTCAAACTAATGAATACCAAAATAGAGTACAGGTCCTTGAAATTGATTGTTTAAAACTTCATATCTTGTAATGTAAATGTACATGTACAGAGGTTATGGTATAGATAGGCACGGTTCTGGATACAATAAGGAAAGCATTGTTTTTGCTCAGTTTCTTCTTCTTCTCCAAACAAATAAGGTCAGTGACCTGAACCAGACATCTGTCACCATGGTAACTAGAGTTGGGTTACACCATGTTGCAGTTTTATAGCAGGAGGGATTTAGACTCCTGTCTGACCATATGTATGAATGTGTTTGAGTAAGAAAACAGAGCAGACCATATGTGAAGGTAAACATTATGCATTTTTATTTTGTTGTTTGTTTTTGTCCAGCGGAGGCGTTCTTCACCCGTCACCATGGCAACTTCCTGGTGGACAACATGGAGTGGTACGAGCTGATCGAGGAGCTGGCAGGGGTCATGTGTAAACAGGACCTCTTCACTAAACCTAAGGTCAAGGCTTTCAGGTCAGGTCAAGATCAAATTCTTCCTGAAATTCCCATACTTCTATATCTGTATCTGTCTGTATCGGTATAGCCGGTATAACAGCCCTTTGGGGTAACACACCAGCTTCTTACTTAATATCCTCTTCATCCCTTGTGAGACATAAGGCCAAGACGTTTCCCTTCATCTGGGTCCATCCTTGGCCACCTTTACTGATAGCCAAGACAGTCCCATAGATTCCTGGTCATCTGACAAAGTTCAGTCTTCCGCAACTTTCAAACTCTTTCTGACATGCTGAAGTGCTAAGCAGACAGAAGTATTCTTTTAACATTTGCAGGGATCTATAGTGTTTATACTATACTCAATGAAAGTTTTAATTTACATCATATGCTGTTCAATTTCTTTTTTCCAGAGAGACAAAGTATGCCATCAGTCTGTCAGATAAAGCCTTCCAGTACCTACTGAGGTACCTACAGAGTGATGACAACCTCATTTTACTCAGACTGTTCAACACCTACTTACATGTAAATGGTAAGTTTCAAAGATTTCATTTGGTAGAATTCAAGAGCTGTTAAGTCCCCTTATAATCTTGTATGGCTAGTAATGAAAGTGCAGTTTCATCAAAAGCTGAAAGGGGGCTCTTTTGTACTATGCAGGTACCAGTACTTGCAATTGGTTGCAAGTATCTGTCAGTTACAGAAATGTCATACAGTATTTCATTTTTCTAAAATCTGTTGAAGTCACTTCTATTTAAATTCATTATTAAAGCAACTTGTACATTATATTTTTCTTCAAATATTTATAAATGTTCTAAAAGTATTGTCAGTGTTATTTTCTAATCACAACTTATAATAACTGTTACTGTACTTTTTTTTCAGTGAAACCGACACAGAATGGAGACCTTGACCTGTATAGCGACAAGCGGGGAGGGGGACACGATGTTACCATGGCAACCCCGCCGCACACGCCCGACAACAAGGCGACGCCCGGCGACGTGACCCAGGTGTCTCTACAGGACTGTATCCGGCGAGTTCGGGAGGGAACGCCATACCTGTCGTCTGTGTGTCTCTACAGCTTCCATAATACTTTCCAGGGGTGGGTCTTCATTATCTTCATTAGATAAATAAAGAATGAAATTATTTTCACTTTTATCATTCAAGTAGTTTTAAGATCAAAACCACTTGCTAAAGTTACAAGAAATAGAATTCTTTGTTGTCAGTTTGCACACCTTCCATATTATAACACATTCCAAGGATAGAGGTCTTGTAGCCATATTTGTATGACAGAAGGTCAAAAAGGATGTTGTAACAGTTACAATTTTTGGTTTAGGGATTCCAAATTTTGGCACATTTCGCATTGAAATGTGTGTTTTCTCGGGTAGATATGATATAGATAATATACAACACAGTGTATTCTGCATCACTCTCAGTCCCAGCCCTTCCACGGGCTTGTGCCATAATTGCAACTACTTACATTGTATTTTTACCTCCCACCTTAAAGATTAAACACGGCATCAGTGTCAGATGACTCCAGGTTTGTATGTGGAGGTTTTGATGACTCCACAGTGAAAGTCTGGAGCGGCTTGTCCCGGAGACTGAAGGCAGCGCATCACACAGTCAACGTCTCACGGATCAACCTGGCTGGAGACGTGTTAGACGACAAAGCCAGAGAAGACAAGTATGTACGGTTTAAAATGTCTAAGACAACCACCCAGGGGACTGATAAAAAGTGGTCTTCTTAGACAAGTGGTCTTTTTATACAAAGCATGGCAACAAACAGAGAATCCATTGTTTCCTTAAAGTGTAATACAGACTGTTAAATAAACAGATATCAAACATGTAACATATGTGCTAAACAAAATATGGAACCCTAACTACGCTGTATTCATTTAGCACCTACATGTATTAGCATAACAACACTGCAAATGCTAGGAGTGCTAACTTAAAGATATATCATAGTGCTCCTAAAATTTGCATACATATAGGATATAGATCCTATATAGAATCTGTTTGAAAATTATTACATAAATCATAACAATTTTTGCTGGCTCATTTCAATAATCTGAGAACCAATGAATCAAATTGGTGGTGCCTTAAGTAACCAATCTTCATTTCTTGTATATTTGCCAGTGTTGGCCAAGAGGTGAAACACATGCGAGGTCACAGTGGTCCAGTCTACGGAACTTCCTTCCTCCCTAACAACACCTTCTTACTCACCTGCTCAGAGGACACCACAGGTAAGAGTCTAAGTCTGCCCTTAAGAATATGACTTGAAACCAATGAAATTCCTTCCTTCTATCAACAATAACTTGCCAACCAAAAATCATGAACATTCATTTACAGAGTCACAAGAAAAATGACAAAAACAAAAGGTCCACTGCAGTGATGCAGGGACCTCCCATGAAGCCCGTTGTTGAACTTAACCTTGGTCTCGCCAACGGTAACCTGTCTACCAAAAATCATGAACATTGATCCAGGCCTTATCCTTTTGAGTTATACCGCATAAATACAAAGTCTCAAACCCAAACCGTCTTCAAATGGTAATAACTTGCAATTGTATGAAGTCACGTCAATGTGTTGTTTGCTCTCAAAAGAGTGTTATATACCAGTTTCTGAAATGGCTGTCGGTGGATAGTGGTAAAAAAAGTCTGTATATCCATTAAACCAAGATTTTCAGATATAATTAGTCTGACTTGATTGTATTTTCTGATTGTGTTGTGTTACTTTCCAGTACGACTATGGAACCTGTCCACCTTCACAAATGATGTAAATTACAAAGGCCACAGTTATCCAGTATGGGACATCGACACTAGGTCAGTAGTACATGTTTACAGTACTTAAAAATCTCATATATTATAATTGATGTCACATGTAATTGCATAATTCTTTTAAAGTCTTTAATTCTTTGAGAAATCTGCTGTACACTGTAAATCAGCGATTATTTAGATCATTAACTAAGTCTGCCAATCGCTATGAGTTCTATAATCCAGTGGGAGACGTAGGGTGGGACAACTACATAAGTACTACACTTTTTTCTGTTATAGAAAGACACTGGTCTCGCAGGGACTGCTCTAGTGTCCGTCATGAGGGACAGGGTGTATTGGAGTAACTTTACCAAGTGTAATCTGGAGGCATGATTATGATAAGTTCTTATAATGATGTAAAGAAAGGTGACATGATGATGTTCTTCTCCTATGTTCTGACCACAATCTTACCCTGACATATACACCCACAATGATGTATTTATGTTGAAAATTTGTTCTTCCCCTATATCCTCTGTAGTCCATTGGGTGCGTATTTTGTGAGCTGTTCCCAGGACAGAACGGCCAGACTCTGGGCGCTGGACAGAACCTTTCCACTCAGGATATTCGCTGGACATTCTCAAGATGTTGATGTGAGTTAAATTTTTTTTTCCTTTTAGATTTATTTTTTTACAAATGTGGTGTTGCAATTGTTAGATCTGTGATGCTTGTATTTCTCATGTATGTTTGAATAATTTAGAGGAATTTCCTGCAATTTTATTCTGGTAGTATTTTTCTTGCTTTTTTCTGTTACTTTGTAAACCCCAGATGTTGTATTTGTAAACATAAAGTAGGACTTACTATATGGTACTAAATTAAAAGTTTAATAATAACACAATCATCCAGGAGAAAACATAGCCTGGTACGAAACCTATTTTATCTCCCTTTCATCCTCTCTGCAAGTATGAGCCAAAATAGGTCTGGTAACCAGGCTAGAGAGAATAAACATTTTAATTTAACATGTTGGTTTTTCAGTGTGTGAAATTCCACCCCAACTGTAACTACATCGCCACTGGCTCTTCTGACCGCACGGTTCGACTCTGGAGTGTTCAGGACGGGAAATTTGTACGCATCTTTCACGGAAAGGATGGACACAAGGTAAGTACTAAGGTCACAAAGGAAAATTTTGTTATCTTTGCATGCAGTCCTTCAATAGAGTGGTTATGATATAACTGTGATAGTTCCATGTGTAATTGTTACAGATTCATGTAATACATGTACTATAAAATTTGGGAGAAGGAACATGCTTCAGGGCTGTACAGTGACTAAAAAAATTGTGATGCAGGGCCATTTTCAGATTGCACTTATTGTACCTATTGTAGTATATTATTAGATTATATCTAACATGTATTTTGTACTTGTATATTGTGCCTTCATGTACTATATTTTATCTCTTACAGGGCACCATATTCTCCCTTGCCTTCTCACCAGATGGGAAACACTTGGCCTCTGCAGGTGAGTTAGGACAAGTTACAATTCCTAATATTTGCATCATAAGGCTTCTGATTGTGCTCTGATGTCAAAAGGCAGCCTCTCAATTTCAACACGTTTTGATGATGATTATTTATTTGCAAAGGTACCAGCCACATGCAGAACTACTGTACATCCTTGTCCTGACTTGTCTAAATTTGTTTCCTTTTGGACTTTCAAATTTATCTTCAGTTATTTGCATATCAATCAATAGTTCGTGCTTATAAACCTGCATTTCTCCTGCAGTCTCTTAGTGTTTGTCACCGACGAAAGGTAGTGGATACTAGCTGAAACGTCTGACCGTTTCCAAAATCATATCCAGTTGCTTGAGTAACTGCTTTTTGGTGTATCGTATTACCTGGATGTCTAACCTTTACTGATGAATCCTCCATTGTTCAGGAGAAGACAAGTGTGTGCGTGTGTGGGATCTGACATCAGGAGACATGTTGAAAGAACTACGAGCCCACACAGAAAGCATCTACAGTATAAGCTACAGCCGGGACGGTACTATGTTGGCCTCGGCGGGGGGGGACAGCATCATCCGGGTGTGGGACATGAGACCCAACATACCAGACAAAGAGTAAGTTATGCAACAACCTGCATTATATAATATAGGGTCTAGGAAAGAAAATTGTTGTTTCCTGTTTCCCGATCAACCCTAGAAAAAACTGACGCCTGCAAGGAACATAAATTTTTAGAGCTTATCAACTTTTTCTAGTTCCATGATCCTTAGTGATAAAATGATGTTCGTTGTACAATCGGTTTCCCAACATTGACATTGAAAACATGACTTTTTAAGTGCTCTCATGCAGGTATTAATTTGTTGAACTGTATTGTGTAAGTTGGATCACTTGAGATTGCCAAGTCTAAAAAAGAGAAAGAAAAAAAACATCATCCTTTCCTAGGCTTCATGTCACCATCCAAAATGACAATTTCACTCCCTCAGAACATGTACAAGTTATAGTGCCAACACTGGAATCGAACCACCAACCACTCATCCACCTTCAACAATTTTTTCTCTACCATTGTCACCCAGGTCAGATGGACAACCACCAGAGCTACTCCACAGTTACCCTACCAAGACCTCCTCCCTCCACATGCTGAAATTCGCCCCCTCGGATTTACTGATAGCTGCAGGCACCGCCAAGGGGGACTCTGTCTGATTGGTGCAGGGCCGTGCACCTATCAGTGAAAAATACTGAGGGGAGGGGTGGGGCAAGTTTTAAAACACAAACACCTATGACACATAGTATGACGTCTATACTGTACATACAACATACATACATGTATATCTGAACTGCTACTAGTATTTCCTCATGTGTCAAGGGAGACATCTAGTGACATTGCCGATAACTGCAGGTTCCTCATTGTGTCAGGAGAGACACCTAGTGACATTTCTTATAATTGCAGGATGCATCGACGTAGATGTGTAAGGTTCTTATGGCAGAGGAGAAAGATTTCTCCCAAACTGGGCTTCCTATGACTGCCACGTGGAAACAATCTATTCTGAATCAGTCTCTTAGGGACATCATTGTATTGTTTAACCATTTACCTGCTACCTAACCCAGTACCTAGTACTCAACTTTTGTGCCCAAAACTTTACTTAACATGGGGAAAGTTAAAGTCTGGACTGGAGCTAAAAACAGTCTGAAATCAACAGATTGACTGTCAACTTAAGTTACAGTAACTGTACATATTTGTAAATACTAACTTCACTTACACCAGTTTTGATACATTTTTGTATACAAAATAAAACCTGTGAAATGTATTATGGCAGAGGCTGATTTCTTAAAAACTTGGCTTCCTATGAAACATATTGAAAAGCATAAGTATATTAGAATTGCAAATGTTACAATGCAATGGGATACCCAGGCAGCAATGATCATTGTTGCTTTACCAATACTCAGAGAAAATAATGACAAAGTGGAGAAAAATTTCAGCAAATTCTATATCTTTATTTTCTTGTCTTTAACTCATTCTGATATTTGTGGCTATCAGAATCTTCTTACATTCTGGAGTTTAAGTATTTATTTCTTAATTAACAAGACACCACATTGTAGCTGTATACATACAATAAGACACTGAAGACACAAATACACATACAAACAAGCACCACTATTTGGTATACATGTACATGTGTATGGTTGAGATATATTGTAACACCACGACTTTGAGAAGATCTTCTAAACCTCCAGTTCTCTTGTATTTGTGAGGGCAATATATTCCTTTCCAAAACTTTGCATAAATATGCAACTATTTTAATAGTATGTCAAGCAGAAAAAGATTTCTTAAGACTCATATGATGAATATCTCTCTCTATTGGTTAAAAAAATGGTTATGAAAAATCTCTTGAATGGTCATGCAACAAAATCAAAATACAAAAATAGTAAACAAAAAACTATGTTTTTTCTCTAGATTAAATACTAAGCAAAGACTTGTAGCCTGTATATAGTGCAACAGATAATACAAAATATGGCAAGCATTGGCACAATAAAGGTATGACAAAATAAAAGTTAGTGAGAATATGATGCAACTACACAATCATGTAAGACTTACTAATACTGACAATACTAAGTATTCATGTAGTATTGGTATATATCGTAATAATTTCCCAAACACAAAACTTGTTTTACATGGCAAAGTATTACGATAAAAGAAACGTTAAGCAACATTTTCTAGCACAAATAACATTCAGAATGCCAGCAAAAATAATAGAAGAGAGCAACAAATTTTCTTCTAAGTTTCACTAGAATCAGGTTAAGTTGAGCTCAGTCTACCAAGACTATTGCATATCACAATTCACATTATTGCTATTTTATAATAGCTTAAATTCTCTCCCATTTGTAGTATTTTAAACCAACATTTTGCACAGAAGTTCTACCCAGTTTTGTGCACTAGTAACTCTTCACAATACAGCATGAATAGCCCTACTTTATTAGGCTAAGCTTTGTGGCACTTTACATCAAATTCACCCCATCAAGTTTTATATATCCATTCAGTAGGACACACACCCATTACCATTTCTATCATCAAGTGCACATACAAACATTCAACAGTTTAAATTTTATCCCTCTCTAACATTGACCAATCAAAACAGACAACACTATGATCGTAAGTCAACAGGATGCTAGCCCTAAATGTATCAGTAGCCCTGATTGGATGAACTACAACAAGTTCTTTTAGCATTAAGTTTTTGGAAAAAAAAAGCGGAAATTTCTGCAAGAAAAAAAAATTCCACTTAGCATCAAGTTACTTTGAAGAAAATTTTGCTGACACAAATTTCGAGTTTGTCACAATCTGTAATGCTCTAACCAATCTTGACAGTGCAATTCTCAATACAAATCAATGGGGAAGGGGGGTGTCAGATTTAAAAATGGGTGAGAACATAATTATACATTGTGTAATCATATATCCTTTTAAAATGGTTTTTGCATTCGCTAAAGAAGGGGAGGGGTCAAATTTCTATCATGTTTCCATCTAGTACCCCTTTCAGCTTAACATTCATTTAATAACTTCGTATTTTCACCATTGACATCAAAACTGCACCGAAACTGACTGCATACACTATACACTGTATATATAAATGTGCTCTATATAAAGTCCTGCACAAAGTTTGCATACCATAAAATACATCACAGAAATTCTCCATTAAAAAAGCTGGACCCTAGAAAACGGGGACAGTTCACTATACATGTTTACGAAAGCGCACAAAATACATGTTACATTACATATTACATGTGTACACGGCTAGGCCACACCAATTTTATTTGTTGGTTCTCGGATTCGCCTCTTCACTTTTTTCTGATTTGCAAAAAAAAAAAAAAGATTCTGGTTCTTAATCAACTCAAAAATGCTCATATTTCCCCCAACAGTTGAGGAAAGTCATTTTCTTCCTAGTTGTTACAGTTTTTCCATCTATCAATGCAGTGATTTGATTAAAAGTTTATACTTTAAATTTTAACCCAGGGTTTTGTGTTGACATCATGGATTGTACTGTCGCATTTGGGGCTATAATAGGATGCCTGGACCTGTTTTTTTTTTCGCCCTGTCGCTTCATATTTTTCCTTAAAAAATCCGAGAACCAACAAATTAAATTGGTGTGGCCTTAGGAACCTTTTTCAACAACTTTGGTCCATTTTAACACCACATTGACTTTAAGGTAGCAGTGAGCCACACAATTGACGTTTGTAAACAGCTAACAGCATTGGGACAGACTTACAACTTGTCGCTATAATCTTGAGTCAAAACGTGTTAGAGAAAGTTTAACATCAACTTTTGAATTTAATACTTATGCAAGGTACCCTAAGACTTTGACAATGACATTAAGAAAAAAAGTGTTATGAATTCTTCAAAAGAATTTGTTCAAAGCCTGGATATCTTAAGTATGCATTCCCAAATCGATGTTACCAAAAAAATCTAATAAACATTAGTTGATCTCTTTAAATTCAATTTATCTTTGATGTAATGTCTTTGGGTACCTGTCAGAACTATGATGACAGTTCAGATGCTACAATGAAACTTCAGCCCTAAAAACTGTTTGCTATGCAGTGACACAATGTATTCAAATGTTCACCGAAACAGAAAGTAGCTTGTGACAAAATTGTGTATAAATATTGACCGAAAAGAGATTTGTCAATCCAAAGTCTAGACTTGTCAATTCTTACATGGATGTGAACTTGAAAAACAACTTATGAGACACACAGCAACACAGCAAGTCACACAAATTTAAGCTGTCTATAGTTACAATACTCCATAGAAATACCCTCAATATTCTCACTTATAAGCCATACATGTAGGTACATGAATGGCTGTACATGTACCTAAAATTTAAACCCTACTTTAAATTTCCAGACATGTTTTCTTTGATTTTTGACAACTGCAAATCTCACAGTATGCCCTTAAAATACCTTCAATCATTAGAGATGTATTCTCAAATACAATGTACATGTAGGTACATGAAGACCAACAAACCTACATGTATGTAACTATGTGTAATACTAAACTTTCAATGGACAATGACAGTAATTTTCTCTGAGAAGTAACCACTGTACAATCACAGGATTTCTAAGTTTCGATTTCACTCAACTGTTAACAGTTAATTTCCTATTAATAGCATCATACATGTAAATATATGCACATTAAGACCTACACTTGTCTGAAAAAATTAGTAAGCAAAATTTAATGATCTATCAATTAAGCCATTGATAACAATTAACATTCATGGATATATATAAGCATCTACTGGTATACAGTACAACTATATGTAAGTTAATACTGCTTTTCTTAGAGTTAGATTTAAAACAAAGGACAACACTTAATTCTATTAGTAAATAAATCGTTATGATTTTTTTGTCTACTAGTAGATCAAAATTTTTAGGAGAAAAATACATAATCATGATTTTGTGCTTTAAGCTAAAAGATGACATTTTCTTCATATTTGTTTAATATGATAATCAACTATCCTTTCACAGCAGCATATTATGGTCTATAGCATTCTTTCAGTAGTTTAGACCACGTGATGCTCTTAACAACATTTTAACAACTTTTTTTCAGGACACAAAATTGTACTTTTTTTTTGACGTTTCAACACTTGGGGCATCCCAACATACTGTACACATTTCACAGACTGGTAGCTTGTAATGTGTAGTACGAATGTGCCACTACCTTTACTTCCAGATCTGAACACCCACTAAAACTTGCAATCACACACATCTGCTATTGCCATCTAGTGATTGAACAATTCGTGCATCTTTCTTACAAAGTATGCTAGAAAACTGTTACTCAAACAACTGACTTTGAAAACTGTCAGACATTTCAAGCTGGTGTGTTACGCCGAAAGGCTGTTATACCGGCTATACTGATACAGAAGCTGGTGTGTTACACCAAAAGGCTGTTATAATACCAGCTATACAGATACAGAAGCTGGTGTGTTACGCCGAAGGGCGGTTATACCGGCTAAACAGGTACAGAAGCTGGTGTGTTACACCAAAAGGCTGTTATACCAGCAATACTGATACAGATACAGAAGTACAGTAGCATCCACCATAATGCACTTTCTCCACTGACGAAAGGTAGTACATGCTACCTGAAATGCCTTAACAGTTCCCAAAATCTACCCAGTTGCTTGAGTAACAGTCTTCTTGCATCTCTCAATACCTGGATGTCTAACCTTCATCGACCGCCTTTAAAAGGATATTCTGAAGCTTGACTGCAACCGGTTTATATAGCGTTGGGGTTGATAGCAGAATCATAGGGGGGAGGGGAGCCCTGTTCGAAGTCGGGGGAACCGGCCGCAGCTTGAGCTTCGAGTTTCGCTATCCGGACTTTTTCCTGGCCCTCCTTCCAAAGCTTCCATGTCACGTAAGCTCCAGCGATGAAGGAGATGGTGGCAAGGAATCCAAAAGCCTGGAAAATGGAAAAACATCAAGTACAAAACTTTAAACCTTTACGATGTAGTCTGTTTAAATGTATGTTAAAGTTATTTTGTGTACTTAGTACTAAACTACTTGTATTTGAACCCTGTAAGATAATTGATTAGGCTAAAGGCCAGTAAAGGGTATTGAAATAAATACCATAATTATTATCATTGGTTTATTGAAACACACAATACTACATGTATAACAGCACACCAATACAATACACAATGCCATCACTTCTCATGATCAGCCATTAAGGCTGAATTGTGTGTGTGTGTGTGAGAGAGAGAGAAAAACCTGCCACACTGCTATTTCAAGGGAAAAATGACAAATTATCCGATCATTTCTTGTGAGCCTGTCTACAGTGCTTCTGTGGATTGCTAGGTGTTGCACATACATTCGTACAGTAAGAAGGGACTAAAATACAAAATGCAATTTCCCAACTAGGTCAGTGTTACTCACCGCGGCGGCACTCCCGGTGCCATCGTAGGCCTGGGCTGCCAGGATGATGGAGGCCAGCAGGTTCAGACCAATCACCACGCACGTACCAATGAAGTCCTGGGGGGAAAACAAGTAGAGCAGAGATGTGATCATTACTAAGCTGAAGCTACCTAAACCTGGGTAAAATTCCCTCTGTTGAGGCTCTAGCAAGATGTACATGTATGTCCATAGCAAGATGTACAATGTATGTAGTAGAGCTGTATAGTACACTGTTACACACTGTCAGTAACTTTTCAAGATCAAGACCTTACCACTTTCTCCCAGCAGACTCTGCTGATCTTCATGTAGCCATGTGTGAGGTACCAGAGGAACGTCCACAGCTCATACAGGAGCGACGTGATGGTGACGAAGCTGAAGAAGTTGTACTATACAGCTCTACTACATGTACATACATGTACACCTTGCTACATACATTTTGCTAGTAGAGAACCTTACCACTTGAGTAGACTCTAAGACTCTACTATCTTCATGTATCCATGTGTGAGGTGCTGCTGGTTAGTACAGGTCCAGACCTGTACCTACATTTTTGTAAACCTGGGTACCTGTACCTGCAACTAAAAATTATGTACACAGCTCTAAAACATCTTGCGACAGAACCTTACCACTTTCTCCCAGCAGACTCTGCTGATTTTCATGTATCCATGTGTGAGGTACCAGAGGAAGGTCCACAGCTCGTACAGGAGGGACGTGATCGTCACAAAGCTGAAGAAGTTGTACGCTCCACAGGTCCAGAAACACACACCGATCTCTGATAGCAGGAACGCCATGAAACACAGGAACTGGGGAGAAATTTAAACATCAGAATCTGTTAAGGGAGCCATGTGACAAGCCTCACTGGGTCAGTCTACTGAGGAAGACCAGAGTGACTGGTCAAAAGCTCTAGGTGAGAGAACTTCTTTTAGTTGGATCTAAAGTTTTAACTTTAAACATGTAACTACCAACACAGATGAACTTTCATGATAGTATCAGAATCTGTTATTTACAAGTTTGAATAAATGAATGCATGGATGGATGGGTGGATAGATGGATGTCATGATGAATGAAGAAAGGAACAAATGACAGGAGGGACGCCATGAAACAGGAACTGGGGAATGAAATAATCTGTTAAAGAAGTTTGAATATGAATGAATGAACTAATGAATTACAGGAAGAACATGGGTGTGTGGGTGAATGGATGGATGAATGGATGGGGTGAGTCCATTTCATCAATGACCAAGGTTGTCTCCTGTTACCAATGCATGTGAGTAACTGGGTTTTTTTTTTTTTTGCCTCCAGGATGAACTCACCATCTGCACCAGTTTAAGGACTCCAGGTACAGACTTGACAAACTCCTTGTCCACAGTGAGCCCCATGCGACTGCGCACAGTCTGTGTTGTGCTCTGACTTCCATCTGGGAAGGTGGTAGTGGTAGTAGACGTCTCCCTAAAAATGACAAAATGGCCAAAAAAAACAACAAAATTTTAAATTCTAGGATTTAGAAATATGTCATATCCCCATGGTGTAATTCAGGTAATGCAATCCTGCTAGTAGTAGTTGTAGTAGATGTCTCCTTGAAAATGACAACAAAAAAATGGCATGAGAAGAAAATTTGTAGCAATATTCAAAACTGTAGACTGTGTCTCGATGGCTGTTGCTGTAGGGGGTTATGTTCTTTTGTGTTTTCTTGTATACAACACAACGAGATAGCAGTGAGTGGAGTCCAGCTTTGTTAGCTTTGGTCCACTCCCTGAAATTGTTGGCTGGGTAGTGGATCTAACAAGGCAGCTGGACTAGTACTCAAGGTTGAACTCAAGAAGAAGTGGATGGTTGTTATATTTAGTGGATGGTTACTAGTAGTGGCAGAAAAAATGAAGATCTGTGCAATATGCAGCATAAGGAGATGGCTAACAAAGTCTTCCTCTCAACCTGATGTAACCGTAGTTAAGTATTTAGAAGATGGGGATGATAAAGCTTGACACTTCAGTTCAAGTTGACTACAGAAAGTGTTGGACGATGATTCAAAATTGGTCTGAACAACCATGAACTGTCACTAGTGTCAGCTGCCATACTAGACATAATATAAGCATATGAACACATACACATTTATAACTACTGTCACAACTGTGAAATGAACTGAACTAATAAAATTTATCCAGGCCAATGATAATGAGGATTACAATAGAAAAGTAACAATAATCTATATCTCAGTGCTTGAAATACTGGGTTACTTATTAATAATTTAAGCACTTTTGTACACCCCAAAAAAGGCAGCTGACCTCGATATTTTGCTATATTCAGAAATTTCCACACATGAAAAATTTTCAACCACACGTTGAACCAGATAGTTCAGTACATGCGAGTATGAACGAGAGCCAAATTCGTTATCGTCCAGTCAATTAACGACCTAATTTCCAAAGCAGGCACAATCTGTATTACGTCAATTCTTGCTCACTGGTCTGACGAAAAACACGTTCTTTAAGCCTTAGTGGAGTGAAAAGCTTTTTCAACACTACGTATGTAGGATGTCGATCAATTTCGATTTAGCGTGAGTCCTAAAACGATTGAGGTGTACATCTTCGCACTGCCTGTCCTGACTGTGTAATTGAGTACACAATTATGCAATCATTTAGCACAGTTTTAGCACTGGGTTAGAATACATTCAAAGACTGTGACTTGTAACGTAACAGAATATTTTAACGAGTTAAGAGGGTTGCCGTTTTCAGAAGACTACCAGAATTTTTTGACAACAGTACCCTAGCCAGAAAATTCAAGACAAATGTATGTAAGGTCAACTCAACTAAGAAATGAACCCCTATATTATAAGACTGGTAAAATAAATAAAACCACTGCAGATATTCCAAGATTTACAGTATTTGAGTGAACAGCAGCAGCTAAATGAAGAGGAAAATATTTCTTACAAATAATATTAGAACTTAGAAGCACGATATGTTATTTCAATTTTGTGCGGCACATCTGGGCAAAACACCATTGAACCCCTATACTATAGCCTTATTTTTTCAATCTGCAAAATTGCATATGCATGTTGCTTAATTTTTCTTCTAATATATTAAAAATGTCTCCACAAAATGCAGACTGCAGGTGGGTATTCCTAACACTGATTGTATAACTGCCATGGTAAACTAGCCATCAATCATACACCTACACACTGACAGACTGACAGTGACAATACCGCACCACACCGACAATGCTACAAGTACAACTGTACCTATTGAAGGCATCATGAGATCGTGAATGACTTTTAAAAAAAGAAGAAAAAGGAAGATAATGATCATAATCCTTATCAATCGACCCTAATTTTTTTCAGGACTGAAACAGGATACAACATTTTTTTCCTAGTTACCTTATTTCAATTTGCTCCATGATTGTACATTGACAGAACGACAGTGTAGGATACAATTGTACAAAAATGTAGCAACCTGCTTGTCCTCAAATTCAAAATGGATGCCTAAAAATAACTGGTTGCTCAAGTAGTGTCAAATATATAGACTGCACTGAGCAGTCTTGAAACATAAAACTGTAACCTATCTGTCATACGCCTGCGAGCTGACAGACGACAGTGACAATACCGCGCCGCGTCGATTGTTCCTTTATCAGCTCTCAAACACACGTTGTACCTGCCGCTAGCGCTCGCCTACACAACGACCTCGTTACAAAACCCAAGGTCACTCCAACAAGCTGCTGTATTGCAGGGAAGATCCCCCGGGACAAGCTTAACAAACCCGGCCACATCTCAACAATTGTGTGTGCACGCTACTGTAAATCCTTTAAAAATACCCACAGGAGTAACACAGTAGCAGTATAAATAGAAATGCTTACACAGTTACATTTAAGAGCAACATGTCTTTTACACAATTACAGTCTTGTATATAGTAATAATTATTATTATAATGATTTAGTATTTCAGAGAAACAGTTTAAACTGGTGCACTATTTCTGTATTTATTTAAATCTAGACCTTGTGTGTAAATCTTTTAAAAATATCCTCAGGAATACACTGTAGCAATATAAATAGAAATGCTTACAGTTACACTGTTACAAAGAGCAACATGTCTTTTACACAATTTACAGTCCTGTATATAGTAATAATTATTATTATAATAATTCAGTATTTCAGAAATGTTTTAAAAACTGGAGCATTATTTTTTTACTTCTTTAAATCTAGACTTTGTGTGTAAAGCTTTTAAAAATATCCTCAAGACTACACGGTAGCAATATAGATAGAAATACAGAGCAACACGTCTTTTACACAATTACAGTCTTGCATATACTGCTATGGGAGAGAGTGAGTGATATACTGCCACAGGGACATAATAATTAATATGACTACAAATTCTGTAGCCGGTCAAAGATATGATTCTAAATTCTGTGAGTTTGCTGAATTATGGATTTTACTGTTGAGTTTCACTATGACTATGAGCAGGCACCGAAACTATGAGTAATTCACCAGAAATCCACTGGAATCCAGTCTAGGGTGTGACACAGGAAATCAGGGCTAGTTCAACATGCTAGTACAGTACTTACAGTAAAACCTGAAATCATCGCATTGATTTTATTTTCATAGCAAATTCGTGACACCAGAAAAATGTGTTCCTAAATAAATAAAATGTACTACTTGAATAAGTCTTGCTGCACTAACAATCTGTCTCAACTGCAAAAATTCCTTTGACTACTAATTTCTACTGCAAAATTAATTAATACAAAGCAAAAATTCATGCAATCTACAGTTATACAATACTGTAAATTCATACATATGCTCAAAAACTCCAGATAAAAGAAATGTTTTCAGTCCTGAACTAAACAAGGTCTTGGCCTTTTTTTTACCCTGACTGGGGCACTAGTGATAAATTTATAGACTAATGGACCTCCAGTTATGTCAATATTGTCCCCAATGTTGACACACCATGTTTACTCAGTAAACAAAGATACGTTTACTTGGTAAATCACTACATGGTCCTTAGATAAACAACATAAAGACCATAGCTGGTATTAGTTTGAGGTCTTTTTGAAATAAGATGGTAGCTTTTGTTGAAATTGTTCAATATGGCAGATAATACTTGAAATCTAGATCTGTGATAGTTGTATTGAAATTCTAGAAAAAAAAGGTTAAAATAAATGAGTTTAAGTTATTTCATACTGTTTCCCATTCAGTGACTGTGTAAGAAACAGGAGGAGCGAGTAGAAACAGATAAAAACACGGGCCGGGGTTCGAACCCATGACCTCCCGAGCACCAGCTTCAAACTCCAACGCTCTAACCACTCGGCTAAAAGGTCTAGACCCATCGGCCGGGTCAGTTGGTAGCACTTACAACTGTGTTTTCTGGAAAGGTCAGTATGACAAATAAAACATGCATAAATAGCTGTAACTTGGTAAGCTCAATTAACCCTTATAATTCATCAATGTCATACAGCACATTATAATTATATATAGGTGTGACCTGCACCTGACAAATATAATTATGGTAATATCAAGAATATGAAACAGAATATATTTCACTTCTAGCACAAATTGCAAAAACGATTTCACGTAATTTCTCTCCAATATGATCAGTACAAATTTCAATTTTTAACAAAAATGAAATTAATTGCCTAAGTCTCGTATCAAACTTCACAAATTTTTTTTTCTGGGCGTGATATATATGATATTTTCACCATCTTTTAACCTTAAAATGTGGAAAATTAAAAGAATAATATAACCAAAAAAACGGGCAAGCCCTTAGCAATATGGTAGCCTCCATAACAGGCCAAAAACTGGGGGTTTTGGGGGTCTTCAGGGTCTTTTATGTGCTATTTTCTGAAATTGCATATAGACAACATAGCCGGGCTGGTTGAATTACCACCGTTTTTAGAACTGGGCTAATCAGAAAACAGCCGAAGGCCACCAAACCCCCAGTTCTACGGAAGCTAACAATATGGCCCTTAAAACATCCCTGCAGAGATATTGAAAATGATAACACCATATCGTCAACGCCCCCCACCCCTCCACCAAAAACCGGCGACAGAGAAAATTATCCTTCCACAAAATATTGACAAACCAGCGAAATAAAAACACACAATAACCATTACCTGTCCTCGACGACGGCCGGAAACCACCACAGTAGTATCGGCATGGTTGTTCTCGTTTTTTAGAGCAAAAAAGAGCCGAAAATTTGAAAGGTGAGTTGAAGAAGACAGGTTCGGAATACAGGAATGTCTTCTGCTCGCGATCACGAGTGAAAGTAGAAGTGAACTTCCGGAACGGTGCATTGTGGGTGCTTTATAGGAAACACCTTCTTCCTTTTTTCCGCGAACTATTTTTTGGCAACGCCACAGGAAAGTTTCGAAATTTTGGAACCGCTTTCTTCACTAACTATATCTACATGTAGGTATGTCACAATTAGGTTTTGGGGTGTCTATAAGGTAAACGTGAAGGTGAACGTGAACTTCCGGTACAATGCATTGTGGGTGTTTAATAGGAAACAGACGACACTTTATTTTTCTGCGAACTATTTTTTGGCAGCGCCGCAGGAACGGTTCGAAATTTTGGAACCGCTTATTTCACTTGTTGTAACCATATCTACATGTATGTATGTCACAATTACGTTTTGGGGTGTCTAAAAATGATATTTTTCAAAATTTTTCATAAATCGTGATTTATTCTAATTCAAAGTAACTAAATACTTTTAATAATTGCTGTTTTTAACTGTTTTAATAATTGCTTTTAATATCTGTTCCAACCGTTTTTAATAACCTGTGTAATGCAGCAGACTGTACCGTACAGTCTGAAAGAAATAAACCAGTATTATTGTAAATGTTTTTTTTTTACAATTTTTGTATTGCCATTGCTTTCCTATATCAATTCAAAGTAACTTTGGAAAATCATGAATTATTCTAATTTGATGACGTCAAAATTCATATGAAGGTTTTTAATAGTCCAGGGGGGGGGGCTCACCTTATAAATATTATATATAAACCTTTATAGATATTATATATAAACCTTATATATATCTTCTGATCAAACGTAGGTCACACGTGGATTTACCCTATCTAGACGGGGGGGGGGGGGCTAAAAGTGCCCGCGCCAACGACTTGCGCTAGGGCCACCAAACTTGGTTACTTTTCCTAAACCATTGTTGGCAACAATTATGTATCAGTGGAATAAGATAATGTTTTTTTGTGTTGCCATGGTTTCTGATGGGCATTTTTGACTAAATTTAGTAATTTTCGTTTCAAGAATAGAATTTTAATTTTTTGTCAAGTTACACATGACTAATATTATCAATAATATCTCATGTAATTTAATGTAAATTTCATTATTAATAATGCATAATTTATGCTAATTTGATAACGTCATTGGCCAAAATCCAAGATGGCGAACCACATCATTAGATCGGGTTTACCTCTATGATATAATCAGGTTATTTTCCTTAAAATTTCATCATTACTTCCATTTCTTTTTACGTAAAAGGTCCATATGAACGTCTTTAGTCCATCTTAAATGTACGTGTGTTTAGTCCTTATCTTAAAAAAATATTAAAAATTCAAGATTGATGATCCAAGATGGCAGATCGCTTAAATATGCATGACGTCATTTTACGACGTCACTAGTATTGCTATGGGCAACAGAAGTCTTAGTAGACCATGCTTCTATTATACAGACTTTTTGTTAAATTTACGTTATATATCATTGAGTTTTAGGGAATAACCTATCTACACGGTTTTGGCCCATAAAACAACATTAATGACGCCATAATGACGTCATATTATGTCATAACGACATTGAAATTCTTGTGATTATTTTTTACTACTAGTCCATCCGAAGAAAATTTGGTGGTCATGCGATATACCCTTCGCGAGTTCTGAGGGGGGTACCTAGTTATTCAGGCTATTTTTGCATTTCACCGTGAACTATATCATTATAGCATAAGCATATAAAATACATTACGTATTATGTAAGTACTAAATTATGTGAGTACTAAATTATACCATATGTTCACTAAATTATGTCATATATTCCATAGGAGATATCTGTATACTAAATTATACCACATATTCACTAAATTATACCATATATTCCATAGGAGATATCTGTATACTGAATTATACCATATATCCCATAGACAATATCTGTATATTAATAATACCATATATTCCATAGGAGATATCTGAATACTAAATTACACCATATATTCCATAGGAGATATCTGAATACTAAATCATACCATATCTTCACTAAATTATACCATATATTCCATAGGAGATATCTGTATACTAAATTATACCATATCTTCACTAAATTATCTGTATACTAAATTATACCATATTACCCAAAGACAATATCTGTATACTAAATTATACCGTATATTCCATAGAAGATATCTCTATAAAACACTCACCAATTAGTAATTGTACTACAAAAACTTAAATGTTGTTGATCCAATGAAATAGGAATAATCAATAAGTAATCATGGGATCTATACATCATCAAACTAACGTCACGTTGGAACTATTAAAAAGTGAATAGAGGAAAATAGCTGGGGGGAGAAACAACAGTTAAGTGTTGTTTGTATCGACTAAATTTAACAGAAAAATATAACATTTATGCAATTTAAACGTACACTTATGTAAGTTCATCTGTGTTGGTACAAGTCATTATGAAATAAAGACTCTTGGGACGTTCCAGGAGTAGACAAGTCCATTCCGTGAACAAGGTTGATGGAATCAACCAAAAAAATTGGGGTAAGTCCCAATTCATTGCTCAGTCTTTATTTCATAACGTTTATACCTTATTGTTTGTAAAAGCTATAGACTAAAACATTTGTTGAAATATTCTCAGTAGCATGCTAGGAAAATAAAAGATTCACATCACAGATAACTAGGAAAAATAGCCACAGAATGATTATCATAATCAGTCACTATAAGCTGCCCTTCCAGTCTCACGGCCACGCCTTGTATCCTATGTTTTATAACGCTTATAGCTAATTGTTTGTAAAAGCTATAGACTGTAAAATATTGCTTTTGAAATATTTTCAGCAATATGCTACGAAAAACAGAACATTAACATCACAGATAACTAGGAAAAATACTCACTTTAACCACAGATAACTAGGAAAAATAGTCACTGAATGGCTGTCAAGCTCAGTCACTACCAGCTGTCCTTCCGGTCCCAAGGCCACGCCATGTGGCTGAAACCTAGTCTCAAAGGTCCGGACATACTCGCCGTGACGTGTGAACATCTGTACCCTGTGGTTCCCAGTGTCCGCCACGATGATGTGACCCGAGTTGTCTGTACAGATGCCGTGGGGATACCATAGTTGACCTTCACCTTTTCGCTGACCTCCAAACTTCAGCAGGAACTTCCCGGACTCGTCATACAAGTAGACAGAATGACTGGCCCAGTCCGACACAAGAATGTTTCCTTCCCCGTCCACAGTGATGTACTGCGGGTTTCTCATCTCACCCTGTGGATGTCCGAACCTCCGCACCAGAGAGCCGTCCGGACGGAACACCTCAACTTCCTCACGGTCTGCATCAGTCACCAGGATGTGGTTATTGCGCATGTCCACTACAATCCCGCGGTAATACCCGGTCTTCTGAAGGTGAAACTGTGCCATGGCGGTCCCGTCCGCGCTGTACTGTACAACATGATCAGCTGATTTACCACGCCCCACTACCCACAGTGTGCCGTTACCGTCCATAGAAACATCAGATGGCTTCATGTCCTTGTCCTCTGTACCCGGTACGACTGTTGGGAAGTGGCGGAGGTAAACCCCCTTTGTGGTGTGGACTTGGACTCGCCTGTTGTCTTCATCAGCCACAAATATCTCGTTACTAGATACCACAACGCCGCGTGGGTACTTAAATTTCCCTGGTTCTGATCCGAACCCGCCATAAGTGATCTTACCCTGTCTGAAGTCTTCAGTAGTACGAGGTGCCGCTCCCTCTGCCCCTACTAACGTGGGTCGCTCTTGCTCTGCTAGTTTGTCCACATTTTCGTCACTTTCCGTGCTCTTCTCTGCGTCCTTTGCAGTTGATTCCTCTCTTGCGGTTTCACCCGAATCTACTTCCTCCCCTGCAGTGCCCTCCCGAGCCGCTAGGTGTGTCTGTGTAGCTTCATCTGCCTTCTCGACCTGTGGCCAGCCACCAGGAGGCTTCTCTCCCCTGTACTCCTGTAACCAGCCGCCAGGTGGCTTCTCTCCCCTGTACTCCATCACGTGAGAGGTGACCGTCTTAGCGGCTTTCTCGGCGAATTCTCGAGCCTGCTGGAGCTTCTTTTCAAGAACTTCTTTTGCCTCAAGAGCTTCCTTCAACCTGTTCTCTGAAATGGTCAGCTTGGAGCGCAAGGTCATGATCGTGTTGGAATCCACTTCTGCCTTTTGGATGAGCCGCTTCATCTCTTGTTCTCTGAGATGATCCTTCTTCTTTATCTCTTGTTCTCTGAGCTGATCCTTCTGCACCAGAGCCTGGACCAGGCTATAGGAGAAGCCCTGGTACTCCAGACTCGCGGCTACCTGCAGATGGAGGGGCAGGGCGTCCGAGAACAGGTTCAGAGCGGACAGGCGGGTCCAGTTCCTGGGCGCCCTCTGCTGCTTGGTTCGGGTTCTGCAGCCCATCTCGATATCATCGACGGTCTGCTGTCTCTTTACATCTGTGATGTAAAATCGCATTGAACGTTATTTCACACAGTAAAGTAATTATTATACTAAATGAAACCAAATAAACTTTTAGATCGAGGACGACATTTCAGGACCGCTCAATTTATAACTGAGTATTTATAGTAATATATTGAGCGTATGTGAAATTTGAAAGGTCTAACTGCTAATCCCAAAAAGCAGTTACTCAAGCAACTGGATTCGATTTTGGATCCAGTTGCTTGAGTAACTGCTTTTTGGCCTACCTTATTACCTGGATGTCTAACCTTTATCGACGTACCTTACAGCTTTTCATTTTGATATCTTTAGATTTGTACAGGACTACCGAAGGATTCGTTCTACATACCCTTAAAAAGCGCCCCCTGTGCGACTTCCAACGGTGCTTCAGCGTCGATCTGCAGTGTCTTGACGCCCATGAATACAAGTCTTGGGTCAGAGATATTCGCCATGAGCCTCAGCACCGCTGTGCTCTCCCGCGGTATGGTGTAGTGCATCAGGATACTTCTGCCTTTCTTGTAGCCTCTGAACTTGACCCGTGACCTCCCTGTGCCACAAAGCGATCGTAGATTGTATCTATAACGATCTACGGTTTCCTGGATCATGTGTCTTTGGCCGTGAACGACTAAGTAAGCATTTGCTGTTTCTCCTGGAAAATGTACATTTGAGTTAATATCAATTTTTGAGCAGGACAAAAATGGTAAATTTTTCAGAATAGATAATGATGACTATTACTGGGGCAATAACATTTTCTAGATGAAGACAAACATCAAAAAGTCATTTAAAATGATAATAACTATAATACAACAACTTTGTCCATCTTATCATTAAAAGCAAACATCTTTCTAAATCGATGCCTTACATCAATTTCAGTGGGAGCTGTTTAAAGAGAACGTTTTGTTTTTTCTTACCATCTGCGCTTGCACCATCAGTGCTTGCACCATCAGTGCTTGCACCATCAGTGCTTGCACCATCAGTGCTTGCACCATCAGTGCTTGCACCATCAGTGCTTGCACCATCAGTGCTTGCACCATCAGTGCTTGCACCATCAGTGCTTGCACCATCAGTGCTTGCACCATCAGTGCTTGTTCCCGGTTCTAGTTCGGGGTTTTCCGGAACTTCTCGGTCAGGTGGTTGGAACGGCCTCAGAACGTCCCTCACCAGGTCTGGTCTCCCCATTCTTTCCAAGATCTCTTCAAGAAAGTCCAAGTTCTCCTGGTCTATCTTGTCCAGTTCTATCAACTTGTGGAAAACCTCAAGTGCTTGATTAAGTCTTTCTGCAATGCCCTTTGGAATCAAATGACTACAGTACAACTTCAGGAGATTCGTTTCATCCATTATTAGCTCATCGGATATACGTTGTAGCATTTGCACGAAATCAAAATGGCGCCTGTCAGCCTCTGTCACTCTGCTACGGATCGGAGCTGCCATTCTGAAATAAATTTAAACGGTTAAGTAATTTGCATACGCACTAACACAATGTGTTAACAGTAAGTACGTTTTTTACTGTTAGTATGTTTTTATAATTATTTTGTAAGTTAGTTGGTCTTTAGGTCACCACAGAAGATCTACAATACTAGATCTAAAAGGGTTTCTGCATAATGTTTCACCAGCTCTAGGCACCATCTTTACCAACCAACTGTGGAGGTCCTGTGTATCACGCTCATGTTTTGTTACTATGTGCACATCTTGTGTAAGTTGATAAATATACTTAACACAAATATGAATTGTGATGTACATCTAAAGATCATTTGAAGATTAGTAGTGATTAAGTATTATGGTGGAAATCTATCAAAGGATAGGACTTTCACACATACAATATATGGAGTCTATCCGTATCCTAAATAAGAAAGAAAGTCGCAAGGAAACAAAAAATTAAAAAAAAACTCTTTCAACTATATTTTTGTCGAATTGTAATTTGAAGAAGGACTTTTTTTCTACATGTACTTAGCCTTGATTTTTTCCAACAGGTTAACTTTACAGTCAGCCTTAAGCTGTCCCCGGCCAGTACAAAGGGGTAAGGTAACCTGATACTATCTCGGATTTCTGCATGTCATTGTTAGCTCCAGGCTCCCCTGGCGCGAGCGCGTGGCGTCGGTAACCCAATACCTCCCTAGTTATAGGCACTTAATAGCAACCGGTTTCCATGTAACATCGAACTTGTCCTTTGTTTTGTCAACACCTATCCACAAACCACATTTCATAACGATTGATAGCTTCTTAAGTTATGCTTTTAGCCAGAATCAAACGCTACCGAAAACATAATGAAGACATAGGTATGGAGAGTTAGACGTGTGCATGTACTTAGCCTTGAATTTTTCCAACAGGTTAACTTTACAGTCAGCCTTAAGCTGTCCCGGGCCAGTACAAAGAGCTAGGGTAACCTGATACTATCTCGGATTTCTGCAGGTTATTGTTACCGCCAGGCTCCCTGAACCGAGCACGTGGCGCCGGTAACCCAATACCTCCCTAGGTATGGATACTTAACATAAGGTAGCAACCGCCTGCCGTGTATACTCAAACTAGTTATGGTTTTGTCAACACCAACCCACAAAGTACATCTCATAACAATCCATTAATAGCTTCTTAAGTTATGCTTTTAACCACGAACAGACAAACGCTACCGAAAACATAATGAAAACATAGCTATGGAGAGCAAGACGTCAACATGTATATGTGAAGTATGCATACTATACAATTGAACTTTTAAAAATTTTTAGAGTGGGTTTTTCTCTAGATATGACAATATCTCTATTGAATTAATCTGCTTAGTGAGTTTTTACAGTAAGCCCTAGGCAGGCCTAGTGTTGGCCGTGGGTGGTGGTAACCAAATACCCTCCTTAACAATGGCAACGTGAAAGGAGTAGCCCACCATTCAGATTTTTTTGTGCCAAGTTAACTGCCTTGTACCCCTCCCCATTAAGAATTAGGGACACATTTCTTAAGTTTTGTGCCAACTTACAACCAATTACACAAACTGTTCTTGGTTTCCCAGCATTGTAAGAAGAAAGGCCGTCTTAAGTTGGAGACAATGATACATTGTAACTTCAAGTCGTTGCCCTACAGTTGCCACTCTTCTGTACCGCCACGTCTAAAATATAGCTCACCTGTAGTCGTACTGAAGCTCGTTTGAAGACTTCTATCTGCTTGACGCGATCTTCTATGAGGAAAGTAACCCTTACCTGGATCAAGTACAGACGCTGCGTTATCCACAACAGAATACGTCAAACAAAGTCGCTGGTCTGACTGCTGACGTCACAGTAAATATGGAGGACCGAGAACAACAGTGCGTTACCTGTTGAACTTTGACACGGCTGACCTTGGGGATGACGTGTTTGTTTTTCTTCCACCTGTCGTGTTTTTATGTGACGTCACCGGCACCCTGCTCAGGTTGCTGGTTGTAGGTAACCAGTAGAGTCGTTCCAACATCACTGAATATGGATGCCGTTGTTAACTGTATATGACCACTTGTATAGAACAAAACTCCATTGGCAATTAATCAAAGACAAACAGCTTTGCTAAAGTTGCTGTTTTTTTTACCTTGTGGTGTGATTCCAATATCGCTGACTATGCATGCCATTGTTAACTGTATATGACCACTTCTATAGCAAAAGGCTCATTGGCAATTAATCAAAGACAAAAAAAAGCTTTGCTTAAGTTGCTGTTTTTTTTTACCTTGTAGTGTGATTCCAACATCACTGAATATGCATGCCAATGTTAACTGTATATGACAACCTGTATAGAACAAAACTCCGTTGGCAATTTATCAAAGACAAACAGCTTTGCTAAAGTTGTTTTTTTACCTTGTAGCGCGATTCCAACATCACTGACTACGCATGCTATTGTATTGTTAACTGTATATGACCATCTGTATAGATTCAAAGTCCATTTTTCAAAGACAAACATTTTTAGCTGTAAAAAGTGTTCAGATTTAAGTACCACCGTGACGATAAACAGTTTTCTTCACATTTATGATTCAACATAGTGAATAAAACCAAATAAAATCAACTGAATCAATAACTTACAAGAAATCATATTATCCATGCAGCTAATAGTTAAACATGGGCACAATGAAATCAGTTTGTTTTATTAGGATCTCCAACAGTTGTATTTTACTGTACAATATGGTTTTGCAGCTTAGTAAAATGCAGTTACAGTCATTATGCAATACCTTTTTATAAGAAAAACACATTGCTCTGGATTTTCTTATTCTTCTTCAAGCAAATAAGCTCAGTGACCTGAACCAGGCGTCTGTCACCATGGTAACTGGTGCTGTAGCAGACACCGTGTGGTTATGAATTACATTGTCATTATGTGGCAAGTTAGAGGTGCTACATGTGGTCATCATATACATGTGTGCGGTAGTTTGTACAATAGTTTGTTAGGCTGGACCGTGTGAAGATAAACTTAATACCTTATGATTTGCTTACCTTTCTACTTACATGCAGCTATTATTTTCGGTATTTCAATGTGAATATATCATTATAATGCTACAAGTACGTAAAAAATACACCACTAATTTATACAAGTACTACATTATACCATATTCCATAGCCGATATCTGTACGAAACCCTTACCAAACAATTAGTAGTTGTACTGCAGATACTAATTAATCGTTGATCCAATTAAACAGCAATAAGTAATAATATGATCTAGACATCAGCAAGCTAACGTCGAGCTGGTACTAACTTTAAAAAAAAGGCAGAGAAATAGCTGGGGAAGAAACAACAATGTAATATTTGTTTAAAGTTAAAACTTTTGATCCAACACAACAAAGTTCTCTCACCCATGTACGATTGTCGAGCAATAAAGTTCATTCATTCATTCATAGAACTTTCGACCAGTCACTGGTCTTCTTCAATAGACTGACCCAGCTAAGCTTGTGACGTAGCTTCTTTGAAGTGTGACGTCAACGCTGGGTCAAAGGTATCTGGTAGAGTGTAATATTGATTGTATCGACTAAATGTAACATGGTTTATGCAAATCAAACACGCTTATAGCTTATTGTTTGTAAAAGCTATAGACTGTGAACATTTCTGTTGAAATATTCTCATCAGCATGCTACGAAAACAAAGCATTAAAATCACAGATAACTGGGGAAAATTATCACTGAATCGTTATGCCAATTAGTCACTACCAGCTGTCTTTCCGGTCCCACGGCCACGCCTTCTGGCTGAAACCCAGTCTCAAAGCTCCGGACATACTCGCCGTGACGTGTGAACATCTGTACCCTCTTGTGCCCATAGTCCGCCACGATGATGTGACCCGAGCTGTCCGTACAGATGCCGTGGGGATACCGCAGTTGACCTTCACCACTTCCCTCACCTCCAAACTTCAGCAGGAACTTCCCGGACTCGTCATACATGTAGACAAAGTCAGAGTCCCAGTCCGACACAAGGATATTCCCTTCCCCGTCCACAGTGATGCACCGCGGGTATCTCATCTCATCCCTTGGATGTCCGAACCTCCGCACCAGAGATCCGTCCGCACGGAACACCTCAACTTCACCACGGTCTCCATCAGTCACCAGGATGTGGTTATTGCGCATGTCAACCGCAATCCCGCGGATATACACGCTTTTCTGAAGGTGAAACTGTGTCATGGCGGTCCCGTCCGTGCTGTATTGTACAACATGACCAGCTGATTCACCCTCCCCCACTACCCACAGTGTGCCGTTACCGTCCATTGAAACATCTTCTGGCGCCATGTCCTTGTCCTCTGTACCCGGTACGACTGTTGGGAAGTGGCGGAGGTAAACCCCCCTTGTGGTGTGGACTTGGTCTCGCCTGTTGTGCATATCAGCCACAAATATCTCGTTACTAGACGACACCACAACGCCGCGTGGGTACTTAAATTTTCCGGGTTCTGATCCCTGCCCGCCGTAAGTGATCTTACCCTGTCTGAAGTTTCCAGCAGTACGAGGTGCCGCTCCTTCTGCCCCTGCTGACGTGGGTCGCTTTTGCTCTGCTGGTTTGTCCACATTTTCATCTCTTTCCGCGCTCTTGTCTGTGTCCGTTGCAGTCAATTCTTCTCGTACGGTTTCACCCAAATCTTCTTCCTCCCCTGCAGTGGCCTCGTGAGCCGCTAGGTGTGTCTGTGTGGCTACATCTGCCTTCTCAACATGTGCAGACCAGCCGCCAGGTGGCTTCTCTCCCCTGTACTCCTGTGACCAGCCGCCAGGTGGTTTCTCTCCCCTGTACTCCGTCACGTGAGAGGTGACCTGCTTAGCGGCTTTCTCGGCGTATTCACGGGCCTGCTGGAGCTTCTTTTCAAGAACTGCATTCGCCTCAAGGGCTTCCTTCAACCTGTTCTCTGAAATGATCAGCTTGGAGCGCAAGGTCATGATCGTGTTGGAATCCACTTCTGCCTTTTGGATGAGCTTCTTCATCTCTTGTTCTCTGAGCTGATCCTTCTTCTTTATTTCTTGTTCTCTGAGCTGATCCTTCTTCTTCATCTCTTGTTCTCTGAGCTGATCCTTCTGCACCAGAGCCTGGACCAGGCTATAGGAGAAGCCCTGGTACTCCAGACTCGCCGCTACCTGCAGATGGAGGGGCAGGGCGTCCGAGAACAGGTTCAGAGCGGACAGGCGGGTCCAGTTCCTGGGCGCCCTCTGCTGCTTGGTGCGGGTACTGCAGCCCACCTCGATGTCATCGACGGTTCGCCGTCTTTTGATATCTATAACAAACGTTTTTTTGGACATTATCAAACTCGTTATATCATAATTAAACAAGACATTATGGGAAAGAAGACTAGATAGTTAGAAACTGAATGTCAAGGAAATGTAAATTGATTTCTAAAATGCACAACGTCATGCTTTTTTAAAAATCTTCAAACAAGTTTGTAAGGGAATAGCAAGGGTTCAGTTTAATATATATAATTATAATTGGTTTATTTCAAGTTAGCAGCTGGCAGCTGGCATGTAACTGTGTGTTCGTACAGTTACATGGAGAGGTAAACGTGCACAATATTATTGCCTAAAACCGCAATCAACATATTGAATTAGTTAGGGCTAAGGTAATAAAAACTCTGAACAATATAAATTCAGTATTACAATCACAGTCACATACATCATTCAAAGTCATAATTGAGTAACAGATTACCGTTGAAAAGCGCCCCCTGTGCGACTTTGATTGGTGCTTCAGCGTCGATCTGCAGTGACGTGACGCCCATAAATGCAAGTCTTGGGTCGGAGTTACTCGCCATGAGCCTCAGCACCGCAGTGCTCTCTCGCGGAATGGTGAAGTGCATCAGAATGCTCTTATGTTTCTTCCAATCTTTGAACTTTACCCTTGACCTCTTGATGCGAGATAACTTCGCAAGTTTGTTTCTTACACGATCTAGATTTTCCTGTATCATGCGAACTTCGCCGTCCAGGGCCACGTAGACGTTTGCAGTTGAACTTCCTGCAAGTATTAAAATCATTGTTCAACCATAATGCATTGCTGTAAAATACTCACAAACATTAGAAGGGCACGAAACACGTTCTTATGTTCTAACTTTTATGTAAAATACCATAATGTTTCGAGTGTTAGTAATGATTTCCTTGTTACTTGCCTTCCTCGTCGGTACCTTCGCTGCTTGTTCCCGGTTCAAGTTCGGGATTTTCCGGAATCTCTCGGTCGGGCCGTTGAAACGGTCGCAAAATATCCATGACCAGATCCTGTCGTCCGATTCTTTCCAGAATCTCTTCAACAAAGACCAGATTCTCTCGGTCTATTTTCCGACGCTTTTGGAGCGTAAGAAACACATCAACTGCTTGCGATCCTTGGAGGTCTCTATTTGGAACAAGGTGCATGCAATACAACCTCACCTCTTTTGTTTCCTGGTCAGTAAGGGCTTTAGAGATCTTTAGTAAAACGTCTATAAAATCAAAATGGCTTCTGTCTTCCTCTGTGATTCGGTCGACGTCCCCGGTTGGACCCGCCATGCTGAAACGAAAAGAAAGCAATTTTAGGTCAGTATTACTTGTACAATTTTATTCTTTATAACACTTGGTTTAAACTTAACAGTTTTATATTACCTAACTTTGTACACTCACATTCAAGCTGATGTAGATGCATTTTTGCATAAATACCATGTGATTCCTTAGTGGTAAAAGATGGACATTCTCATATCAAACTTGCCTCTTTTTGTAATGTGTGTGTATAATTTGTCCATATTTGTGAACTTTAATGAAGTCCAGCTTTTAATGAATTCCACCTTTTAGTGAATTCCTTATTTTGAAATGTAAATTGGTTTTAATTCAGTGGCAACACTGCGATTTCCAATAAAGAGATCTTGTATCTTGTATATGTGTAAGGCAATAAAAACTAAACACCAATATGCATTTTTTTATGTAAATGTGAAGGTCACTTCTATAATTTTTTATGATGGAAATTTGCCATTGTATCGGTATAACCGTTAAAACCGCCCTTCGGCGCAACACACTAGCTTCCGGCAGGCACGTAGCGCGGCGGCTGTTGCTATGTTACGCTGAACGACCTGTTACACCCAATCTTTGTGCGTTTAACTGCAGTTGTTGTTATTATTAGTGCCACCTGGTTATTTGATACCTCTATAGAAATGCAAATTTCATGATTCGACATAAACCAAAAATAGCTTCTTGAGTTATAATAATACACCACAAAATCGCAAACACTTCCAAAATATTATTGAGACGATACAATGATATATATATTGCTGCACAATGCTTTCATTTGACATGACAGCCCTTGGCCCTCCCTGTACTGAACGCGGTATGCTGGTAATCCGATTTGCTGGTAATCCCCCTATGTACCGTCCCAACCAACTGTGGAGGCTCTTTGTGTCACGTTCATGCTTTGCAACTACAGTATGTACACCTCTTCGTTGCAAACGTTTTTAAAATGTGTCTCCGGTAACCCAATACCTCATCCTTAGTTGCTGATGCGTTACCAAACGTCCGCAGTACTAGTATATAATTGAACTAGTCATTTGTTTTGTTACGGTCACTTTTCCACATACCATCTTTAATCATTAAAAAGCTTAAGTCCCTAAAATCATGCAACTAAACGACAAAAAAGCTACTAGTAAAACAAAATCAAGACAAGGTTTTGCACAGTAACGAGTATAAGCTAGCTCCCTTTGGTTTTTTGAATGGTTGTCTTTCTATGTGTATTACTACATGTACTGCATGATTGAATAGCTATTCAGTTGTTTAACAACCTGATGAAATAACTTACGTTGTTACAGTCAACAATAGACCAGCCATGTACTGTTAGCCTGGTGTCTAACCTTGTCAGCTTTGGTCCGCTCCCCAAGATCCGCTGGTAGTTGATGAATGTACTTTATGCAGTGCCATGGTTACTCGATACCCTCCCTACGTACAGGAATGTTGCATTACTATTCAACTGTAGAGGTCTTAAGTGCCCCGTTCACGCTTTGTGACTTCACCTCCTTGATTTTGGTCGATTTTTGAAATGTTATAAACTTCTTACAGTCCTACTGAGTACGTTTGGTTTCCTAGCATGGTAAGTAGAAGGCCTGGAAGTCTTAGGTCTGAGACCATGATTATAACTTTTGACGAATTGTTTGCACTACAATGGCGGCTCTTTTGTGACGCCAGGTTTTACAACATACCTCACCTGTAGTCGTACTGAAGCTCGTTTGAAGACTTCTATCTGCTTTAAGCGATCTTCTGTGGGTAAAGTAACCCTTACCTGGATCATGAACAGTCGCTGCGTTATCCACAACAGAATACGTTAAACAAAGTCGCTGGTCTGACTACTGACGTCACAGTAAATATGGCGGACCGAGAACAACAGTGCGTTACCTGCTGAACTTTGACACGGCTGACCTTGGGGACGGCGTGTTTGTTTTTCTTCCACCTGTCGTGTTTTTATATGACGTCACCGGCACCCTGCTCAGGTTGCTGGTTGTAGGTACCCAGTAGAGTCGTTCCAACATCACTGAATATGCATGTCGTTGTTAACTGTATAAAACCACTTATATACAACAAAACTCCATTGGCAAAGGCAAACAGCTGTGCTTAAGTCTCTTTTTTTCCTTGTAGTGTGATTCAATTGTCACGAATATGCATGCCGTTGTTAACTGTATATGACCACTTGTATAGAACAAATCTACATTGGCAATGAATCAAAGACAAAGATCTTCGTTCAAGTTGCTGTTTTTTTTTAATACCTTGTAGTGTGATTCCAATATCACTGAATATGCATGCCATTGTTAATTACATTGTTAGCTACATTGTTAACTCCATTGGAAATTAATCGAAGCCAAACAGCTTTGCTAAAGTTGCTGTTATTTTACCTTGTACAATGATTCCAATATCACTGACTATGCATGCCATTGTTAACTGCATATGACCACTTGTATAGAACAAATCTACATTGGCAATTAATCAAAGACAAACAGCTTTGCTCAAGTTGCTTGTATTTTTACCTTGCAGTGTGATTCCAATACTACTGAATATGCATGCTATTGTTAACTGTATATGGCCACTTGTATAGAACAAATCTACATTGGCAAAGGCAAACAGCTTTGCTTAAATCTCTTTTTTTCCTTGTAGTGTGATTCCAATATCACTGACTATGCATGCCATTGTTAACTGTATATGACAACCTGTATGGAACAAAACTCCATTGGCAAAGACAAACAGCTTTGCTAAAGGTGCTGTTTTTTTACATTGTAGTGTGATTCCAATATCACTGACTATGCATGCCATTGTTAACTGTATATGACCACTTGTATAGAACAAATCTACATTGGCAATTAAAGACAAACAGCTTTGCTCAAGTTGCTTTTTTTTTACCTTGTAGTGTGATTCCAATATCATGGACTATTGCATGCCATTGTTAATTGAATATGACCACTTGTATAGAACAAAACTCCATTGGCGATTAATCAAAGACAAACAACTTTGTTAAAGTTGCTTTTTTTTTACCTTGTAGTGTGATTCCAATATCACTGAATATGCATGCTTAGCATGAAAGTTCATCTGTGTTGGTACAAATCATTATGACTATGCATGCTGTTGTTAACTGAATATGACCATCTGTATAGATTCAAATTCCATATTTTAAAGACAAACATTTTTAACTGTCAGAAGTGTTCAGATTTAAGTACCACGATAAACAGTTTTCTTCACATATATCATTCAACATAGTTTAGAAAACCAAATAAAATCAACTGATTCAATGCCTCTGAAGTAATCATATTATCCATGCAGCTAATAGTTAAACATGGGCACAATGAAATCAGTTTATTTTATTAGGACCTCCAGAAGTTGGATATTACTGTACAATATGGTTTTGCAGCTTAGTTCAATGCAGTTACAGTCATTATGCAATACCTTTTTATAAGGAAAACACATTGCTCTGGATTTTCTTATTCTTCTTCAAGCAAATAAGCTCAATGACCAGAACCAGGCGTCTGTCACCATGGTAACTGGTGCTGTTGCAGACACCGTGTGGTGATGGATTACATTGTCATTATGTGGCAAGTTAGATTGGTTACATTTGGTCATCATACACATGTGTGCGGTAGTTTGTACAATAGTTTGTTAGGCTAGACCGTGTGAAGATAAACTTTATACCTAAGTCCTTATGCTTTCCTTACCTGTCTAGTTACATGCAGCTATTAATTTCGGCATTTCAATGTGAATATATCATTATAATGGTACAAGTACGTAAAAAATACACCACTAATTTATACAAGTACTAAATTATACCATATTCCATAGCCGATATCTGTATAAAACATCCACCAAACAATTAGTAGTTGTACTGCAGATACTAATTAATCGTTGATCCAATTAAACAGCAATAAGTACTAATGGGATCTATACATCAGCAAGCTAACGTTGAGCTGGTACTAACTTTTAAAAAAGTGAAGGAAGAAAATAGCTGGGGAAACAACAATGTAATATTGTCTGTATCGACTAAATCTAACATGGTTTATGTAAATCAAACACCCTTATAGATTATTGTTTGCAAAAGCTATAGACTGTAAAAGATTTGTTGAAATATTCTCAGCAGCATGCTACAAAAAGATATTAAAATTACAGATAACTAGGATAAATAGTCACTGAATGATTATCAATATTAGTCACCACCAGCTGCCCTCCCGGTCCCACGGCCACGCCTTCTGGCATAAACCCAGTCTCAAAGCTCCGGACATACTCGCCGTGACGTGTGAACATCTGTACCCTCTCGTTCCCACGGTCCGCCACGATGATGTGACCCGAGCTGTCTGTACAGATGCCGCGGGGAGACTGCAGTTGACCTTTACCACTTCCCTCACCTCCAAACTTCAGCATGAACTTCCCGGACTCGTCATACATGTAGACAGAATCAGTGTTCCAGTGCGACACAAGGATGTTCCCTTCCCCGTCCACAGTGATGTACAGTGGGGTTCTCATCTCACCCTGTGGATGTCCGAACCTCCGCACCAGAGAGCCGTCCGGACGGAACACCTCAACTTCACCACGGTCTGCATCAGTCACCAGGATGTTGTTATTGCGCATGTCTACCGCAATACCGCGGTATGGTCCGATCTTCTGAAGGTGAAACTGTGTCATGGCGGTCCCGTCCGTGCTGTACTGTACAACATGCTCGCCTGATTCACCATGCCCCACTACCCACAGTGTGCCGTTACCGTCCATAGAAACATCATGTGGCCCCATGTCGCTGTCCTCTGTACCCGGTACGACTGTTGGGAAGTGGCGGAGGTAAACCCCCTCTTGGGTGTGGACTTGAACTCGCCTGTTGTCTGTATCAGCCACAAATATCTCGTTACTAGACGACAACACAACGCCGCGTGGGTACTCAAATTTCCCAGGTTCTGATCCCTCCCCGCCGTAAGTGATCTTACCCTGTCTAGAGTCTCCAGTAGTACGAGGTGCCGCTCCCTCTGCCCCTACTAACGTGGGTCGCTCTTGCTCTGCTAGTTTGTCCACATTTTCGTCACTTTCCGTGCTCTTCTCTGCGTCTTTTGCAGTCGATTCTTCCTTTGTGGTGTAACCCGGATCTACTCCTACTCCTGCAGTTCCCTCCCGAGCCGCTAGGTGTGTCTGTGTAGGTACATTTGCCTCCTCAACATGTGCAGACCAGCCGCCAGGTGGCTTCTCTCCCCTGTACTCCTGTGACCAGCCGCCAGGAGGCTTCTCTCCCCTGTACTCTTGTGACCAGCCGCCAGGTGGCTTCTCTCCCCTGTACTCCGTCACGTGAGAGGTGACCTGCTTGGCGGCTTTCTCGGCGTATTCACGGGCCTGCTGGAGTTTCTTTTCAAGAACTGCGTTCGCCTCAAGAGCTTCCTTCAACCTGTTCTCTGAAATGGTCAGCTTGGAGCGCAAGGTCATGAACGTGTTGGAATCCACTTCTGCCTTTTGGCTAAGCTGCTTCATCTCTTGTTCTCTGAGCTGATCCATCTTCTTCATCTCTTGTTCTCTGACCTGATCCTTCTTCTTCATCTCTTGTTCTCTGACCTGATCCTTCTGCACTAGAGCCTGGACCAGGCCATAGGATAAGCCCTGGTACTCCAGACTCGCGGCTACCTGCAGATGGAGGGGCAGGGCGTCCGAGAACAGGTTCAGAGCGGACAGGCGGGTCCAGTTCTTGGGCGCCCTCTGCTGCTTGGTTCGGGTACTACAGCCCACCTTGATGTCATCGACGGTACACGTTCTCTTGATATCTATAAGAAACGTTTTTTTACACTTTTAAACTTGTTATTTCATAATTAAACCAGGCATCATTTCAAAGACGCCTATAGTTAGAAACTGTGTCCATGAATTGTAAATTGATTTGTAAAATGCCAAATTTTGTGCTCTTTTTTCAAATGCTTATCATAGTAAATCTTTAAACAAATTCTGGAGGTTTAGTTTCACTTACCGTTCAAAAGCGCCCCCTGTCCGACTTTGATTGGTGGTTCAGCGCCGATCTGCAGTGACGTGACGCCCATGAATACAAGTCTCGGGTCGGGGTAACTCGCCATGAGCCTCAGCACCGCTGTGCTCTCCCGCGGTATAGTGTAGTGCATCAGGATGCTCTTGTGTTTCTTGTAACCTCTGAACTTGACCTGTGACCTCCTTGTGCCACAAAGTGATGCCAGGTTGTGCCTGTGACGATCTACGGTTTCCTGGATCATGTTTCTTTGACCGTGAATGACTAAGTATGCATCAGACGTGGAAGCTGTAGTGAGGATAAGACCATTGAATTTGAGGCAAGTATCCATTATATTTACATCATTTAACAGTCTGTAAAACTCACGTTGAATAAACTTATTATTTTCTCAATTTCTCGGGAAACAAAATTTTTTTGCAAAGAATTCGTTATTTGATCTGAAAAAGCAGTCACTTAAATATGACGGAAAGAATTTCTGCACAACTCTTCTCTATAAAACAGCGATAAAACATTCACCCAATTGTACCAACTCTACTTACCATCAGTACTTGCACCATCAGGACTTGCACCATCAGTGCTTGTTCCCGGTTCTAGTTCGGGGTTTTCCGGAACTTCTCGGTCAGGTGGTTGGAACGGCCTCAGAATGTCCCTCACCAGGTCTGGTCTCCCCATTCTTTCCAAGATCTCTTCAAGAAAGTCCAAGTTCTCCTGGTCTATCTTATCCAGTTCTATCAGCTTGTGAAATACGTCAAACGCTTGAGGGAGTCTTTCTGCAATGCCTTTTGGAATCACATGACTACAATACAACTTCAAGAGCCTCGTTTCTGTCTTTGTCAGGGCCTCAGATATACGCTGTAACATTTGCACGAATTCAAAATGGCGCCTGTCAGCCTCTGTCACTCTGCTACGGATTGGAGCGGCCATTCTGAAATAAATTTAAACGGTTAAGTCATTTTCATACGCACTAACCCAATGTGAAATGTTGTTAAGTATGTTTTTTTTAATAATTTTGTAAGTTAGTTGGTCTTTACGACAGAAGATCTACAAACCGAGATCTAAAAGGGTTCCTGCATAATGTTTACAGTCGATTCACCAGCTCTAGGCTCCATTTTTACCAACCAACAGTGGAGGTCCTGTGTATCACGCTCATGTTTTGTTACTATGTGCACATCTTGTGTAAGTTGATAAATATACTTAACACAAATATGAATTGTGATATACATCTAAAGATCACTTGAAGATTAGTAGTGATTAAGTATTATGGTGGAAATCTATCAAAGGATAGGACTTTCACACATACAATATATGGAGTCTATCCGTATCCTAAATAAGAAAGAAAGTCGCAAGGAAACAAAAAATTAAAAAAAAAACTCTTTCAACTATATTTTTGTCGAATTGTAATTTGAAGAAGGACTCTTTTTCTACATGTACTTAGCCTTGATTTTTTCCAACAGGTTAACTTTACAGTCAGCCTTAAGCTGTCCCCGGCCAGTACAAAGGGGTAAGGTAACCTGATACTATCTCGGATTTCTGCAGATTATTGTTACCGCCAGGGTCCCCTGGCGCGAGCGTGTGGCGTCGGTAACCCAATACCTCCCTAGTTATAGGCACTTAATAGCAACCGGTTTCCATGTAACATCGAACTTGTCCTTTGTTTTGTCAACACCTATCCACAAACCACATTTCATAACGATTGATAGCTTCTTAAGTTATGCTTTTAGCCAGAATCAAACGCTACCGAAAACATAATGAAGACATAGGTATGGAGAGTTAGACGTGTGCATGTACTTAGCCTTGAATTTTTCCAACAGGTTAACTTTACAGTCAGCCTTAAGCTGTCCCGGGCCAGTACAAAGAGCTAGGGTAACCTGATACTATCTCGGATTTCTGCAGGTTATTGTTACCGCCAGGCTCCCTGAACCGAGCACGTGGCGCCGGTAACCCAATACCTCCCTAGGTATGGATACTTAACATAAGGTAGCAACCGCCTGCCGTGTATACTCAAACTAGTTATGGTTTTGTCAACACCTACCCACAAAGTACATCTCATAACAATCCATTAATAGCTTCTTAAGTTATGCTTTTAACCACGAACAGACAAACGCTACCGAAAACATAATGAAAACATAGCTATGGAGAGCAAGACGTCAACATGTATATGTGAAGTATGCATACTATACAATTGAACTTTTTAAAAATTTTTTAGAGTGGGTTTTTCTCTAGATATGACAATATCTCTATTGAATTAATCTGCTTAGTGAGTTTTTACAGTAAGCCCTAGGCAGGCCTAGTGTTGGCCGTGGGTGGTGGTAACCAAATACCCTCCTTAACAATGGCAACGTGAAAGGAGTAGCCCACCATTCAGATTTTTTTGTGCCAAGTTAACTGCCTTGTACCCCTCCCCATTAAAAATTAGGGACACATTTCTTAAGTTTTGTGCCAACTTACAACCAATTACACAAACTGTTCTTGGTTTCCCAGCATTGTAAGAAGAAAGGCCGTCTTAAGTTGGAGACAATGATACATTGTAACTTCAAGTCGTTGCCCTACAGTTGCCACTCTTCTGTACCGCCAAGTCTAAAATATAGCTCACCCGTAGTCGTACTGAAGCTCGTTTGGAGACTTCTATCTGCTTGACGCGATCTTCTATGAGGAAAGTAACCCTTACCTGGATCAAGTACAGACGCCGCGTTATCCACAACAGAATACGTCAAACAAAGTCGCTGGTCTGACTGCTGACGTCACAGTAAATATGGAGGACCGAGAACAACAGTGCGTTACCTGTTGAACTTTGACACGGCTGACCTTGGGGATGACGTGTTTGTTTTCTTCCACCTGTCGTGTTTTTATGTGACGTCACCGGCACCCTGCTCAGGTTGCTGGTTGTAGGTAACCAGTAGAGTCGTTCCAACATCACTGAATATGGATGCCGTTGTTAACTGTATATGACCACTTGTATAGAACAAAACTCCATTGGCAATTAATCAAAGACAAACAGCTTTGCTAAAGTTGCTGTTTTTTTTACCTTGTGGTGTGATTCCAATATCGCTGACTATGCATGCCATTGTTAACTGTATATGACCACTTCTATAGCAAAAGGCTCCATTGGCAATTAATCAAAGACAAAAAAAAGCTTTGCTTAAGTTGCTGTTTTTTTTTTACCTTGTAGTGTGATTCCAACATCACTGAATATGCATGCCAATGTTAACTGTATATGACAACCTGTATAGAACAAAACTCCGTTGGCAATTTATCAAAGACAAACAGCTTTGCTAAAGTTGTTTTTTTACCTTGTAGCGCGATTCCAACATCACTGACTACGCATGCTATTGTATTGTTAACTGTATATGACCATCTGTATAGATTCAAAGTCCATTTTTCAAAGACAAACATTTTTAGCTGTAAAAAGTGTTCAGATTTAAGTACCACCGTGACGATAAACAGTTTTATTCACATTTATCATTCAACATAGTGAATAAAACCAAATAAAATCAACTGAATCAATAACTTACAAGAAATCATATTATCCATGCAGCTAATAGTTAAACATGGGCACAATGAAATCAGTTTGTTTTATTAGGATCTCCAACAGTTGTATTTTACTGTACAATATGGTTTTGCAGCTTAGTAAAATGCAGTTACAGTCATTATGCAATACCTTTTTATAAGAAAAACACATTGCTATGGATTTTCTTATTCTTCTTCAAGCAAATAAGCTCAGTGACCTGAACCAGGCGTCTGTCACCATGGTAACTGGTGCTGTAGCAGACACCGTGTGGTTATGAATTACATTGTCATTATGTGGCAAGTTAGAGGTGCTACATGTGGTCATCATACACATCATGTGTGCGGTAGTTTGTACAATAGTTTGTTAGGCTAGACCGTGTGAAGATAAACTTTATACCTTATGCTTTGCTTACCTTCCTAGTTACATACAGCTATTAATTTCGGCATTTCAACGTGAATATATCATTAGAATGGTACAAGTACGTAAAAAATACATCACTAAATTATACAAGTACTAAATTATACCATATTCCGTAGCCGATATATATCTGTATGAAACACTCACCAAACAATTAGTAGTTGTACTGCAGATACTAAAATGTCGTTGATCCAATGAAACAGCAATAAGTAATAATGAGATCTATACATCATGAGGCTAACGTCGAGTTGGTACTTACTTTTAAGTGCAGTGCAGGAAGGGAAATAGCTGGGGAAAAACAACAATGTAACATGTGTTAAACTTAAAACTTTTGATCCAACACAACAAAATTCACATGGAACTTTCGACCAGCCACTCTGGTCTTCCTCTGTCAATAGACTGACCCAGTGAAGCTTGTCACGTAGCTTCTTTGAAGTGTGACGTCAACACTGGGTCAAAGGTATCCAATAGTGTGTAATATTGATTGTGTCGACTAAATGTAACATAGTTTATGCAAATCAAACACGCTTTTAGCTTATTGTTTGTACAAGATATTGACTGTGAACATTTCTGTTGAAATATTCTCAGTAGCATGCTACGAAAACAAAGCATTAAAATCACAGATAACTGGGGAAAATTATCACTGAATCGTTATGCCAATTAGTCACTACCAGCTGTCCTTCCGGTCCCACGGCCACGCCTTGTGGCTCAAACCCAGTCTCAATGGTCCGGACATACTCGCCGTGACGTGTGAACATCAGTACCGTCTTGTTCCAAAAGTTCGCCACGATGATGTGACCAGAGCTGTCTGTACAGATGCCGTGGGGATCCTGTAGCTGACCTTCACCTCTTCCCGGACCTCCAAACTTCAGCAGGAACTTCCCGGACTCGTCATACATGTAGACAAAATTAGTGCCCAAGTCCGACACAAGGATGTTCCCTTCCCCGTCCATAGTGACGTACAGCGGGTAACTCATCTCACCCCGTTGATGTCCGAACCTCCGCACCAGAGAGCCGTCCGGACGGAACACCTCAACTTCACCACGGACTGCATCAGTCACCAGGATGTGGTTATTGCGCATGTTCACTGCAATCCCGCGGTATGGTCGGATTTTTTTAAGGTGAAACTGTGTCATGGCGGTCCCGTCCGTGCTGTACTGTACAACATGATCAGCTGATTCACCACGCCCCACTACCCACAGTGTGCCGTTAACGTCCATAGAAACATCATCTGGCCCCATGTCCTTGTCCTCTGTACATGGTACGACTGTTGGGAAGTGGCGGAGGTAAACCCCCTCTGTGGTGTGGACTTGGACTCGCCTGTGGCCTTTATCAGCCACAAATATCTCGTTACTAGGCGACACCACAACGCCGCGCGGGTACTGAAATTTCCCAGGTTCTGATCCGAACCCGCCGTAAGTGATCTTACCCTGTCTGAAGTCTTCAGTAGTACGAGGTGTCGCTCCCTCTGCCTCTGCTGACGTGGGTCGGTTTTGCTCTGCTAGTTTGTCCACATTTTCATCTCTTTCCTTGTTCTTGTTTGTGTCCTTTGCAGCCGATTCTTCCTTTGCAGTGTCACCTGAATCTACTGCAACCCCTGTAGTGCCTGCGCCACTCGCTAGGTGTGTCTGTGTAGCTACATCTGCCTTCTCGACCTGTGACCAGCCGCCAGGTGGCTTCTCTCCCCTGTACTCCTCTGACCAGCCGCCAGGAGGCTTCTCTCCCCTGTACTCCTTTGACCAGCCGCCAGGAGGCTTCTCTCCCCTGTACTCCTGTGACCAGCCGCCAGGTGGCTTCTCTCCCCTGTACTCCTGTGACCAGCCGCCAGGAGGCTTCTCTCCCCTGTTCTCCGTCACGTGAGAAGTGACCTGCTTTGCGGCTTTTTCGGCGTATTCTCTGGCCTGCTGGAGCTTCTTTTCTAGAACTGCGTTCGCCTCAAGGACTTCCTTCAACCTGTTCTCTGAAATGGTCAGCTTGGAGCGCAAGGTCATGAACGTGTTGGAATCCACTTCTGCCTTTTGGATGAGCTTCTTCATCTCTTGTTCTCTGAGCTGATCCTTCTTCTTCATCTCTTGTTCTCTGAGCTGATCCTTCTGCACCAGAGCCTGGACCAGGCTATAGGAGAAGCCCTGGTACTCCAGACTCGCAGCTACCTGCAGATGGAGAGGCAGGGCGTCCGAGAACAGGTTCAGAGCGGACAGGCGGGTCCAGTTCCTGGGCGCCCTCTGCTGCTTGGTGCGGGTACTGCAGCCCACTTTGATGTCATCGACAGTGTGCTGTCTCTTGATACCTGCCAAGCAAAAGATTTTTGCAGAATATTAGATTAATATTTTGTATATGCTACGCAAACCAAATATAGTTGCAACTTGAAGCCCGAATAATTGTTTGCAGAAAATGATTTTAAATGCTGACCTCTAAATGCAGACTTTTAGAACTTCGATCCTTTTAAATTTTAATATCTTTGAATTATGGTTTCAAGAACATCTAAAGGTATAGTTTAATATACCGTTGAAAAGCGCCCCCTGTGCGACTTTGATTGGTGCTTCAGCGTCGATCTGCAGTGACGTGACGCCCATGAATACAAGTCTTGGGTCGGGGTAACTCGCCATGAGCCTCAGCACCTCTGTGCTCTCCCGCGGTATGGTGTAGTGCACCAGGATGCTTCTTCCCTTCTTGTAACCTCTGAACTTGATCTGTGACCTACTAGCCCCACACATCGACGCCAGATTGTGTCTGTGACGATCTATGGTTTCCTGGATCATGTGTCTTTGGCCGTGAACCACCAAGAAGGCGTCGGACGTGTCAGTTACTGGAAGTTTGAAAAAGGAAAGTTAACAATCTTATTTCACTTCAATTATAAAAAAAAGAAGGAATACTCGTAAGTTTTTATCACAGTTATCTAAAGCCTTTAAATTTTAAATTGCTTGTTTCTTTGGATTACAGTTTTGAAACAAGAAAGTAGAACTACATTATACTTTTTCACGTCAAGGTTTTGTTGCCATTGTTGCCAAAGACTTTGCTTTTACTTACCATCAGCACTTGCACCATCAGCACTTGCACCATCAGTACTTGCACCATCAGTACTTGCACCATCAATACTTGTTCCCGGTTCTAGGTCGGGATTTTCCGGAATACGTCGGCCAGGCGGTTGGAACGGCCTCAGAACGTTCCTCACCAGATCTGGTCGCCCCATTCTTTCTAAGATCTCTTCAAGAAAGTCCAGGTTCTCCTGGTCTATCTTATCCAGTTCTATCAGCTTGCGGAAAACGTCAAGCGCCTTTTTAAGTCTTTCTGCAATACCTTTTGGAATGAGATGGCTACAATACAATTTCAAGAGCCTCGTTTCGTTCTTTGTCAGCTCATCCGATATACGCTGTAACATTTGCACGAAATCAAAATGGCGTCTGTCAGCCTCTGTCACTCTAGATCTTCTTGGGATTGGAGCTGCCATTCTGAAACGAAGTGACAAACTTTCAGTGTACAAAGATTTCCAGTCCCTCATTGTGGACAATGTAGGATAACTTTCTTACTATGATTAATACCTCAAATCAAATTTAACTGCATGCTATTGGGTTTGACCAACTAACATGGCGTGCAATACGTCTTAGTTACATGAGATGAAACACAAATGTCTACCGCCAAAATGAGGAATCCCTAGTAAAAATTTTCAGTCTCTACCAGACTAACTGCGCTGGCTATATAGGAGAATATTGTATGTTTGACTGTGGGAAAGAACCCTTGTCCAATTTTACTCTCTTTTGTTGCCAAATTCTACGATCCGTATTCCCGTAGAAAGGCCTGATGGAGGCTAAGAAATCTGTGCACGGCACCTTTCTACACCCACGGTGAACCTAGAACCCTTTATCTCAGCCGCCATGCTCCCGTGCTTGTTTAAAACACAACCTTTGCTCTTGTTTGTACCAATCAAACAGTGGGTCAGAGTGCAACTTGACGTCAGGTTGCCAACTTCTGTTCGTTTGTTCAAACCAACAATGATTAACAAGTCATGCGGACGTGCCGAGGGGGTGTGGCGTTAGATGTTGCCACTGATAGGTGCCTTCTACGAGGGGGTTTAACCGTGGATAATTACACTGATAGGTGCCTTATATGACGTTATGTGGCCATAGGTTATGACACTGATTGGTGCCTACTACAAGGGGGCGTGTCCTTAGATAACGACACTAGTAGGTGCCTGGGACAAATATTCTACTCATAGTAACAGGAGAGGGTATGATGATTCTAACCAGCAATTTTCTTACGACAACAACAATTAGAAAAATGATATCCTTCAGTGTATTTTAGCCTTTAGGCCATACCATCTTTTTACCACCTACTGCTTGCTGAACTACATGTAATCTTTGTCGTGTTAATAGATAAAATCATGGGGTCAGCCTTTTAGTCAAATTTACAAGCAGCACACTCTTTAAAAACTCCCCAACCAAATAGGAAAAAAGTTAAGTTTGACTAGCATCAACGTTCAACTTAACTTACTTGTAACTTACTAGTAACTTACTAGTAACTTACTAGTAGCTTACTACAAAGTATTACTAGTTTTGCAGCACACAAAGTAGATGACGTTTCTCAATAGCGGTTTTAGCAAATAAAAAACATGGCGGCCTGGCTGTGCCACGTCTACAACATTCCTCACCTGTAGTGTAAACTCTAACAGCAGTGAAACGTGTTGGAAAACTCACCTGAGTGAAGCAACCGGAAGACTCACACCTTAAGATGGTACAACTAACAAAAAGCCATCATATCCAAACCGGACTCCCTCAGCTGTTACTGGTCTGATGACGATTGTGGTACCAGACGTCAGGCAATATGGCGGCTGGGGAACAATGCCTGTCGGTCTGTCTGTTGGGTGTTGAACTTTGATCACTGCTGACCGATAGACTGGTGGCGTGACGCAGTTTGTTTTCACTCAACGCTGCTCATATATGGTTATCGCGATCAACCCAAATAATAATGTCTTGTCAAATGCGGTAGGTAGTATATAGGTAAAATAATGAAGTATAAAAAATGTATTGAAGTTTGTTGGAGTTCCTACACATGGGATCTATTCTATAGTGAGATTAAAAGTGGCATTAAAATTACGTTTGTTCATATATTGTTATCACGATCAACCCAAATATAATGTCTTGTCAAATGCGGTAGGTAGTATATATGAACTCAAGTTAAAACTATGAAGTATAAGAAAGGTGTATTGAGGTTTGTTGGAGTTCCTACACATTGGATCTAGTCTATAGTGAGATGTGGCATTAAAATTACGTTTGTATGCAGATCATATGTTTAGATTCGAAGAGGGAAGACATACTGTTTGTTTACACTCAACGCTGCTCATAGATTGGTTAATGACCACCCCAAACACTCTAGTACCTCTAGGTCTATGCCTAGAAGTGGTCAAAAATAATTGGCCCTGCATTGAGCAACACCGTTACAAAAAGGGGTATGTAGTATGAAGGTACTAAGTATAAACAAAATATACTGAAGTTTATTATTGTTCGTACGCACCACTTTTTTTGCATTTTAAGATGTGGTATTGTTACGTTTGCATTTAGCCATTACGTTTATACCTAGTACCTTCAAAGAAGAAAGGCAAGATTTTTGACAAGACATTACTATTTGGGTTGATCGCGATAAGTATATATGATCAAACGTAATTTTAATGCCACATCTCACTATAGAATAGATCCAATGTGCAGGAACTCCAACAAACTACAATACATCTTTTTTATACTTCATAGTTTTACCTTCATATATACTAACTACCGCATTTGACAAGACATTACTATTTGGGTTGATCGAGATAACCAATCTATAAGCAGGGGTGAGCGAAAACAAACTGCGTCACGCCACCAGCCTATATTAAACGGTGATCAAAGTTCAACACCCAACAGACGGACCGACAGGCATTGTTCCCCAGCCGCCATATTGCCTGACGTCTGGTACCACAATCGTCAGCAGACCAGTAACAACTGAGGGAATCCGCTTTGGATATTCTGGCTTTTTGTTCCTTGTACCATCTTAAGGTGTGAGTCTCCCGTTTGCTTCACTCATGTGAGTTTTCCAACACGCTTCGCTGCTGTTAGAGTTTACACTACAGGTGAGGAATGTTGTAAACGTGGCACAGCCAGGCCGCCATTTTTGTAAACCACTCTTAAGAATGTCTATAGCTTTACGGCTGAACTCTAGAGATAGCTCATTTTATGACAGAGGCATATTAATAACATTCGACAAGTAAATTTTCATGGTTGGTGAGGAAAATTACAGGCACAGTACTGCTTGTAAACTTGGCAAAACTAGTCAATGTGATTTTATGGCTTCTGTTTAACACACAGATTCGCGGAAAGGGATTTTGTGCACAAAAAGCTTGAATTGCATAGAATGGACTAAAGGAGTTTTTTCCTAAATTCTCTGTTTAAGATACATAATAAAGCTTAAAATCACCATCTTTTCACGAACTGTTATCAATAGATTACTTGTAGAAGGGGCCTATCAGCGTTTTGATCTAGCGCCACACCCCGTCAGCACGTCCGCATGACTCGTTAATCTTTGTTAATTAGGGCAACGCCGGCACGCTGACGTCAAGGCGCTATTCAACCCACTGTTTGTTTGATACAAACAAGAGCAAATGTTGTAAATTTAGACAAGAGGGGGTGATGGTTATAAAATGTGTTCTAACAAGATTTACCGCGGAGGAAGGTGTAGTGCACAAATTTTCACTTTGGATTCCTCGTTTTGTCGGTAGAAATTTGTTTCATGCCAAGTGAGAACGACGTAGTGTTGTCCTCCGAGTTAATTAGTAAAACTAGCAGCATGAAGTTAAATTTGTAGGTATAAATTACACTTGGAAAACAATCCTATAGTGTCCTCAAGGTGTAACTGAACATTTTTGTACACTGCACTGAAAGTTTGGTACTTCGTTTCAGAATGGCAGCACCAGTGCGACGATCTAGAGTGACAGAGGCTGACAGGCGCCATTTTGATTTCGTGCAGATTTTACAGCGTATATCTGATGAACTGACAATAGAAGAAACAAATCTCGTCAAATTGTACTGCAGACATGTGATTCCAAGACGTATTGCAGAGAGACTTACTGAAGCGGTTGACGTTTTCGACAAGCTGATAGAACTGGACAAAATCGATCAGGAAAACTTGGACTTTATTGAAGAAATATTGGAAAGAATGGGACGAGTTGACATAATAGTAACCGTCCTAAGACCGTTTCAACCGCCTGACCGAGAGATTCCGGAAAATCCCGAACTGCAACCGGGAACAAGCAGTGATGCTTCAAGTGATGGTAAGTAAAAGTATATTTTACGACGCCTTAAAAAAAGCGAACATATTTGCTATCATGACATCGTCCTATCAGTCAGTTTTAACAATGTACTGTAATATAGTTGACATTTTCATTGCTTGCGTTATACGTTAAATACTTCCCACTAAAATTGCTAAGGGTTCTCTGATCAATATATATATTTACATGCAGTTTTACAGTATATGTATATGCATATGTAATTGTAGGAAAATATTGTCACCCCATTAAAAAAATCAAAATTGTTAAGTTTAGGGATTTTACAATTAGTTTTATTTTGCTCTACTAAAAAGCTAACATTTAAAATGTTTTACTAAAAATCTCCAGGTGATCGAGCCAACGCGCGGATCACTTTAGTGAAAACTGTAGTCCTGAATTTCATATGTGTAAAAGAATTAACAATGTTAGAAATTTGTCTGATCATAACGTAATACTGTATAAACAATGTTTACTATTTTTAAATATTTTCAGGAGAAACAGCCGAAGCCTACTTCGTTATTCAAGGCCAGAGACGCATGATCCAGGAGACCGTTAACCACCATAGATACAATCTACGATCGCTGGGTCCCGTTCCGGCCTCGGATGTCATGTTCAGGGGATACAGAGCAGGCAACAGCATCCTTGTGCACTACACCATACCGCGGAAGATCACAGCGGTGCTGAGGCTCATGGCGAGTTACTCCGATCCAAGACTTGTATTCATGGGCGTCACGTCACTGCAGATCGACGCTGAAGCACCAATCGAAGTCGCACAGGGGGCGCTTTTCAAAGGTATGCTGAACTGAACCTAAAGTAGTCCTTCACACATTAATTTGACGAAATTCAATGTTTGAAAAGACCAATACGTTGAGTATGTGCATTTCAAGTGTCAATTCACATTTTTTGGACAGATATCAAGACACGGCGCACTGCAGATGATATCAAGGTGGGCTGCAGTACCCGCACCAAGCAGCAGAGGGCGTCCAGGAACTGGACCCGCCTGTCCGCTCTGAACCTGTTCTCGGACGCCCTGCCCTTCCATCTGCAGGTAGCCGCGAGTCTGGAGTACCAGGGCTTCTCCTATAGCCTGGTCCAGGCTCTGGTGCAGAAGGATCAGCTCAGAGAACAAGAGATGAAGAAGAAGGATCAGCTCAGAG